AAAAAAGTTATGGCCAAAAAACTAGCGCGCGCGGCGTTCAACTGGAGGCAAAATCTCACGGTTTACCCGCTGCCGCACGCTTTCTTTTTAAATGTTTTTGCGCGTTTCTGGACCGTTTTCGAATTGGTTTTTCTGTTCTGAGAGGTTGTCCGAACTGAGCCTCATGTTTTGGTATGAATCTTTTTGTACAATCCTCATAAGAATTTTTTTGATAAAAATATCAAAAAAACTACCTAGAAAAAAAGGTCAAAGGGATTTTTTTCAGCTTGTTTTTTTCTTTTTTTCTACTCAGAAAAAAATTATTATCATTCGAGAAAAAAAGAAAAAAATGAAAAAAATAATGTAATTTCGAAATAAAACAGGAAAAATGTGTAATTTGACTCCAAAAAAACGGCTCCTGCAACATTTAAAAAGTGCGCATCGGTGTGTTTGACGCAAACACAGCTACGAATGCTTGCACGAAATTCTTCCAAAATTTCAAAAAATTACCATTTTTTTCGAGGTTTTCAAAGCCGTTATTTTTCGCGTCGATCGATTTTTTTCATAATTTTTTTCATTGATAGAGTTTTGAACGCTTAATAACCTGATCAAAAAAATATAGACGCGATCCTATTCTCTCATGCGTCAACGAGGCAGGCGAAAAAAAGGAGGTTTTGGTAAAAACTCAAATATAATTTGATTCGCTGTCCCAATAATTATTTTTCATTTTGAATTTTTTTATTTTTGGACACACTGTTAGTTTTTAAATCAAATAAAAAAAGTATACCATGTCGCTGAAATTTTTTTCGCATTTTAGCTTCAAAGTTTGGTGTCACTTTACAAGCTTCAATATTTTTCGCGTCGGTAGATTTTTCATTTTCACTCAAAAAAATAAAGAAAGTGTTAATGTATAACATACTAAAAATTTAGAAGCGTTCCTCACTTGGTTTTCTGAAACGCGACGATTTTGTGAAACTTGTCAGTTTTTTTCGTGTTAAATCTTACTTTTTCGCTTAATTTTTGAAAAAAATACATCGTTTTAAAAGTATTCAGCCCTGTAGAGCGTTGTCGATTACATAGATTAAGAGAAACAGTTTATTTTTTTAAAGTGGGACTTTAGCTAGTATAAACGCCTCAAAAACCGTTTTCTGCAACAAAAAAATCGTCATTTTGGTGGCGTGAAGGGGCGGGGCTTTGCGCCCCCTACTCAAAGACAAGGAAAATCCTCAAAATCTGCTAAAATAGGTCATTTTGGTGCTGTGAGCCCCTCTTTTCTCAACATCTTGAATTTTTACAGGTCTCACAAGGAAAGCAAAGTTTCTTTGCGGTTTGGTTTTTTCACTACAAATTTGCCCAAACACTCTCTGAATGTCTAGATGAAGATCCTTCAGAGTCCCTAACTGCACAAGCTTCTGGTTTTTGAGTCATTTTTAAAATTCGTGAGTCCACAAAATTAGACCCCACAGAAAGGTAATTTCAATTTGCGACTCGGAATTCTCAGAAAATTTGCTCAAAATGTTTCTGAACGCTTATATGAAGATCCAGCAGATTTGCAACCCACGCCAGATTCTTGTTTTTGAGTAAATTAATTTTGAAGTTCAAAAAGTTGGGCTTAAAATCGATATTTTGCAATTTTGAAAAAAATCTCTCAAAAATCTCTCAAAAAACATATCTCAAAAAACTAAAAGTTTGATCAGGTAGCGGAAATGAGCGATCTTCATCTAGACGTTCAGAAATTGTTTAAGCAAGTTTGTAGAAAATTCCTAACCAAAAAGTAAAATGACCACCCTTTTCTGGATCTCTTCCTGGTACTTCAAGAAATTCCGGCAGATTTTTCGAAAATTCTTAACCGGAAAGCAAAATGACCTCTCTCGTCAGTAAATCCTAGGTAAATCAAGCAGTTTTTCCTTTTTCATGTGAAATTCGAATGAGAAAACATGGATTAATTGACGAAAATTAAAGATTTGCCAGACGGAAAGACGTCCGTTTCCCGAGGAAAACGGCAGAAATGAAACCGGCTGACCGGCGGTCAGCAAATTTGTTCTTTTTTCGCGTTCATTTCCGCATCGCCACGATTTCCTGACCATAAGATCGTTCGCAACAGAAAATTGAAGGAAATTGATATTCTTATCCTTTTCGAGAAACCGTGATCTCTTCTTAATAGGGTTTTAAAAACATCTTTCAGAGCGGTAACTTTAACGGGAAATGACCATTGTGAACAGGGTAGAACACAAAAAGTACCGTATCTCGAAAATTTCTACAGTATCCCAAGATGGTACGTACTGAAAAAGTTCCTAAAATTGCATTACCTATCGATTGATATACACAACTTGTCTCTAAAAACTCTCAATTTTTAGATACGCAGGTGACCAGCTTCCTACCGTAACCCGGTTACGGTTGGAGGAAAATAGCTCAAAAAAATTCGACCCTGACGTCATATAATAACACTGGTTGAAATTCCATCAAAAATCAAAAAATTTTTGTACCCTTTGTTTTTGAGAAAGTTCTGAGAATTACAGAAACAGCGTGTTAAGCGTCGCGGTCGCGTTGCGGTTTTTTCCCAAGGCTTTTTAAAAATTGATTGGAGTTTATCATTTAGTTTTACTGCTTCTCCTTACTTCCAGGCGCAAGCCGTTACGAGTCGGACGCATCAAAAATCAAGAAAAACGTGTAATCTTTATGTTATATATAATGCCCGGTTTTTGTAAAAATCTTTGAAATCTCAAAAAATAGATTTTTCTCCTCTATTTTTGTTAGGAAAAAAACTACTGGAAAAAAATTTTTTTCTTCAAATTCAAGTCAAAAATTTCAACATGGATGTGTCTAATGAAAAAGCCGAAATGAATGGTCACGAGAATAAAAATTATTTTCTTTAAACGGAAGTTTGGAATGAATCAATATCCTAAACTCAAGCTTTTTTTATTCTACAAAAATGGCCGTTTTTTAAAGATTTTAAAGCCCTAAATCCTCCTCAAAAAAGGAAACTAGATTCTTTATATCCGTTAAAGAAAATGCCATCCAGAAAAATAATTGATTGTCATCTCGTGGAACGTTGAAGAGAACTGGAAGGTCGGCAAACAGACAAAACCGTGGCAAAAGTGGCTGACGACGGAAAAAAGAGAAAAAAAGGGCCCAACTTGTTGGTCGGATGCCTGGGTTGCCAGCCGACAAACACTGGAAAAACTTCCAACTTTTTAAGCTTATTTGCTCTTTTGGCATTCCTCCAAGAAGGTGAAAATAACAAAAAAAGCAAGATCAACGTTTTTCTTGTGTTGCGAAATGACGGTAAAGGCTTTGGGAAGCTTAAAATTAGTCTGAGGGGCGAGAAAATTGGTGTTTGCGGGTTTCTGAGACAATGGGAATTAGCGGAGGATTTACAGGAGGAAAAAAAAATGGGATTTCGGGCGAAGAAATTCGAAAATGGAGGCAGATTAGGGAGATTGAAACTCACTTGGGAGGGTCAGAGGGGTCCCTATAGGGGTTAGAAGGAAAATTGCTGGTATAGGGGACTAAAAAGTAAAACTTAAATGGTCCCTAGAGGGATTTTCTATTTATTTTTCATGCTCGAAAATTAAAAAGACACTTGAGCAAGTATGTCCCCTCTAGGGGCCACTTTTTCAAGCTTTACTGATTAGAGTGCAACCCTCAAGGGCCTCTAAAAACGCCCCTATAGTGACCACTCTAAAGCTTCAAAGTGTTCGAAGCGATTCCATAAAAATTGGAATAGCCGTCAGAGAATGAAAAAAACATAACTGAATTCTGGAGAGTCAGAGAAAAAAATTTCTCAGAAAAAAATCAGTATCGTTTTTTTGACAGATTTTATTTTAAAATTTGCGCGAAGATCAGTTTTTCAACATTACCATAAAGAAATGAACTCATTGGGATTTTTACAAAATCATCAATTATAAAAATCGAGAAACTGTAAAATGGCCTATTTTTTTCCGAAATTGAAACTGGTTGAATTTATCTTTGAGAGTAATTTCAAACAACGCAAGTTCCATTTGAAAAACCTGGAATGAAGTCGAAAAAAAGTTTCGAGAGATAATTTATCATATATTTTTCAAAAAGCACAGGATATTTTTGCAAAAAAATTAGCTTCATTTGAGCTTTTCCTGGAACCTATAAGCTTCAAAAAACTATAAAAGTCACCGGGAATTCCAAATTGGTTCAAGGTGATTTTTCTCCTTCATCACTCATGTTTTTGTCTTTCAGTTCAATGGAAAAACCAACAACTTTTTCAGAAAATTCCAAAAAAATCGAGAAAAAGCCGGAAACAGACTCCGGACATTAAACGGTCCATTATGACGGCAACGGTGGGGGGAAAATGCGGCCGAATGGCTTCGAGAGCCCCGGGAAAAAGTCACGAAAAACGCCGAGCACTATGATTGAGCAAATAGCATGAAGAAAAGTCTCTTGTCGGCCGGGGGGAGGGGGATCAGTCTCGCCAAATTTCCCCCGGCGACAAAAGTCGGTATTGTGTCCTGGTTTCTCAGAATGACCACTTTTTCGAGGTTCTGGTCAGGAAAAGAGATGGAAAAGTTCGCAAGAGACGCTTTTTTTCGAAATAATAATATAGGTCAACTTATTTTTTTAGAATAAGAAAATTCCAAAGTTCGAATTTCGGAAGTTGCGGTTTTCTGACGCTTCCATATTCGAAAGCACAAGCAGGAATCTTTTTATTTTTTTACCTATATGGTGTATTTTTACATGCTTAACAAAAATAAGAAAAATAACTTGCCTACGAGCGGGATTGTAAGTATTCAACGTTTTCCACTTTTTTTCGCACAAAGGCGTCACGAAAAAGTCATTTTAACCTATTCTTTTTTTATTTACAGCTATTTCTCCTATGTAGAATTGTAGAGCATAGCCGATTGTATGTTTCCCTCAATTTTTTTCCCCAAAACGGTTCAGGGAAACTGCATAAACAACAATGGAATGTCAAAACTGCAACGAAATACACGACGTTTTTTGGTCAGCGAGGGGGCGTGGCCTTGCGGTCCCTACGTAAATAATGAGTTTTATTAAAGGCGCACGCAGAGGGGCACACCGAGAGCATCGAAGCGAAGCGCCGAAAAGGCTACTGTAGCTCCGAAGAAGCTGGAAACCGTGACAAGCTGGCGCGGAATGACCTATATCCCAAAAATTCTAAATTTTTTTCTTAGGTCAGTCAATCGGATCATTCTAAAGTCCCACAAACCGATTTTTGGGACAGCATTGATGCAGTTGAAAAAAAAAACATAAATTTGACTCTTCCTCTAAATGAAAACATGTCAAGCCAGCTCGCACAGGTTAGTTCAGATTTTTAATGTCGAATCGTAGCTCAAGCTCCGCACTCAAAATAGGATTTTTCATTTTTTTTTTTTTTTCTGGATTTCAGCTCATGATTAACTATAACGGAACGAATGCAAACTATTTCTATCAAAATGGCTTTGAGAAAGGAAAAGTTACCTGAGTAAAAGTCGAAAATCGGCGGGATCCGTTGTGACGGTGCTCCAACGGCAGTGTTTGCCCAGCCGCCTCCTCAACAAATTCCGCCATCCGAGCAAAACTTCCCAAATGACGCAGGAAAAAAAGAAAATTACTTCTTTTGTTTGATTGCTTACTGTTTTGAACAGCGGGGAAGTTTCAGAACTCGTTATAGTGATGCCTCTTCCTGGGCGCCTCTAAAAAACGACCTTTCTTTAAAATTTTTAACTTTCAAAAATCTTGATTTTGACAGATTCTTGTACCTTTAAAATCACCAAATGACAAGAAAAGGTGACCTCCTAAAGATCACGGCATTCCTAATGGGGTGAGGACAGGTGAGCGAGGCCTCAAAGTTTCTGAATTTACAAAAAAAAGTAAGTGCGCGCTTCGGATTAAAGGACTGTGACTTCACAGCTACCTATCGTTGCAAGTTAAACTGAGTATTCAACGGCACGAAGAATACATTTGGCTGCGTACTTGAGATTTCAAATTTCGCGCCAATATTTTTTTGACGATATTGCGACCAAGGCTCGAATCCTTTTGGCGGATATCATTTTTGCCGACTCATAAATTCATCATTCTCATATTTTTTTGTGAATGTAAAGATAGTGAGATGAATGGATGGAAACAGTTGCTCAAATCTAGAAGCTTTCCTGGAAAGATCAATCGGCAAAAATTTGAAAAATAATAATAAATTTAATTATTTCGGACTGTAGGGAAGGTCATTTTTACTGATTTCTAGTCAGGATTTTTCTTGAAAAAAATACTTTATTTGATTTTCCAAAAACTGTAAATTACAGCTTATCATAAGCAATCATGGGTTGGCCTTGCATTAGAGGTGAGTTGACCGAAAAAAATGGCCGAATAATTCTCTCTTCACAAGACCTTGAAAATTTTTCACAAGTAATTCATCCGGAACCTCAAACAAATTGCAAAAAAAGTATCTCAAAAAAACTTTTTTTCAAAATTTATTCAAATCAGAAGAAAAAGAAGAAATCGTGCTCTATGGAAAATCTCATCGAGAGGACCCAGCAAAGTGCAATACAACGTCGTCGAAATGTATATATACTATATGGTTAGGACGGAAAATGGTACAAAAAGAAAGTGAGTGGAAAATATTTCAAAGCCAACGAAAAGACACATGAAAATGGATACAAAAAATGATATGAAAAAAATAATTTTGGAGAAAAATTTAAATTTTTACAGTGAAGCTTCGATGAGGACCCAATGTTTGCGAATAACTTCTTCGACCTGAAAAATTGAGACAATAAATGTGAAAAAAAATTTAGAGCGCCAGAGTGGCCCCTACAGTGGTCAGGGGAAAGAACAACCCCTATAGAGTTTTTTTATCATTTAAAAACGATAATTCATTGACTTTTTTCGCATGGAAGTTTCTTCTCCTAGAGTTCCTAGCATGTCCCCTATAGAGGCCACTTTTCCAAGCTTTAGTGGCCCCTATAGGGGAAGCTGAAGTAGTCCCTAAAGGGGGCCTTCAACGGCCCAAGAATCCAGAAAAAGGACAGACTAAATTAGCCGAGACTCGACCGTCTAGCTTCTCTGGGCTCTCTTCTCTCTAACCAGGCCGAAACGAGAGAGCCTCGAAAATTAGAGAGCGCAGAGAAGTCAGACAGCTTTGAGTCGCATTGAATTTAGTATAGTTTATTTTCTGCACTGAATTAAAAGAAAATGATAAAGTAAATTCTCCGAGACCGTCTAGCTTCTCTGCGCTCTCTTCTCTCTAGCCAGGCCGAGACGAGAGAGCCGCGAGAATGAGAGAGCGCAGACAAGTCAGACAGTTTTTGAGTCGCATCGAATTAAGTATAGTTTATTTTCTGCACTGAATAAAAAGAAAAATGATAAAGTAAATTCTCCGAGACCGTCTAGCTTTCTCTGCGCTCTCTCTCTCTAACCAGGCCGAAACGAGAGAGCCTCGAAAAATTAGAGAGCGCAGAGAAGTCAGACAGCTTTGAGTCGCATTAGTGTAGTAAGTTTTCTACACTGAAAATGGGAAAACTTTGAGAGCCTTATTTTTTCAAAAGAGATTGAATTTTTGAAGTTCATTCCGAAAATAAGAGACCTTGAAGTTTTCAAATTTCACCGCTTAGAGCCCATTTTTTAAATTGACCAATGATTTTTTTCATCTTTCCCCAAAATTACCAAGTCGTGATCTTTGAAGTAGGTTTCCTGGGCGAAAATGGCGTTCTCAGTAACATCCTCCAGGCTCACCAGCTTCAGTCCCCGAGCCGTCAATTTCTGAATATTTCCCTTATTTTCTATCAAATTCCTTCAAAAGACCTTCTGAACATCTTCCCTGTCGATGGTCTCGACGGCCTCGAGTAGATAGACATTGGCGTCGGTTTTCAGGATCGTCTAGAATTGAACAAGGAATGAGATAAGAAGAACAAGAAGTCCTTGGAAACCGTGAGGTCATCCTCGGCGGAACTGTTGGCCAGAAGTTCCGTGGCGATGACCGTGTCGAAGGAGGCGCCACGCTGTTGCCAATAGGCCACAGAAGATCTGAGGGACGCGTTCCAGCCGAATCTGAAGTGATCAAATGAAAATTTCGCTAATAATAACTGCCAAAGGCGATATCGCTGACAGTACAATGACGACATCGCATTTTGAGAATTTTCTAAAATTTTTGCTGAGTATGAGAGAAACGCGATCTCGCTGACTTTACATAGACGACATCGCAAAAGTCTTTGAATTTTTTCGGCGCGATATCGCATTTTGAAAATTTTCAAATTTTTTTCTGAGGGCAAGAGAAAAGCGATATCGCTGACGGTACACAGACGACATCGCAAAAGTCTTGCATTTTTCTCGGCGCGATATCGCATTTTGGTAATTTTCTGAACTTTTTCTGGGTGTGAGAGAAACGAGATATCGCTGATGGTACACAGGCGACATCGCGAAAGTCTTGCGTTTCCTTGACGCGATATCGCAGTTTGGAAATTTTCAATTTTTTATTTCCGAGGACGAGAGAAAAGCGATGTCACGGGCGGGATATAGATGAAAATGTTAAACTACTGCCGAACTGGTCTTGCATTTTTTTTTATCGGCGCGACATAGCATTATGACAATTTACCGATTTTTTGAGTGCGAGAGAAATGCGATATCGCTCCAGTAAAAATGCAAAGCAGTCCTTTCGTAAAATCGTCAGTATACGGCCTCCGATATCGCTTTTCTATCGCGCCGAACTTGGCAGTTATCTTCAGAGTTACCGCATAATATATAGTTCGTTTTACGCCAAATGAAGTGAAAAATTCTCTGCGCCCTCCTCGTCTCTCGTCTACTCTCTCATGTTTACTTGCTATTCTCACGCTCTTCTAACATTGCTGGTGAGGGAGCAGAGAGGCGCAGACACTCAAAAAGTGTTATCTCGAGGAAAAAATGGTAGTAACCAAATTTCTCTCAAAGGATTCCTTATTTCAGTAGAAGTTCTAAATTGTTGTCCTCTTAACTTATTAATGATAAATATCCATTCTTAATAATATTTTCGATTTGAAACTGTTAATCAATGTTTCCAGGACATTTTCTTCCTTTTTTTTCGAAGTTTCGAAACTTTGAGTCCTCACCGAACACGTTGATCCTTGAAGTTGTTGGCCTTCGTCAGGGAGGTTCTGTAGTACTCGGCGACGGTTTCGACGTTCCAGACGTTGCAGGAGAACTTCTGAAACTCCGAGTTTCAGGAAGAGGATGGAGATTTCCGCGGGAACCTCGGCGAGAAGATGGGAATTGACATGGACGAATGGAGAGACTTCCCGCGGGGTGAAGACGTAAACCGTGCTGTTGGCCGGGATTTTCTTCTCGTTCAGAACCGTCGAGAAGATCTGTACAAAGGAATCTTGCAGATCTTCAAAATACATCGAAAAAATTCGAAACGCACCTAGAAAGGCTACGAAATTTGTTCTTTCACATTTTCACAGCATAGTTTCTTCAAAATTTCTCATCGAAAGGCTCAAAAATTGCTTAAAAATTGATGGGAAGAGCTCAAAAGCTCAAAAATTGATGGGAAAAACGAAAAAAAAAAATGGTAACAAACTCAAGAAGCCCCCAAGGACCCTAAAAAAAATTCAGTTCCTTTTTTTCTTGGCTTATTTTCCTTATTAAAAAAAGCGGTAACGGCTTACGAGCAGTGTAAAAAATCGTTTTCCAATGATTTCAAGTTGTTTTCCTTTTTCTATATTAAACAAGCACTAAATGTTTCTTTTCAAACTTTTAAAAAAACATCGATAAACCGGCTTGAATACTAAGTAGATTTTTCTAGCTTAATCTCTAAAACCTCTTTTTGGCTCATTTTTCGAAATTCTATCAAAAATATCCTTTTCATGTTTTTCGATGACTTTACTTTTTCACAATTTTCTTAAAAACTCGCGAAAAACATTGTTTTTCAATTTCGCTACTAAATAATGCTCAGTTTTTCAAAAATTTTATAAAGTATTACGTTTTCCTATTGTATTTCTCGAATTTCATACAAAAGTTCCCAAATTTCTTGAAATTTCGTGGTTATTTCCCCGATTGCAAAATGTTTCCCTGACCTTGTCAGTCCAGCAGTACTTCTCCTCGTCCAACTTCTTGTCCCAGGCTTGCTGCTCGGCCTTCCACGTCTTTCTGAACGATCATAACTTTACTCCCAGCTTCTTCAACTCGATAAAAACCCGAAAAGTTCAAGAAGATCGTTGAAAGTCGTTTCCTTGGCGCCTTCCTCGGCGGCGACTTTTTCGGCCAGCCAATGAACCTGACGCCAGTTGTTCTGACGCTGAAATGAGGCAGGAGTTGATCAAATGAAGCTGGAGAAGGTCAGCCGTGAGATTTTTGAATTTTTCGGAACATTTCCAACTTTTCGTAACCGTTCTGTGCGGCTTTGTGTGTCTAACACGGTTTGTAACGAGTTAGGAGAAAGTTAGAGAGCGTTCAAAAATGAGAGAGCGGGCCTTATTTTCTCTAACTGGCCCTCTCTTTTAACAGTGCTCTCTAGCTTTCGAATACTCGAGGTAGAGAGCGTTTGGAAATGAGAGAGCAGGCTTTTCTTTTTCTCTGAACGCCCTCCTGTTTACCAGTGCTCTCTGGCTTTGGAAGAATAGAGGAGAGAATATTTGAAAATCGGAAAAGAGCATTAAAACTGTAGTTTTGGAGATTTATTTGAAACGAGTCTATTTTCGAATCTTTAAAAGTTAGAGAGTGTCGAAAAATGAGAGAGTGCGCCTTTTTTCTCTAACTGGCCCCCTTTTTAACAGTGCTCTCTAGCTTTCGAAATCTGATGATGAGTTAGAGAGCGTTAAAAAATGAGAGGGTGCGTCTTTTTTCTTTCTCTGAATGCCCTCCTGCTTACCAGTGCTCTCTAACTTGGGAAATTTGATCGTAGACTCTTTCAAAACGAAAAAGAACATGGAAACTGTCGTTTTAAAAAAGTATTTGAAACGAGTTCGAATCTTTGAAAGTTAGAGAGCGTTCAAAAATGAGAGGGTGCTTCTTTTTTCTTTCTCTGACCGCCCTCCTGCTTCCCAGTTCTCTCTATCTCAGGAAATCTGATCGTAGACTCTTTCAAAATCAAAAAAGAACATGGAAACTGTCGCATTAGAGAAACTTGAAACGGTTTCGAATCTTTGAAAGATAGAGAGCGTTGAAAAATGAAAGGGCAGACTTTTCTCTTTCTCTGAACGCACTCCTGTTAACCGTGCTCTCTAACCATGGAAGATTAGATTTGAAAAAGCCGAAAAAAGCGATTACCGTTTCAAAGCAAGAACAAGATGGGCACCCAGAATATCTAAACGATTTAACGAAGTTCAGAAAAACAGCTTTTTTGGGCAGTAAAAATCGCTTAAAACTCGGCCTTTTATGCTTCGATTTTTTAATATTTCGATCACCTTGACGTAGGTCGGCACGGAGCAGCTCCAATGGACGTTGAAGCGCCAGAGTTTGTTGTCCTCGTCTCGGTAGCGGATGTTTCGGAGCAACTGAAAAATCTTCTTTTTTCAGGAGAAAAGCTTGGCTCAGTTGGTAAGACTCATTTCTGGCGTCCACAAGGTCACTGGTTCAACCTTTTTCAAGAGATAAAAACGAAAATTCCTCAGAAATTTTTTTGCCGTGTTCAGACTGATTTTCGCGAAGTTTAAAATTTTCTATGACTCTCCAAAAATTAGTTATCTTTTTCACTCTTTGACGCCTAATTTGAATTTTGTGGTCATCCGATGAGCTTTCACGTTTTTCTTTTCTCTAAATGGCTCCTTTTTTTCTAAATTTCAAAGCAAAAGCTTTATCAGACACTGACATTGATGTAGAGGGAGGAAAAACGGTAATGAGTCGGGTTGGTGTCGCCGGAATGCATCGACTTGGCCTTGGCGCGGCCTGAAGGAGAGTTATCAAGTTCCATTTGTAACGATTTACCTTATCCTTAATTTCTAAGAATATTTTTTTCTCAAACTGATTTTTCTCATTTCTTACAAGGGCTACCAGTCCCACAGCCTCTTTTTCGAAGACTTCTTCCGTCAAAAATCAGATGAACATAAAACCAGCCGAAAAAGCAACTACATTTTCTTTATTAATTACCGTTTTTTTGGCTTTTTTTAATTTTATTGATTTTGTAAGCTCGGAAAAAGCTCTATAAATGCTCCATTTATTCAAAGATGAAACTTCATATCGTAAACTTCATATCGTAAACTTCATATCGTAAATTTTGAAAGCCGAAATTAATTTAAATGTTTTGACAAATTTTCCCTTATTTTATTCTTTAGACGTTCCATAATTATCAACCCAAACTTTTTCTTCATCACCTACTGTTACTGTACTACTTACTGTGAAAATCTCTAGGGGCCACTTAAAAAGTTCTTCAAGGACTAAATGGAGAGAACACTAAAGTGGCCACTAAAACCGCTATTTTAGAAGCCACAATTTTTTATCTCAGTGGCTACTAGAGTAGTTTTCCGTGCTTTGATAGTCCCACTTAGACATTTAAAAGGCCACTAAGTTTGAGTAACTCAAGTGGCCACTCATTAAAGCGTCAAAACCCTATAGTGACCACTTGAAACACCTCTATAGAAGAGGCTATTTTGCGTCTTGGTTAGTGGCTAATAGATTAGTTTTCAGTGCTGTGATAGTACCACTTAGACTTCTAAAGAGGCCGCTTAAGTGGCCACTTATTCGACTACTATAGTGGCCAGAAACGTCAAAACCCTAAAGGACCACTTGAACCAAGTCTATAGAAGCCCCTATTTTCCTTCCCGTGGCTAATAGAGTAGTTTAGAGTGCACTTATTAGACTTCTCAATAGGCCACTAAATTCAAGTCCCATAAGTGGCCACTATAGTAGTTCCTACTGGTCTAGTAGTCCCACTAAGACTTCTAAAAAGGCGATTGAATTTTAATGACGGTAGCCACTTATTCGTCTACTACAGTGGCCAGAAACGTTAAAACCCTAAAGGGACCACTTGATCCATCTCTCTAGAAGCAACTATTGGCGTCTCAGCGGCTAATAGAGTAGTTTTCAGTGCTCTGATAATACCACTTGTACTTCTAAAGAGCCCACTAAAATCAAGGCACTTAAGTGGCCACTATAGTAGTTTCTACAGGTCTAGTAGTACCAATCAGATTTCTGAAGAGGCAACTACTTTTTAACCCCTTAAGTGGCCACTAATTTGACTACTATAGTGGCCACTAAAACGTCAAAACCCTAAAGTGATCTCTTCAAACATATCCAGTATCTCATCTTTTTGACTTATCATCACTCTCCATTTCCCTTCATAGCCTACCAGTGCTGGGCTCGGAGCAGCTCTCCCGGAGATGAACAACCCCGTGGGGGCGGAGCCATCTCATGCAGTTGAAGATGAACTCGACGGTCTCGGCGTCGGACAAGTACATCATGAGCCAGTTGGTGAACACCAGGTCCACACTGAAACTCTTCTTTTTTTGGTGCTCATCCAAGGATCGACGGACCTGGTGTCGGGCATGGCGAGGTTGACGGCGTCGCCGACTTGGTAGTTGATGTTTCCGAGGTGGGCATTTCTCTCCTGGTTCTTCGAGATGAAGCTCTCGATAAAGTCCGTGGAGAGGACCCAGCGGGCGGTTTGAGCCAAGACTGTCGTGAAGCGGCTGTAAATGGGGGATTTATAGTCGACTCACGACTAGCTTGGGACACTAAAGGGGCGTGGCCTGTCTGCGCTCTATCAGTCCGATATTATCTTTTTTTTCGTGTCAGGACCATTTGTTTTTTAGATAACTCAAGCGAACTTTTCTTTGAAGCAACATTAAAAAAACAATGTTTTCGCGAGTTTTTAATAAAATTGTGAAAAAGTAAAGTCATCGAAAACATGAAAAGGATACTTTTTGATAGAATTTCGAAAATGAGCCAAAAAAGAAGTTTCAGAGATCCAGCTAGAAACATGTAGTATTCAAGCCAGTTTATCGATTTCTTGGCTTGAAATTTGGAAAAAGACGTTTTACCCCCAGTAAGAATTTTTTTCGGAAAGATTATAAATTTCGGATTTTAATCGCAATCAGAAAAAAATGATTACAGTAGTACAAAAAAATTCTCAGGGTTGTTGAAACTTCAAAAAAATTGAAAAAAATGAGCCTTTCGTAAGAAAAAGTCTATGGAAGGTTTAGAACTCGAAAAACTAATAGATCCTTTAGAACCTAGAAAAAAAGCTATTTATCTAATAATTTTAGTAATTTTATCGCTAAAATTTCCCACTTTTTCATATTTTTCGTGACAATTTCCTTATCGAAAATCCGATAAAAAAATCCGATAAAAAAATCCGATAAAAAAATCCCGCATTTGATAAGAATTCCCCTATTTCCTTTTTTCTCTGACCTCTAAATAGTTTCCACGACAAAACCACGCTGTTCAAGGTACCCAAAAAGGGAAAAAAGTCAACGTATCGAACCATTTTTCTTATCAGTTTCTGACGGAAAAAATTGGCCCAACGTGCACTTTTATCAGTCATCTTATCAGTAAATATCAACATGCACCCGTGAGAATTTGCGGAGGAAACATTTTTGTCGGTTATAATGAATTGTTGAGCTTCTTCTGGAGAAAAAAAGCGGTTTTTTGTGAAGAATTGAGTTTTTCAAAGAAAAAAATTTTGATATTTTGATTTTTTTTGTACGAATTAAAAAGATTGAAACTCGATTTTTTAGTTCCACATTATATAGAATCTTTAAAAAAACCATTAAGACTTTATTTTTTTTAATTGAGCCTATTTTTTCGAAGAAAAAAGCAATAAAATTCGATCTTTCATACTGAATTTACGTTGCTTACTTGGAAAAACAGCCCTAAAATTTTATTTTTCCTTTTCCAATTTGTACTGACTTTTTCTAAAGCTGAATTTGTTTCCGGATTTTTTTTTCAGATAGTTGTTTTACCCGATTCCGGCGCCAATGTCGACAACGTCCTTGTTGGCCAACTGGGGCAAGCTCGACAAAATGTCGGCGCTGAAAAATGACGAAAATTATAAATTCATGCAGTTTTCTGAACAAGACAAGAATGCCCTTCAAAACAAAAAGATTTAAAAAATGTCTAAAAAAGTTTCAAGGGTTTTCAATGGATAAATGATCAAAATGAACCCTTTTGACAAGCGGAAAAGACGATCCAATCCAATTTTTTCATAATTTCGAGACATTTAAAAGTATTTTACAAGCTTTACAAACCTTGTTTGCTCTAGAATTTCACAAAAAAATCAAAAAGGAACAAAAAAATGAATTATATAAATTTCAGGAAAAAAATGATTTATCTTTGAAAAAAATTTTTGAAATTACTTGTTTTTTTGAAATGCAATTCAATGTGGGGAAGGGGGGGAGGGGGGCAGTAATGTCATTTTTCTTTAACGTAATTTATTTTTGCCATTTCAACGAACCGATCGCTGGCTTCGAGATCATCCGCGCTGTGGTTAAGCATCATGCTGTTGGTGTCGGGTTTGTCCGAAAACTTGTCCCAGAAATTCTTGAAATTGTCGCGACGAACATCGGTGGCCATCGTTCTGAACACTTACACCTTGAATTCTATTATATTATTGAAAAATACAGCAGAAAAAGTGTCATTTTTTTCCACTCCGAACAATTTTGAAAAAAATTGATAAAACTTTAATTTTGAGAAAAAAACCTGAAGATTCAATTCAAAGTCTTTGAAGCCCTAAAAAAAAAGAATCACAGTTTTTCAAAGTCCTAGGGAAGCAAATATTGATAAACTTAATTCAAAGTCTTCAAAAAAAATAGCATTAACAGTCTTTAACCTTAAATAAATCAATGAGTTGAGATATTATCAATCAAAAACTAGCCTTTGATCGTAAATCACTGTGAAATAATACAAACTAGTTAAACTTCAAAAAAGGAGAAAATAAATTTCAATTTTCACAGCGTTAAGAAGAGCGCAAAAACTTTGGTCCAAACAAATTTGATCTCGAGGTGTAGGTCAGAAAATTAGCAAAAAAAGTAGAATAGAGTAATTCTTGACCAAAGTAGAGATGGAAAAAAGAGATAAACCACAGTTAGAAGCAAAAGAATTGAAAAAAAGAACAGTTTAAAAAAATTAAGAAACAAAAATTCATTTTCAGGTTGAAATATTGGATAAAGTTCCTTCTCACGGGCAATTTTTTTAAAATCGGATATTTCACAAATTTTCACTTGACTGGGAAAATTTTTAGTGGCCATTATAGGGTTTTGACGTTTTAGTGGCCGCTATAGTAGTCAAATTAGTGGCCACTTAAGGGCTTAAAAATTAGCGACCACTATAGAGGTCTAAGTGCTACTACTAGACCACTAAACATTTTAGTTTCCACTTTAGGGGTCAATGGATTAACATAACTGGTCCAATCTGTTTGTTTTGAAAATTATCAGAGTTACTGGAAGGAACACTGGATGAATAACTACTGAAGTGGCCACTAAAACGAAAATAGTGGCCACTGTAGAGGTGGGTTTAGTGGCCACTTTAGTGTCCCCTCCAAGTAGTTCTTGGCGAGCCTCTATAGTGGCCACTAAAGATTTTCCCAGTGAGAAAAAAATAAATCTTCTTATCCCTATCCCAAAAGGCTAGTAAGAAGCAAACATGACCCGGAAATGTCTCTGCAGACAGATTCGGCCGTTATCAAGTTATCACCCGCCTCCACCTACTTTTCGCGGTCCAAAGTTTATTAAAACCTTTCAGACGAAAAACTACAGTAACCAAGAGATAAATGGAAAGATTTTCCAGGAAATCGAAGACGACTTTAAATAGCCACCAAAAAAAAGGATTGAGAAACCGGCGATGGCTGAACAAACATCAAGTGTCCCGGCTAGTCAGCTTTTCCCTTTTTTTTTATTTCGCAAAAAAAGATGAGAATTATGAAATTTTCGATCCCCGAGACTATACAGATCAGAGGTTGAAGGCCAAAAGAATAAAATATTGCCTCAAACTGTAAAAAATTACATCAGCAACGATAGATTTGATATGATAACGCTGACTTGACAGTTTAAGGGGACAATAAAAATAATTTTTTCTGAAGAAAAATGACTCGAAAAATGACAATCACGAAAAACCCAAGATAGGAAAGAGCGGAAAATTTCTTGGATCACGGTTAATTTTTAAACAGAATTTCTTCTTTAAAATCAAAGTCGAGATACAAGGAAAAGAGAAATAAAGAAATTTGCTTTCAATCAGTGATAAAAAAAACTTGGTTCTTTTGAAAAGATCAAAAGTCCCACTAAGATCAAAAACTTATGAACGGCCCATTCAGTTTCAAGACACTATAACTAATAAAGAAAAAACATTTTTTTTTTGAAAAAGTTGCGCGAAACGTGTAACTTGATCTTGATGGCCTTCATTTTACGTCTTTGGGCCAAGAAAAGGCATTATCTCGATTAAATAAAAAAAAAAGAAGTGAACAGCGAGAAAACAAGAAACGACGTCATTAGAAGGAAAGATCAACGTCAAAACACTCTCATTTTCACTTCCTTATTAGGAAAAGAGATTAAAATGAAAAAAATATCTTGAAAAAAATTGGGAAAAATCTTGATTTTGACCGTCTTCCTATAAAACTCCTTATTAGCCCTTTTCGGAATATGTTTGATTTTTTGATTGATCAAAAATAGAAAAATTTGAATTTAAATTCAACACCACTTTCTTAAAAGCCTATCTAAAATGGATAGTCTGAATTTCAAAAATCAACAAGCTTAGAAGTAAATTATCACTTCCTTATCACAATAAGGCTTCTTAGACTCGTTTAATTTACTCAGTTTATCAAAAAAAAAAATCTCCTTGAACCCATTGAACTCATGAAAAACCACAGAAAATCGTGAGAAAATTCCGAAAATTCGAATAAAATTTTCCAAAGGAAAATCTCAAATTTGAAATCAAAAAAAAGCCAAAAAGCCTTCGATTATCACTAAGCTTATAACCGATATAGTTTGAGAGAACCTATATGAAATCTTGAGAAAAATCAGAAAATTAATAGAAAAAAATCATTTGGTACCCAAAACCTTCCTTGAAAAAAACCCGAATCAGTGGCATTCTTAGGCGAAAATAAGTCAATAAGCCCTAATTCATCACCAATCTTATCACTGAAACACAGAGAACTTGAGAACACCGTTTAAAAATTCGGAAACGTTAGGAAAAAAAATTGAATAAATTCGAAAGCTTCACAGGAATCTTCAAAATCGAACTTTAGTTGAGATTTAAGCCAAAAGCCTTTATGTATCACTAGGCTTATCACTTGAACTCATTGAGCTTCCGAAAACCCAGAAAATCGTGTGAAAATCTCAGAAACTACATTCAAAACATCATCTTTAATAAGAAAAAAAGATCTCCTTCAAATTAATCAACTTTCTAGGCGAGAATAATCTTCAATTAATCAATAGCTTATCACAAATAAGCTCCTTAAACCCGTTGAACTTTCCAAAAAACCAGAGGAAAAAAAAACAAGTGGACCGCGTGGCGATCGGCGCAGGAAACAGTCTTATCAGTGGGGGAATATCACACCACCTTTGCAGGTAACTGCAGAAATGTCTAGAGAGGTTCTCGGAAAAAAGATACACGTAGTCGGTCAGTGCACACAGGTCGCTCTGAGGCCCCCTTTTAAGGCTGATCGACTATGGCGTGATAGTTTCAACATAAAAAACTTAGATTAGGACTGCTTCAAAAAATAATAAAAACTGTTTGATACTGCGAGACCAATGTCCAAAAAAACTACTCCGTATCAATGCATTCTATTCGAAAATTTAACTAAACAACAAAAAAATTATGTTTATCGAGAATGAAAATAATTTTTTTCTTCTTTAATGAATAAAGGCAGGGTCTATTGCTAATCAAAAATAATTTTCTTTTCAAAATTAGAAAAATAAAAAAATCGGAGAGGAAATTACGAAAGTTAGGTCGTATTCTGCATTTGTAAAATACCACCTTCACGATAATTAGGACATTAATTCTGGAAATTTTCGTCTATTTTTTTCATAATTCTTCAATTTTTATTTTCTTATGAAGTCGATTTTTCGAGGCAACGACATAAATCAAAAATCTTATGTCAAACATAGACTAAATGAAAATGAAACTGAAGAGAAAATAAAAACGGAGCAAAAAAAAATTGACGTCCCATTTATCGTGAAGGTCTTATTTAACAAATGCATTATGCGGCCTAACTTCCAAAAAAAAAAAAAATAACCGTCATAACTTTCGTAGTTGCGTCTTGAAAAAAAAAATTGAAATTTGAAAATGAAAAATGATTTATTTTGGAACGGAAACAGGAAAAATGACTGTTTTCAGAAAGTCAAACATTTTAAAAATTCAAATCCAAAAAAAGATATAACTTACCATCATAAAATTCAGTTTTATTACTTTTTTTTTTCCTTCGTTCTGGGTTATTTTAATCAATTAAAGTGCTGAAAACGAGAAAATTTCCAGAAAATTCCATGGATAAAACCGAAAATTAGTGTGGAGCAGAAGGAAAACAGAAGAAAGTGAGAAAAAAATAAACATTTAGAACAGCCATACTTGTAAAGATTTTTGAAAAAAATAATTTTCCCTTCATATTAGACTCGTTTGAAAAAAATTATTCTGACTTTTGATTTCCACAAAAAAATTCCTAATTAGAAAAAAACTCCCTGAAGAAAAACTTTGTTATCATATGGAAAAAAAGAGGTTTAAATTTTATTATAAAAACGCTATAGCTTGAAAAAAATAAACTCACTCCGCAGTTGCCTTGACTTCCTGGGCTTCTCCTCCGGTCATGATTTTCCTCAAAAACTTGAGATGAAATGAAGAAAATGTTCCGCAATTCTTCAAAAACGAGAGCTTGAAGAAAAAAAAATGTTAAATCTTTGCAAAAACTCTTGGAAATCTTCCTGCAGAGTTCAAAAACACATGGAGGGGGCTTTTAAACGATAAGAGGGGGCGGAAATATTTCCTGACGTGAAAAAAAAATGAGAGGATCGTCAAAGAGAATGGAAAAACGACGAATCAAGACGTCAGCGTAACAAGAAGACGGCGTGACGGCCATTGAAAGTTACAAAAAGAAGGGGCGGCCCCTGTAGCGATTTGTCACTTTTGGAATGTCTGATCACGAAAAATGAACCCAAGGGAATTACTACATAAAAAGTTCATTCGCAGACTTTACAGCGTGGAGAGAATAAAAGAGGTTGAAAAGATCAATTTTGGGACTTTGATTTTTTGGAAAAAGAATGTTCAACGGAAAGACGTAGGATGCATTGAAACGCAAAATTTTGTTCAAACGCGCTGCTTACTAGGGAACGTTTTTACTTCCCCCCGGTTGAACTTTTGCTGAAACTTCACTAAAGTGTACTCCAGGATCCCCCCTGATTCCAGAACATAAACGAAATTTCTCGCAATAGATCTCGTTTTCGAGTTAGGACACTCCAAAAGCCCGAAATAGCGCTTTTTTGGCCTAATTTGCGTATTTTGCACACTTTTAAGCTTCACAACTCGGAAACAAGATCTATTGCAATTTTTCTCTCGTTCTTGGATCAGGAGGTCCTGAAGTACACTTTAGTGAAGTTTCAGCAAAAGTTCAACCGGTAGGGGGGGGACGTTCCCCTGCTTAGGATTACATTTTTTTTTCGACTTCGACTTGACAGAAAACAAAAATGAAGTTTAGAAATGAAAAATGAACTTTCGGCTTATAAAACATGGACTTGGAAGGCATAAAATATAAAAATACTCACTTCAATATTCTAAAAACTGATGGGTGTCATAAATGATCGAAAAAATATAAAGAAAGCATATTAAATCTTGCCGTAGTAGCCGAAAACTGACCTTGGGGCGCTCAGGTGTTGATTTGTCAACTTAAAATATCAAGGTTTCTCGAAAAAAATAAATAATTTCAAGAAGACTTCTCAAAAAAATTCTTGATTTTAAAGGCGCAGTTGGTTTGCATGATCTGAAGCTTCACTGGACACGGCTTTTTTTCCACAAGATTTTTTTCATTAAAAAAATATAAAAAAATTTTGATGAATTTCTGAAAAAAATCATTTAGAATGTCATCAAGTACATTTCCTAAGCTCAAAATATTCGAAGATGACTTTTCAAACTGTAGTTTGAACGAACTTCTCTATGTCAATAGCGCAGGAAAAAAACCACCCTGGAAAGAAATAACAAACTGCTTGGCGAAAGAGGTACTTATAGTTTCCAACAAATCATCTTGCATGAGTTTCCTCAAATCTGACGATTTCAAAGTGAGGAGAAAAAGGATCTGAAGAGCGGAAAAGTGTTTTGAAACGAAATCCCATGATCCATTATCCATTAGAGCAATGATGATTGATCCTTTAAAAAAAAACACAGGATGAATCTATTCCTGGATAGAAAGTCATAAGAGTCTACAAGATTGGTATTTATTCGAACAAATTCATTAAACAATGAAAGTGAGCATAAACCTAATTTTTTTTCCCCTATTTTCGTTTCCCTTATTTTTTAGCTAGCAGTAGAATTTATAAAACTAGTCCTAAAATTATTTATAGTGAAACAAAGAAAAGTTTACATAAAAAAGAGACATTCGAAAAAAAAAAACAAAGAGCGTAAAAAGTCGTTTAGGAGCTGAAAAATTAGCGATGGCGCGCGCTTGATCATGAGTTTTTTTCTTCAAATAATTTCTCCTTTTTGGGGTTCCGAAAAGCGAAGAATTCTTCCTTGGTACAAAGTTATATTAAAGGCAGCTTTTTTCTTTAATACCCTTCATAAAAATCATTTGTTCCTTTAGAAGCCCGAGAGAAAATTTAAAACAGCATAATTAATGTAGAAAACTGATTTCCGTTGATTTCAATTTTTGTTGAACCTTTGATGGTTGAAGAGTTCAGAAATCGCGTCCAATGATCCATTAAAACAAGAATGATGGGACCTGCGAGAAAAACACGAGGAAATCTATTATCGGATAGAAATGGATGGAAACGAGTACATCAGCACCTGGAAAGCATCGTGATTCAACAAAATGAAGCAAACACACGAGGTGATAAAAGGAAGGACCAACCGAAAAATAGTGGGAGAACTCGTGAGTAGCGTTCGCCGTGTGAGGAAAACGTCAGAAAGTTTCTTTTTTTGCAAGTTTCAGGCACGTGGCGCAGGTTTCATAAACATTTTTCTTTGGGAATTGAAAACAATAGGTGAAAGATTGATGATCACAAAGGAGAGAAATGGAAAATTACTGATTGTGAGCGTTCAATGTCGAGGGTCTTCCTTAATGTTAAAAAAAATAGTCCATAAAAAAAAGTCGAGGTGTATTCCAAAACACTTCTTTACATTATCTTCCAACTAGTGAGAAGTTTTTCAAAAGTAGTTTTGAAAAGTATTCTTAGAAAAACTCAAAATAAAGTGAACTTGAAAATGAAAAAGCAAACAAAAAAGCGTAAAAATCTTTGAGGAGCTGATAAGTTAGCGTTGGCGCGCGATTGATCGTAATTTTTTTTCTTTTAAAATTCATCCAGGCTTGTGCGAGGGCCGGCCCGTCACCCTCGCGGCCCCCCGACCATTTCGTAAGCCCGGCCTTAGAGGGGCCTCAAGAAAAAAATGGCCCGCCCGGCCCGAATCGCGCAATTTTTTTCTAGTCGGATATTAAATTTTTTTACGACAAAAAAATTACGTTTTTTTGCTCATTTTTTTCTCTTAAAGTTTAACAAAAAAACTATGATTTCAGAAGTAAGCTGAGTAAGCTTCTAAGAATCACTTCAGGGGAATCAGAACTCTTGAGTGGTCCCTAGAATTGCTCAGAAACATCCGAGGCGCGTCCGGTTTATGTTACAGACTTTCGAGTTTACAATAAAAGGTAAAATTTTCAATTTTTTGTGAAGCCATGCGAAAAATCACCTATCAGACGTCGTATTAATAAATTTTTCTGGGCTCTTTAAAGGCGCAGATAGAGCCTTTCGGCTCGAGACCTTTTGAAAGTTGCTATGATTTCTTCTTTAAATAAAAAAATTCGTTGATTCCTTGTAAAGTCAAAAAAGTTCCCGGCAAGTCAAAAAAACTTAGAAGGTCCCTGAAACTTCAAGAAAAATATCCTGAAAACATGTAAATTTTCAATAGAGCTGCATAAAGCTGAAAAAAATATTTCTTCAAAACCAAAAAAAATAAAAATTTTCATTAATTCATACAAGAAAAGGCACACTTTGCAATCAATAAATCATGTTTCAAAAAAAAGCCACTGAAACCCGAAAGTTAGGTCAATTTCTAAACTATGTTAAGAGCGGGACGATTAAAACATCAAAAAGTCAATCTTTCCATTCGAGGCCGAGCGCATTTTCGATGAATGAGAAGAAGACAGCCGTTTCTCGGATCTGAAATGAAATTTATCAAAATTTCTTCTCTTATTTCACGGCTTGAAACTGCATGGAATGGCTCTCTACGCGTTGCGGTCTTACAGCATATCGAATAGCGCAAATAGTTTTTTGTCGGGCGCACGGTAAGAGTTAGAGTTCCGAAAAAGAACTACGCGACCGTAACACGAAGAGAGCTTATCCAAAACTGTGCACCCGACGAAAAACTACTTGCGCTGTTCGACTTGATGTAACAGAAAAGAAAAACTAGAGAAACGCAACGCGAGCCGCGACGCTCTCAGCCATTCCCAAGGCTTTTTCGAATTCACCAAGGTATGGGTGGGTTTTCCGGCTCCATGTCCAGCGTCGGTCGTGATGAGACCCGTGAAGAACTTGTCCTTGACTTCCTTTTTCTTGGCCTTGAAAATGAACATTTTCAAGGAACATATGATATTTTTGCCTGATAATAGAGCTCGGCGAGATATTTCAAAGAATGTCCGGGAACGACTCGATCGTCATGATCCGCCGTCATGACCAACATGTGGGGGAACTTCTGGAGGTCCGCCGAGGCCAAATTGTGATAAGGAGAGTAGCTGGAAAATTTTCTTCTTGTGGAAAAGTATCCTAACAAGAGAAATTCTAATGTTACCTCATCAGATTCTTGAAGTGCTCCTCCTTGTCCGGAAATCCGTATTCAGGGACCCAGGCGCATCCAATTGTGAATTTCGGGTACCGAAGCATGTCAAGAACGCTTCAAAAATGGATTATGGTTTCAATTTCATTTCTTTAGACCTAAAACACTGAAAAAAAAGTTAATGAAATGCCATGACACAGATTTGAAGTTGGATTTATTCTAAAATGGTAAGCCAGCTTTTGAAATATTTTTTCAACCTATGCCAAAACTCGTACACTTTTGCTTTACAGGTCTCAAAGCGAAGAATCCGAAAAAAGCTTCGGTTATGGTAGTTTTCTTACCTGGTTATTTTACTTGACAGAAACATTTTTTTAAAAGTTAACACGGAATCCACTAAATACTTTGCAGTCAATATATTAGCGCGAAAAAAACTTCTCTTCTTGATTTTTTTGAGAAATTTTTTTGGATTTCTCAAAAAAATTTGAGAATTATTCGAGACTTTTTCGAACATTTTCGAACTTTCAACACGAAAATTACAAATTTGAAAGAAGTTTTTGATAAATAATTTAACATCGCCTCCGTACATCAAACATCGAACGGAAATAATCTCAGATTTCTTTTTCTGACTTCGAAATGAAACATGAAAGTCTTGTTAAACTAAATCTGAAAATAAATTCTTAGCTAACATATTTCTGGATTAAAGTGAAAGAAAAACGTCTAAAATTGCAGGATAACTCGTCAAATTAGCAACGGAGCGCGTTTTCCTCACTATTTACGGCTGTTTTCACTGTAATTTCTCGTATATGTCTTATAGCCCTTACACGGCTAGCTTGGAGCTCTAAGGGGGCGTGGCCTGTCTGCGCCCTCCACTAACCAAGCACTACCTCTTATTTCTTTGTGTCAGGACCATTTTTTTTTCCGATCGCTCAAGCCAGCCGTGAATCAGCTTGGATATTTTAGTTTTGAAAGTCTAAAAATCCTTCAAAACCAACCCGACGTGACAAATGACGGCTCCAAGAAGTTCCGGAGCTTTTCTTGCACAAGCCGCCACCAGAAGACCTCCATTAGAGCCGCCTTCGATGGCCGTTCTTCAAGTTTAAAATGGGAATGGTTCTGATAACTCCTGTGAAAGGTATTCGTTTGGAAAATTCGCACTCTTTCAAGCAAAGGTACAGTAGAAATGAGTTCAAAAAAAATTTTGAGGTGAAAAGTTTTGAGGACTCTTGACGCCTAAATGATCGTAAAGCATATGAGAAGTTCTCTAACAAAAAAAAATCAATTAATCAAATCATAAAAAAACTACCTAGAAAATGAAAATCAACCTTAAAAGGGCGATTCTTCGTAGCAATTTTTCAGAAAATAATTAATTAACTATAGAAATTGATCTAATAGACGGATACAACTATGACTCAAAAAAATTATTGATTAATGATAATTTACTTCAGTGAAAAACTACAGGATCCCCAACTCTTTGAAACTTTCTACTTCTCTAAAAATAACGAAAACCCACAATTTCGGAGTAGTGACACCCCGGTCAATGAAATCCTTTATAACCGCCAGGAAATCATCATAAAGACTTTTTTCGGTCATTTTCTCTCTATTCGTTTTTTTTAACATAAGGGAAGTTTGAACCCACTTTGAATCATTTTTTTCTCCAGTCAAGAAAAAAATTTAATAAAGATCATTTTTTTCGTCATTTTTCCGTGAAATTTTCTACTTTATTCCCCCTCGAAACTCACAATTTCGGGGTAGTGACACCTCGATCGATAAAATCCTTGACAACCGCCAGGAAATCATCAAAAACGTTGTGTTTCTTCAATAACCGACCATCGTGGTAGAATTCATCGCCGAATTCTCTAGAAAACTCCTCAAATTATTCTTAAAAATTCTGAAAAATGAAACCCGCCGCCTCGAGTATTGACAAGGACAAAGATAGCGTCGTATTTGGTCAAAAAATAGGGCCGAGAAATCGAATAGCCAGGAAGCAGAGCGTGTTGGAAACCTTAATGAAATCTCATTTTTCCCCATCTTAAAAAGCTATGAGCAGTATAAAATAAGGCTCGAAAAACAAAAATCATTTATTAGAGCCCTTTTTTTCGCCTTTTTAACAGGGTCTAACCTCCATATCCATAGAAAAGTACCGGATGAGGTCCTTCGTTTCTCATCTTTTTCGGTTTCACCATAAAGTAATGAACCTGGAAAATCAATTTTTTCCGATTTACAAATGGTTTTTAATTGAAACCTTGCTTCCATCTTTACTTTTCGCCCAGCCATCCGAAACATCGAGCCTTTCGGAGTGATCATGGAGTTCAGTTCCACTCCGTTCAATCACCTTCAATGCTTGTTTCATTTCTTTTTATTCATCTCAAAAAAAGATTGTAAAAAGTTCATTTCCAGTTCTTTAATTGAAAGAAGAAAAAAAAGCTGCAAATTATGCCCCTAGGGCCACCTATAACGTCTTAGAGTTCAAAAAAATCACCATTTTTGTGGAGAAAATATAATTTTCGGCTTTTTTGAGCAGTTATAACTCTACTAAAAAAACTTAAAAGCGCAGTTTTTTTTCTTTGTTTATTAATTTAAAAGCGCCCTCTCCTCTCAATTCCTCTCAACAAATCCCTTCAAATTCTAGACACTTTTCACATTTCATGCAAAAAATCACCTCCAACTTGGGCTTATCAGTGATGGTCAATTTGTTGACCGAAACCGGTCTAGTGAAAGATTCCTGGTTGAAGTAGGTGACCTCGCTGCCAAACCAGTTCGAGAAACCGGTCAGTTTGCTGAAATATGAGCAATAAGGAGATATTTAAGGTGAAATTTAGGCCAGAATGTGATTTTAAAACTACAGAAAGAGCAAAATTTTAGGAAAATTAAAAACTGTGATTTTAGACACTAATTGCTGAAACTTTCTGTTCATTTTGAATTTCAATGACGTCATTCAAAAAAACGCTCTGTGAATGGCTCGTTCTCTGATTGGTTTATCATGCCATTAAGGGCGGAGCTTGAGAGACTTGAAATTAAAAACCTGATCAGACTAAAATAATGATGAGATGTTCTATGAAGAATATTATTAAGATCACAAACTTTTCAAATTAGAACATCTAAAAGAAATTCGAAATTAGAAACTACAAGTTGAAGGTGAAAAAATCAATTTTAAACAAAAATGTCACTTCAAAATGAAAAAAAGGACTAGGAAAGCGAGCAGATCTTTCTCAAACCGAAGCTTATTTTAAAAAAACAAATTCCATCCAAAAACTACCATAATCAAACAATCACAGGGTTCCAAGTCTTTTTCTTAAAACTAACTCGAATCCTCTATAAATCGTGTGGAGCTTCTCGCCGACGTGGGAGCAGAATTCGATCAAAGTCTGGGAAAATCAACGTTCAGTGAAGATGAGCTCTCAAGTCAATTAGTCGCATTTGGAATGATTAACCTCAAGATGCGCCCGACCCAGAACGACTTGCGCTTTTTAGCATAGGAAAAACATGGGAAGCCTTGTAAACTTCAAGGCGGCTCTAGGACGCATGGGCCTAGGAAAATCCTAGCGTGTCTAAATCTTTATGCGTGTCTAAATCTTTATGCCGTGTTCAATTTGATTCCCCGAAATGCAAAATACCCGTTAGAGAAAGGAAAAGATCACTAGATTTTGGAGAGTCAGAGACCATTTTGCATTTCGCGAAATTACTTTGAACACGGCACTATGATTCGCGCTCAATTTCTGTTTCCCAGTTCTTTTTGAATTATAAGCCACACGTGAATCAATTAAAAACTCTTTAGCCGCCACACAACCGCGACGCCTTGATCCATTCCAAATGCGACCAAAAGATCATACAGTACCGCTCAAAAGTCTATTAAGTTTTGGTTTTTTGGGGATACTTATCGAGTACTTATCCGATTTATATATAACTTTCAGGGATAATGTAAAAATATACTTTGAAACATATACGGTATATAAAGACATGTCCGCAATGACTGTGACGCGTTTTAGGCATTTTTTTATTGAATTCCATTTTTTTGTTTTTTTATGCTTTTTATTTTTTTATTTATTTTTTTATTAAATTTTTTTAAAAATTAACAATGTTGCCATATGATTTTTTTTCATGTTTTTCAGACATGGGAAGAATCTCTGGAAAAAAGGATTTGACTGATAACGAAAAAAGAGCCATCGTTGTGGGTCGTCAAAATGGACTGACCATGATGACGTTGGCAGGAATGTTCGGCGTGACAGAGGCGGGCATTTCTCAGTTCCTAAAGCGTCAGAAAGCTCAAGATGGCTCTACTAACAGCCAACGCACTGGAAGACCACGTGTCACTGATCGTAATGACGATAGGAACATTTTGAAGACGTCTAGAACCAATCCAAGACTCACCGCCCCTGCGATCAGACGGGAAGTTTTCTTGAATTCGCCATCTCCGCCATCCGTCTCGACCGTGAAACGACGTCTGAATGCTGCTGGAATCATGTGAAGACGTCCAGTGAAGAAACCGCTGATTTCTGAAAAGAATCGAGTCGCCAGGGTGAAGTGGGCGAAGGAGCATCTCAACTGGACCCGTCAAGACTGGAACAAGATTCTGTCGTCCGACGAAATCAAGTTCCTCCTCTTCGGAAGTGACGGAATTCAATGAGTTCGTAGACCAATTGGGTCCAGATATCATGCGAAATACCAATTACCCTTTGTGAAACATGGTGGAGGACCGTTTCGTCGGACGACAGAATCTTGTTCCAGTCTTGACGGGTCCAGTTGAGATGCTCCTTCGCCCACTTCACCCTGGCGACTCGATTCTTTTTCAGAAATCAGCGGTTTGTTCACTGGACGTCTTCCCATGATTCCAGCAGCATTCAGACGTTGTTTCACGGTCGAGACGGATGGCGGAGATGGCGAATTCAAGCAAACTTCCCGTCTGATCGCAGGGACGCTGAGTCTTGGATCGGTTCTAGACGTCTTCAAAATGTTCCTATCGTCATTACCATCAGTGACACGTGATCTTCCAGTGCGTTGGCTCTTAGTAGAGCCATCTTGAGCTTTCTGACGCTTTAGGAACTGAGAAATGCACGCCTCTGTCACGCCGAACATTCCTGCCAACGTCATCATGGTCAGTCCATTTTGACGACCCACAACGATGGCTCTTTTGTCGTTATCAGTCAAATCCTTTTTTTCAGAGGTTCTTCCTATGTCTGAAAACATGAAAAAAAATATATGGCAACATTATTACTTTTAAAAAAATTTAATAGAAATAAATAAAAAAATAAAAAGCATAAAAAAACAAAAAATTGAATTCGAAAAAAATTCCTAAAACGCGTCGCAGTGACTGCGGACATGTATTTGTATACCGTATATGTTTCAAGGTATATTTTACATAATCCCTGAAAGTTATATATAAATCGGATGAGTACTCGCTGAGATATCCTCAAAAAACCAAAACTTAATAGACTTTTGAGCGGTACTGTACTTCCAAAGAAGGACTGGTGTAGCAGAGAAGGATCCCGTTGTGGTGAATATCCGCCTTTTGCAGAACGAATCCGTCTCGTTGCGGAACGACGTCTTCAAGTTGGCTCGGATTTTCGGCGTTTCCACTGACGACCTTGTAGAATTTGGCGCCGTCCTTGTTTGTCAAGTAGAACAATTTGTTGCCCACATTGCCAATATACTGAAAAGAACCGATTTTTTAAAATCACGTATAGTTCATCCACCGCGCTTTGAAATTTTCGACTGTGTGCGTCCCTCTTCTCTCTCACCGACGAGGTTAGAGAAACATGAAAATAGCACGTCAAAGTGAGAGAGTCGCTGAGAGACGAAGAGGGCGCAGAGAACTCTAATGAAAATGATGCAGTGACCCGCACCGCAGTGAACCCCGAAAAACGAACTTTTCGTTGATGTTTTCGGTGCACCCCGCGTTCGACCTAGGTGGGGTGCACCCCTGGGGCAACCGATCGGAAACAAAATCGTGTACGGAATAAGCACCTTAATAGGCATTCAAAGCTTAGAGTGCACCCCGAGTTACACTTTTAAGGGGGGGTGCACCGAGAGTTCAACGCAGAATGAACCGCCAGTTTTGTTAGAGAAGGACTTTCAAATCGCGAAAGACAGACCACAGGAAACCCCAAACTCTCGAAAAAATCTTTCAAAACTTCGGGAAAACTAGGTATTCCACAAGAAAAAGAAGCATTCTCATTCAAAAAAAAATGATCAAAACACGAAGTTAGTATTAATTCGGTAAATAACTCTAATGCGTGTTCAAAGAGGATCCGCGAAATCAAAAATATCCGTCAGAGAAAGAAAAAGATGAATAGATTTTGGAGAGTCAGAGATAATTTTGCACTTCGCGAAAATTACTTTAAACAGGACATGAAAAAAAAATATGTTCCGCTTTCAAAACTTGAAAAGTTCGTCTTAACACAATAATATATGTCTTTTCTCTTTTAAAAATGTGAATTCTAACGGATTCCTTCAAAAAATGATGAAGCGCTCAACTTTTTTCAGATTTCTTATTTTTACCTGGATCCTAACCACGATTAATTTCACAACTCACTGAAATACTGCACGTGAAACCGGAACTAATGGTAGTCGGCTTGACTTTTTCCGGCACTTTGTCGTCAAGTTTCCAGAGGTATAGTTCATTCTCGAGGTCACAACCGCGATAAACTTTGATGATCAAGAACTTGTTGCAGTGGGATACCCTTCCGTTGCTGGAAAATTAAGAAATTGAATGTGAAAATCTTGAAACCGACTATTTTTTTGAATCAAAACTTTTTTTTAAGCCTACGGTCCAATCTTCGGAAGCTAGAGAGCACTGGTAAGAAAGTGAGCGTTTAGAGAAAAAAATTTCGAAGATTCTAACGTCTCAAGAACCCCAGAGTAGTCACTTGAGGGTTTAGGGGAGAAAACAACCCCTACAGGGTATAAAAAGTGCTCCCTATAGGGATAAAATTTAGGTGGTCCCTAGAGGGTTTAGGGGCAAACTCCCACGCCCCTAAAGATTAAGTGGCCCCTGTAGGGGTCTTGTATATTTCTTTTTCTGCTGATAAATAGACGCTTAGGGGTTACGAGCATGCCCCTAGAGTGGCCACTAGCTGAAACCCCTAGAGTGGTCATTTTTTGCAAGCTTCAGCGCCCCCTAGTGTTCTCATCCTATTGAAAAATCTTTTTTTATGAAATTTCAAAAATCCACAAAATTTTTTTTTTGAACATGACTTGGCTTCCAATATTCTCAAAAAAATCTCAAAAAAATATCAGATCACCGTTTAAAAAAACCTTTTTTTCCCCAAATAAACTCAACTTTGATCTTGTCCAAAAATCTCTGAAAAAGCTTAGAATTTTTTTATTTAAAGATCCCTTATAAAAATTTTAATAATACAACAAATTTTTTTCAAATAAATTGAAACCAACACATTCAACGTTTCGCCATCGGGTCTATCATGGACCAAAAATATCCTTCGAGGGGTCCGTTCCAAGCTCGTGATAGTACAAAGAATGGAATTTGAGAGCTTTCGTGGAAATTTCATCGTTTGAAGGGTCTTTCGATTTCTGGAAATTCCTTTTTTTCTGGATTTTTTCCATTTCTGTTTCAGGGTTGTTCAAGAAGTGTTTTTTTGAAATAGAGAGTAGGAGAATATTTCAAAAAACTCTAAAATGGACCTGTAAATGGATATTTGGTCTTCACGGAAAAGTTGTGTGACTACAAGGCTTTTAGGACACATCCTTGAATAAAGTTGGGCGGGGCCAAAATATCCGCCATTTCCACGTGACGTCATGGGAACGACGGAAATTTCGGGCATACATGGCATATTAAAGGCGCAGGCCGTCGTATTGCCAGAGGTCTTTGAGACGAATCGAAATTTCTCTGAATAAACGCAATTTTCTGCGCGAAAGCGACGCAGTGCATGCACACGACACACGACAATTTACGCTGAAAAAGTGGGCGTGAAAAAACGACGTGACAGCGCGCATGCACCAGATTAGAGAGCACAATAAACTTGGAGTGACCAGACTCGTACTCTCCTCGCTCTACACACTGTCTGAGGACCTGCGCGCCGGCATGCCAAGACAGTGTGTAACGGGAGGAGAGTACGAGTCTGCATGCCAGCGCGCATGCACCAGGTTAGAGATAATGGTAAACTCGGAGAGGCTAGACTCGTACTCTTCTCGCTCTGCACACTGTCTGAGGACCTGCGCGCTGGCAAGCAAAGGCAGTGTTTAAGGCGAGGAGAGTCTGGTCTCTCCGAGTTTACCGTGCTCTCTGAGCTGTTGCATGCGCGCTGGCAAACCGTTTCCCCCGAGAGAGGGTCGTCCGTGGGCTCTGGAGGCTCGGGAGATCCAGAAGACGAGTGGTTTGGGCTGGTGGCCAGGCGAGGTATAAGAATCCGTGTAATCAGCCCTTTATATAGTGGGTTTATCTTCCACGTGATCAATTATCATTATTCATTCCTACCAAACACGAAAAAGACTTAATCTCACGAGATCGAGGCATAAGAATTTCATTTCGAGACAAGATTTCGAACAGCCCGGTTCTACTCACTTCACTGGGATATTTCGAATAAAAGACGCCTTTTCTTTCGAGGAAAGATATCCCTGAGAACTTTGCATTGGGGATAACGTCGGGAAGATCTTCACCGTTGATTTTTCGGAACTGAACATTGAAATATCAAGCAATTCAATTTTCAAACCTCCAGCAAATCGGAAAAAGCTCCTCAGAAGTCAAAAAAAGCTCTTTAAAAAGGTCTCCAGCAAATATTTTCATCCCATTTTGGTATCTTTTTCACATACTTTATATAAAAAATGCCGGAAAGAAACTAAAAATATTCCAGGAAACTCAAAAAGAATCATCTTAGGCTATGAAAAAGCGTTCAAAAGACTTTTTTCTATTATTTTTGAAGCCTTTTGCGGAATCTTTTTAGTTTTTTTTCAGAGGATCTTCAAAGGAACTTTTCCGTTTAACCTATAATAATCAAGGACCTTGATAGTAGTGTTGTCGGATCCTTTTGAACTGAGGCCATAACCAAAAATGGCGTCAGAGGTATTATCAGACCAATTATGTGAACTAAAAAAAGGAATAATGAAACAGAAAACGATTTTTCAATTTAGAAAGTATTTGAAAATTTTCAAAAAGCCTTTTTTCACATTTTTAACTTTATTAGTCAATAAATTATGCATCAAAAACTTTTTTTCCTGAAATTTTTTTAAAATTTTTATTATACATAAATTATTTCCAAATAAATTTCATGTCTATTCTTTCTTCAATACTGTGGAATTTTGACATCTCAAATGCGAAGACCGATTGAAAATAGCACCTAAACTTTCTTTAAATTCATCTAAGAAACCGGAAAACTCACTTTTAAAATTACTTTTTCCCTTCGAATTGGATTTTAAAGACATTAGTAATATTCAAAATGGAATAATATTAATTTTCTGATCCTCTGAAATTTTGTGAACTTGATCTCCCTAAGGAGAATGATATAAAAAGTTATTAGAAAAAAATATTCTGGAAAAAAATTAGAACAGAGAAAAATTTTTCAAAAAAATCGAAAAAAATAAAAAAATTTTTGTCTTCTATATATTTACTAATTTTATGAAATACTGTTCATTTTTTTCACAAATGAAAAAATCCAACTGCAAAGAAATGGATCCGTCTTCAGCCAACTGATTAACATCCAAGAAAGGAATATCCCCAGTCTCCGTCCTTTTGTAATATGTGCTATAATTTCATACTTTTTTCGATTCAAGTCCAAAACTCACTAATGATTTTTGACGCCATCATGACCGAAATAAAAATAACTTCCGCCCTGTTCCGAAGCAGAACAGACCCGTTTATAAACCCAGGCCTTTTTCAAACTGAAAACGAAAAATATATACAAATTCTCCTACAAAAGAAACGTTTCCTGAGCCCTCAAAGTCGCCTCAGAATCGACAAACTGAACTTTCGAGAATTCGTTGATTTTCCGGACAAATTCCTTGGTTTCGGCTGCGTCCGCATCTTCCAGAGCATGGTATGGATCTTTCACCTTAACTTTAATTTCCAATTTTCGAACTTTTTATTAAATTCAACTTCAATTTTGTTTTCTGTGTAGGTGTAAGCCTTGGTTTTTGTCTCGGTCCGCCAGCGGAAACGGTAAATCGTTCTTGACAAATGAAGTCATCATGAATCAGACCTTAAAAAAATATCATCCATAAAAAACTCAGGCATTTGAAAAAGAAAAAAAAAGAATGATAAACAGCAAAAAAAAAATGCAAAAAAACGGAGAGAAAAAAGCCAAAATGAAGAAAAAAATATTTTAGAAATTCTACAACCCTTTTAATTTTTGGCCTACAGCTTTAAATATTCTTCATTTTGAAAAATATATATCAAACTAAGTTCTCTTTTTCTCCATCGCGATGATACTTTTTGTGCGAAATAAAAAATTGAATTGAATTTGAAGCGTGACTGAACAGGGATTAAATCAACAGGAAACCCAATGAATGATTTTGTAAAACCGAATTAGCAATGAAAACAGAAACCATAGTTATCTACTGGTCAACAGAAAGTTCTAAAATAAACGTTTATTTCAGAAAAAACATCAAAATGCAAAAATTCGGACTTGACACGTTTTTCGCGTCATTTTTTATGCTTTGGACGCAAGCACCGAGAAAACGGTGGTGCAGAAACCTTTCAAAAATCCAATTTTCAACAAAAAAAATAGAAATTTTCATTCATAAAAGTAATGAGCTCTTTTCGTTCAGTGAATTCGTTGAAAAGTTTGAAATTTATAGTGTGGCGAGAAAAAATAGTTAACAAAGCAAAAATTTCGCGCCAAAATTCCCGCAAGGTTCTTGAAAGAACTATATAAGTAAAAAACATCAAAACTCTCCGTTCGCCTTGGTGTCCGTATCGGAAATTGCAGTTTTGATAGGAAAGTGTCAAATAGTGTGAATCACCATATTGATAATGAACAAAGTCGTTCCGTTTAAAAAAAAAACTGCTCATTTATGGTAAAATAAGGTATGAGAACTTTCAAAATATCGAAGAATTTGAAATATCGTTAACACTCCATGGTAATGAAAGCTTTATTATACTGACTAACATCACAATTTGACAAAAAAATCCGTACAAATTTAAATGAGATTCAATAAAAAGGTATTTTTCTACAATTTTTTTCAATCCTTCCATTTGAGGCCGAGCGCTTTTTCAATGAACGACAGGACGACGGCCGACTCGCGAATCTGAAAAAAATGAGAATTAGGAAGAAAAAAACAGAACAAATTTATAGTTAATTTAAGATGGTTTGAGCAATAACCAATGATAGCATAATAGGAGAAATAGTGTGCAGAAAGACGAAAAATTAAATTTTTTTAAATGTTGTTCATTTATTAATAATTTTATAATTTCTCATTTTGTGAAAAAAGAATGAAAAATTGTTTTCCCTCAAAATATTCTGAAATTCTTTTAATTTTCAAAAACCGAAAGCCAACATTACGGACCACAATATTCGTGGGTTTTCCCATTCCATGTCCAGCTCCAGTTGTAATGACGCCAGTGAACAGTTTGTCCTTCACACCTTGCTTTTCGGCCTGAAAATTTCGTTTAAAAAAAAATTTTCTTCAGTCGCCGAAAAAGACATCATTGTTGGGAACGTCAAGGTGGTCCCTAGAGGGGTTGGACAGTGGGGTGGACAAAATAGAGCTCCACAGAAGGTTAAAATTTTGGGGTCCCTCTAGGACTCTAGGGTTCGACCTCTTAGCCCCTAAATCTCAAGTGGCCCCTGTAGAAGTTTTTTTAATTGTTTGTTCAGATTTGATAGTAAAAATGAGGTATAGGATCCACTAGCCTGCTCCTCTAGAGTGGCCACGTTTTCAAGCGTTAGTACCCCTTACAGGGAAAGTAAGGTGATCTATTAAGGGTCACCTACAGGAGCCCCTAAGGCTGTCCCTCTAGTGATCACACTGGCGTTTTAAAGTTTACAGTTCGAATTCGAAACCTAAAAGTAGAAAATCATAACTTTTTGACAGTAGGAATCGAAGAATAGGAAAATTATGTCCATATACGTCATTTCTAACAACTTCTGAACTTAGTTAATTACTAACTTCTTGAATCTGAGTCATACATTGTAATTTAATTACAACATAAAAAATGTTTTTTTCCTCTTTAACGATAACTAACCTGATGATAAAGCTCAGCAAGATATTTCAAAGAATGACAAGGAACAGCCCGATCGTCGTGATCCGCTGTCAGAACCAGAACATTTGGGAAGTTTTTCAAGTCGGCCGTGCTCAGATTATGGTAGGGAGAATAGCTAAAATGAGGAAAAGTCAACGAAAATTCAGTTTTTCTAAACTTCATTCGGCGCGACTTGACAGTTTTCGTGTGTCTGCGTCTCTCTGTCCCCTCACCGGCGAGGTTAGAGAAAAAAAAATAGCACGTCAAAATGAGAGGGGCGCTGAGAGACAAGAAGAGCGCAGAGAAAAACAGAATTTTCAAGTATAACAAGGTTTCAGAAATTCTAGATAGCTGAACCTTTGAACTGAATCGATCGGCATGTTCTAAAACACGAGCGGTTGTGGGGCACGAGCGGCACGACCGTTACTAAATCACGAGCGGTTTCATTTTCGCTCCTTCGCGAACGCTTCTAAATCACGAGCGTTTTTGGCTTATCGTTCTGTTCGAGCGTTTCTAAACCGCGAGCGTTTCATTTAAATCATTTTCTTCATTACCATCCAAGTGTGTGTCATATTTCTACCTTCTTTTTTTCTCCTTGAATAAAAAAATTTTGACGATCTTATATGCACATTTTTTTCGCTCAATTTGTTGATTGATTCACATTTGAGGTTCATATAATGGATTTTTTCTAAGTTTTTTTGCGGTCTCTATAATTTCACAGATTCTGCGTATGGCAAATCTAATAATTTCATCTGATTTTCATATTCAATATTTCACAGATTTTTGCGTATGATAAACTAATATTTCACAGATGTCTCGCATGAAAGTCAATATTTCTCAGATTTTTGCTTATGACAAATTAAAAAAATATGAACTTTTTTTCTCTGATTCTCATCTGTGTTTTCTTGCAAAAAATCTAGCTAGTATAGTCATTTTATAAGCGCTGTTTGGGCGGAATTATAATACGAAATTATAAAAATTTAGTAACAGGCCGCTTGCTGCATTTTTCTGGAACAACGGGAGCTTGCTGCATTTTTCTGGTTATCGTCCGAAGCCCACTATGTCGTAAGTTTCTTCCCTGCCTTCTCACTGATAGTTTTTTAAAGCAATTACACACCGCCCGAAGATTTTCCGGATGATTTTTTGGAGCCAATGGATGGTACCTTGAGGTTTTTTCTCATATAATTTGGATGTTTCAGATTCCATTGTCGAACTTTCATACCTGAGTCTTGAAGAAGGTGGGTTACTAATTACAAGTTGTTAACATGTATCAAAAAAATCACTTTAAGGGGAAATCCGCGACACGAGTATGAATTCCACACGATCTACAACTGAATTAAAAGAAAAAAATCGACTGATGGTAATCGAAAAATTATAGAAAAATTTAACGGATGCGGAAAATTATTATTATCTTTCAGAGAACAAAAACATCATCGGTGTTCACCTCGATGAGATTAATTCTTTTTCGGATCAGCCATATGTCAGCCAAACGCATGCTTTACGATAATTTGAAGTACATATTTCCTTGAACAGTTTTTTTGCTAGGATTATTCGAACTGAATTCTTTAATATAAACTCTGATTTATACATTGATTTCCTTTTTTTCTATATTTTTCATTTTTCCAATCTGTTTCGTTATACGGCTGTCATTCACCGATGAACCACCAGACGCTTATGGCATTTATTTCATTCATTCGCTACGGTTATTAATTTATTTTTGATACTTCGTAAATTTCGTATTTTTTTTTTCTCGTTTCATGATAAATATTTTCAAAGCTTGGAAACGAATAAATTTTTTGGTAGTATCTCCAAAACTATTCTAGCGGGTAAGAGGAGAATAAAATATGAATGGCATCAATTCGAATATGACATTCTATTACCAGAAAAAAATTTTTGAGAGAAAGTATTAGAAAAATTTGCTATACGCAAAAATTTGAGAAATATTGACTTTCATGCGAGACATCTGTGAAATATTAGTTTATCATACGCAAAAATCTGTGAAATATTGAATATGAAAAATCAGATGAAATTATTAGATTTGCCATACGCAGAATCTGTGAAATTATAGAGACCGCAAAAAAACTTAGAAAAAAATCCATTATATGAACCTCAAATGTGAATCAATCAACAAATTGAGCGAAAAAAATGTGCATATAAGATCGTCAAAAATTTTTTTATTCAAGGAGAAAAAAAGAAGGTAGAAATATGACACACACTTGGATGGTAATGAAGAAAATGATTTAAATGAAACGCTCGCGGTTTAGAAACGCTCGAACAGAACGATAAGCCAAAAAAACGCTCGTGATTTAGAAGCGTTCGCGAAGGAGCGAAAATGAAACCGCTCGTGATTTAGTAACGGTCGTGCCGCTCGTGCCCCACAACCGCTCGTGTTTTTAGAACATGCCGAATCGATCATTGGGAAGATTAATTTTCCGAAAGATTATTTCTTCAAAAAAATCACGAAGAAAACAGTAAAGATAAATAAAAAACTTTTTTTTATTTTGAAGCATAAAACCTCATCAAATTCTTGAAATGGTCCTCCTCTTCGGGATTACCGTATTCAGGAACCCAGGCACTTCCAATCGTGAATTTCGGGTACCGGAGCATGTCCAGAACACTTCAAACATTCATTTCAACTACAAAATTCAGTTTAGCACCGACCCGACATGACAAATGACGGCTCCAAGAAGTTCCGGAGCTTTTCTTGCACAAGCCGCCACCAGAAGACCTCCATTGGAACCGCCTTCGATGGCCGTTCTTCAAATTTGGGCAATGAAAAAAATTTCTCTCGTTTTTCATTTTTTTTTTTCGAGTATCAATTCAGCTTTATCATAAAAATTCCAAATTTCAAAAATATTGAAAGTGGAAAAATTTTGTCTGAATTCAATCCGAAAGCGTCCTTGATGAAATATGCTAATCAAAAATAATTTTCGACGTTGAATAAATTAAAAAAACGAAACTGTAAGCTGATCTCTGAATTTATGTTGACACTATTCAAAATTGAACACAAAATTTTTTATAAGCAGTTGAGAAAAATGTTATTCTGAAGTATTTTTTTTGAGAAAATTTTTTTTTTGTCGATTTATAGGAGCAGTTCATAAAAAATAACTTTATCGAAAGTTGAAATTTGTTGAGATTTTCACTCTAAACTTGATAAAATATAGGGAAAAAAAGGGCTGAAATTAATATTTTCACAAATATTTTTTTGAAAGCTGAATGAAAAAAAGGATTTTTAAAGCATTCAAGATTTCTTTTTCATTTTTAGCGTCTCTCCTGTCATTAATACGAAACTTTCTGGCGACTTTTTTTCTATACCATTAATTTTTTTCGCCATGAAAGGAAAGAGACGTGGAGAAACTTCAAAGTTAACTTTTTAAAAATTTATTTTCTCCATTTCAAGTCAAAAAAACTAGAAAAAAATCCAATAAAGACCATTTTTTTGTGTCATTTTTTTAAGGTATTTTTTTCGTGAAATTTTCTACTTTTATTCCCCCTCGAAACTCACAATTTCGGGGTAGTGACACCTCGATCGATAAAATCCTTGACAACCGCCAGGAAATCATCAAAAACGTTGTGTTTCTTCAATAACCGACCATCGTGGTAGAATTCATCGCCGAATTCTCTAGAAAACTCCTCAAATTATTCTTAAAAATTCTGAAAAATGAAACCCGCCGCCTCGAGTATTGACAAGGACAAAGATAGCGTCGTATTTGGTGACCATCATCGGAAGAGTTACAGAATAATACGGGAAAAGAGGTATTTCGAAGCCTAGAACATTCTCTGAATTTATTTCGAAGAAAGAAGGATTCTTAACCGCCGTAGCCATAAAAATGAACTGGAAAAGGTCCTTTCGAGCGCATTTTCTTCGGTTTCAGCATGAAATAATGGACCTAGAAGAGAATTTTTTTTTAGTTACTGGAAAAATTCTTAGTGGCCCTTTAAGGGTTTTTTTTTGAGGAGTTGTCACTACCTTAGACAAAGTCGGAAAGAATGAAAAAGGCTCTATAGAAATATTTCATTTTGGCTGCCTTTTTGCGCCATTTTATCGATTTTTATGCACCATTTTTGCTGCCTCTCCCTTTTTCCACCATTTCTCGAGCCTTTAAAATCCCAAAAAAATTAGAAGGCTCGATAAAGTGACCCTTTTTGCTGCCTTTCTGTGGTCTTTTAGTGGAAAAAAGATAGTAGTGGAATAAGTGGCCCCTAAAGTGGCTGAAATGAAGTGACCTCTTTAGAAGCCTACTAAAAGAGGGCACTAATAGACCACTAAAAGTTTTAGAGGCGTCTATAGAGATGATTTCAGTGGCCACTTTAGGGTCCTCTCCAAGTAGCCTAAGCCTTGAGGGACTTCTTAAGTGGCCACTCGAGTTTTCACTAACTTTAGTGCCATCCTTGCTGTTGGCCCAGCCGTCGCGAACTTCCAGCCGATCGGAAAAATCGTGAATTTCATTTCCGCTCTTCGAAATCACCTTTAAAACGTACTTCTTGGAAAAAAGCACAAAAATTTGAGGATTTTTCAGAAAAATAACTCAGTTTTCCAAGTCCTTCCTAGGTTTGAAAACCCCCCCAAAATCGAAAAAAAACTAAACGCCAGAGTGGTCCTTATAGGGGAAACCTAGGGGTACTCAAAGATTCCCCTCTATGGACCACTTTATCTTTTCCTATAGAAGATTTACTTAGTGGCCCCTGGAGGGAAATCGCCTCGTTTATAGTCATGAACCTATAAGAAAAGTTATTTTTGAAAAGAAACTCAATGAATTGGCGTTTTTTGAATGAAAAATATCAAGGAGTCACTCTATCAAGATTTTATTTTATACGACTTTTAAACTTTGCCCCAATAGGAAGCCCTTTTTACCACATACAGGGTCTGTTTTTCACCTAATCCCTAAAGGCAACACTCTGGTATTCCTCATCAAAATATCACTTCTACTCCTGACCTCTAACTCTACATATAAGTGTAAAAAACGTTTTTTTTTGAACCATACTGCAAAAATCTTCTGATTGAAGATTTTATTATATTCCAGATTCCACCTCAACACTGGGTTCTCCAGAAGTCGTCACTTTCAGAACCGACGTCGGCGTCGTGAAGGAGACCTGATTGAAATAGGAAACATCGCTATTGAACCAATGAGACGATTCGAAAAGAGTACTGAAATTTCATTTTGAAACATTTTCTCAAGGTCTATCTCACTCAAGACCCTTGTAGATCGTCTTGGAGTTTTTCCCGTCGTGGTCGCAGAATTCAACAAGGGTCTGCAAATCGGAAAGATATTTTTAAGCATCTTGAAGCTCTTTATTTGGAAATTTACGGTCAAAATCTGCGATAGGGCTTTAAAAAATCACTATTTTCACACTAATAGAACACTAAGAATTACTGCCGAGATAAACGCGATATCGCAGTACATTAACGGTATCGCAAACATATCGCGCATTTTTCTAGGCGCAATCTCACTTTTTAGAGATTTCCAATTTTTTCAGTGCGAGGGAAACGCGATGTCGCGGCTGGAAAGAGCGAGAGTCGCGCCCCGACAGAGCGGCCTCTTTGCGATGTCGTCAATATACCGGCAGCGATATCGCTCTAATCTCGCGCCGGACTAGGTAGTTATCCGAATACTTTCAAGACGCAAAATGTCTTTTTGAGTGATCGAAACTGATTATCGCTTTGAGACCTTCATGACACATTTCCCTGCTCCTTTAAGCATCCAAGGGTTTTTCGTTTAAGAATCAAGAACTACTGTGAAACTTTGAAGTGGTCCCTATAGGGAGTGTTATAGGGGCTCCTACTTTCTGCTCAAAGGGAGCCTTAAAGCTTAAGGATTAAAGTGAACTACTCAAAAATTACTATAAAATGTTGACTTTTCGACGATGAAATTGCCCCCTTATACGGTCCTTAAATGAACAAACCCTATAGGGACCCCTCCAAAATTCTCCAGCATCCTTAGAATAAGTGAATTTTCGACCTTGAAATCATCTAGGAACCGCATATTTTTCATCTAAAATGAGAATTACTTCTAGAGAAGGCGTTGTATAACGGAGAATCATCCCGTCCTTGTTGACCAGGACGGATCTCAGAACGAATCCGTCTCGTTGCGGAACGACGTCTTCAAGCTGGCTAGGACTTTCGGCGTTTCCACTGACGACCTTGTAGAACTTGGCGCCGTCCTTGTTCGTCAAGTAGAACAATTTCTCGCCGACGTTTCCGGCAAACTAGAAAAATACTTTTTTTCTCGTTTTTCTCAGTTTGGAAAATAGAAAAAAACACTGTCATAATATTGAATAAATTATTAAAACGGCCTCATTTTATTATATAATTTTTGAAGGGAACTCCTAGGGCAAAGATATATGTCTATTGAATGATAAAATTTTTCTAGCTTACGTAAAAATCCACTGAATTTTTTTATGATAATCATTTTAGAAGTTCACAAAAGTTTTCTTACTCTATTTGGAGCTTAAAAATCAGAAAAAAACTAAACGATTGAAAAATTATAATGGACAAAAAAATGACAAAAGAGGGATTTTTTTAAAAATTTTTGGTTCTTCTTGTTTCTTTTTTATAGTACCCAAATCTAAGGTAGTATCGAAAACGCCCTTCGAATCTAGATTTTGAGCCAATTTTACAGAACCAAAATTTCGAAAATTAGAGAAAGACCTAAAACTAATTTTTGTGTTCGATTTTTTTTTCTTGCTCCTAACCCTCAAAAAAAACCACAAAACCATTCTAATCAACAAAAAAAGAAACCCTGCATTTTTGAATTTGAACGTCAAATTTTCTTCTGCAATTCATGGAAAAACCAAAAAAACCTGAATTTTACTGTTGAACCCTTCCAAGACTGGTCTCATCTTCATTCCGGGAGTTATTTTCTCGCCAATTTTACAAATATGAAGCTCGTTTCCAATGTCACAACCACGAAGAGATTGGACGAATAAATAATTATTGCAGTGGGAAACAGAGCCGTTTCTGGAAAAACCACAAGATTTTTGGTTTTCCTTTTGAAGGAGGTCACTTTTACAAATATGAAAACCTGAAAATCGGCCAGAATACTTCTTGATGTACCAGAAGAAGATTCTGAAAGTTTCAAGCTTCAAAACTTTTTATTTTTTGAGAAAAAGCGCTAAAAGACCGAAAAAGTCTATGTTAAAGGATTTTCAGGAGTTTTCTTTGATTTTGAGGCGTCTTTTCTCGAAAACTAGGAAGTTTTGAAATTTGAAACTTTCAGAATCTTCATCTGGTAAATCAAGAAATATTCTGGCCAACTTTCAGGAAAATCCCAACCGTAAAGTGAAATGACCTCCCTTATTCGAATTTCGAGAAAAAGACGTTCAAAACCTACACAAGAAACAGTTCATTATCAGGCCTTTCAAAAACCAAAACGTCTTTTTTGGGATCCGACCCCAATTCGTGATAGAACAACGCGTGGTTCTTCAAAGCGCTTGTTGAAATTCCTTCCTTTTTCTCATTTTTCCTTGAAAAATTATCTTTTTTTAAATATTTTTGAGGATAATTACTACCTGACCCAGGTATTTCGAATAGAAAACGCCTTGGCGTTTTAAAAAAGAAATCGTTGAATATTTCACGTTCGGAACTTTGTCAGGCAGATCTTCTCCATTCAGTTTTTTGAACTGAAGTTCGATTTTAGGTGATTTTTGATGGAATTGTTGAAAAAAACCTGAAGAGTCATGTTATCCGATCCTTTATTACTGAGGGTATAGGCCAGAATTGCATCTTTCGAATTATCCGACCAATCATAGGAACTAAAAAGGAAATCAAGGAGCTGAGGACGTCAAAAAAATGTGCATTTACTTTAAAAAAACATTTTTTTGCTTTTGAGAAAAAAATGAAAGTTTAGCTGAAAAAAATAATACAGAAATAGAGAAGGTCAAAAAAAGGAAAAAGTTTTAATTTTACTCAAAATGCGTTTTTTTAAAACGCCAAAAAAATTTTAATAAATCCAAAAAACGAACATTTTAGGTAAAAAAAGTTTTTAGTTTTTCGTTGGTTTTTGATTTGAATCTTCATAAAGTCTTGAAAAAGATGTCGAGATTTTCCTTCTAGAAAGATCAAAAAAAGAGAAAAAAATGAGTGATTTAAAAAAAGAAAAACTGTACAAACTTCTGAAAAAAACGCTCAATTTGAGACATATAATAATTTTGGAACGTAAAAAAACTCCGTGTTAAACTTCAAGAATGTTGAAAAAAAGTTGAGAAAAAAACGGAAGAATTTTTATAATTTTCCTAGACTTTTACCGAAACTGTAAAACTTTTTGAAAAAAACTTGAATTTCGGGCCATAAAAAGAATTTTAAAAAAACTCGAAGAAGATTTGAATCAAGATGTTGAATTTTAAGATGCAAAAATCTCAATTTCAAGAAGGGCATTTTTTTCGGAATTTGAAAAAAACTTACTACAAAGAAACCGAGCCATCCTCGGCCAATTTATTCACGTCGAGAAAAGGAACATCTCCATTAGAATCTCGTTTATAATACACCCTAAAAAACTCATTTCAATTTAATATTGAATTTAAACAAACTAACGCATGATTCTGCACCCCGTTATGTTTGAAATAAAAATAACACCCGCCCTGTTCCGAAGCGGCGCCGACAAGATCAAACGTCCAAGCTTCTCTCAGCCTTAATTTTATCGTTTTTCGAAATTTTTGAATTTTTTCTACGCTTTTTCTGCACGCAAAGTTGATTCCGAATCCACGAATTGTGCCTTGGAATAAGAGTTGATTTTCTCAATGAATTCCTTGGTTGAACTCCCGTATGCATCTTCTAATCCTTGATAGGCATCTTTCACCTTAAAATGATTTTTTAAACAAAAAATATTTGAAAAATTAACCTCAAACTTCTTGGGAGTGTAGGTATCCACTTTTAACTCATCTCTAATAGCCTTCGGAAAAGATAAATCATTGCGAACCGAAGAGAGGAATCTCCCATTTGTGAATGGCTGAAATTGACAGAATCCAGTCCTTTCAATCTTCCAAATTGATAAGAATTGAGAAAAAAAAACGAAACAAAAGATGAAAAGAAACGTTAATATTACTTGCCTTGAATCCCAAGCGATAAACCCTCGGTAGCACTGAGAAATTGCGCGCAACAAACATCGATGTCACAAAAAACTGATGCAAGAGACTTTTTTGAGTAGATTCAACGCGAGTTTGTCATAGCGCAAACAAAATTGCGAAACTTTTATCGCCAATGGCAACGAAAAAAAGTTACGGTGACAAAGGTTTGTGCACTTGCGTTTTGTAAAGATTGCGTCTTTTGAAATTCTTACAGTAATGAAAAAAACTTTTCAAGGTATTTTTTTCTTTGTTTCAATCAAAATTTCCTGAAGAAATTGAAGTTTTGGCAGCGAGCATAGAGGGAAAAATTTTCAGATTTTTCCATTTTATATTCTTATAAAAAAATTAATATTATTAATATTTATGTTTTATTCTTATAAAAATTAATATTATATCTTCTTCTTTCATAAAATACCTTCATTAATTTGAAGGTTAAGAAAAAAAAACTCTAAAAAATCTTACCATTTTTTCAGACTTACTGTAGCTGGGAAAACGTGTAAAATAGAAAAAATAGAACGGAAAGAAGAAGATAGAGAGTCATTTCCTCCGGGAATTTCTTCTTGATAGCCCGCGAAAGTGATGGAATTGGCTATGACGTCAGCCAATCCTTCTCAAGTGCCTTTTTTGGAAAAAAAAAAGAGAAAAAATGGTTAAAGATGGGAGGAGTTGGAAAGCGGGAAATAGTTTAGTTAGAAGACGCTTGCGGGATGTTCGCGGTTGCTCTTCTGCCGCTGGTGGCGGCTCTGGGAGGAAAGCCGTTCGTTGGAGTTCGACAGAACGTCACCGGGAAGAACTACGCTCTCATTTCTCTCTGTGATGACATCCCACTGAAGCCTTCTACTATAAACGTTTCTCTGGTGCTGAAATCGGAGGATTTTGAACACACTATTCACTTCCGGCACAGTAAAGAGCCTATATTGGTGAGTAATATTTTTGTAGAAAATGATAAGGATTTTTGCCGTTGGTTCAACCACATTTTTAATTGCATTTGGATGAAATGTTTGAGATTTTTTCAGCGCAATAGTTGAACAGGAAAAGAGAGCCTTCCTAAATCCATTTTTATTCATTTTTTCAGTTGACCGAGGAAGTTTCCCCAAATGTTTCTGAACTTTTTCTCACCGCCGAAGCGTCGCCGGAAGTTTACAGCATACAGAAGGTCACTGTGAGGATTGGCGCCGTGTGAGTTCTGAAGTTTTTTTTCAGAATTCTCAAAAATCTGAAAAAATCGGTAAAAGCTCGAAAAGAAATGGGTGAAATTCAAACATGATCGAGATTTTTGTGAATTTTTGAACTTTTTCGAAATTTCAAGCGAGGGTTTTTGAAGAGAACACTATACTCTGATAATATCTTAGTTTTGTTAAATAAAAACAGGACAAAATCAAATTAGATTTCTTATACAGTCCGTCCGCCGCGACTTTTCGCGTGCCTGCGTCTCTCTGTTCCCTCACCGGCGAGTCAGAGAAAAATGGAAAAATCACGTAAACATGAGAGAGACGTCGAGAGATAAGAGGGCGCAGAGAAATCCCACTCTTTCAAGTCGCGAAAAACGGACTATACTCTCAACTTCAAAATCTTGCTAGAACTCCCTAAATTCCTGTTGAAATGTCCCGTTTCCCCGAACCAAGAAACTGAACATCTACTTTTCCAGTTCTTTTCCAGGACTAAAAAAATGTAACTTGTACAAAATCAAGCTGAAAGAGCCCATTTTTCAGACTCTACAAGCTTCATCTCAACCAAGAATGCGACGAAGAGGACTACTTCATGACGTCGCCGACGGCGCAGACCTTCTGGAGTCGCAGACTAGAATGCGAACGGAAAGACGTCTACTGCGACGACCGTCGCGACGAGTTCCTCGGCTGCGAACCCGTCTTCGTCTACCACATGAACTGGCGTCGCGGAGCCACTCGTCGCAATCCAGTTTAACCTTCTTCCTTTTCTTCGATCGCGTCTTAAAGACGATAAACATTCACTTTTCTTTCCATGTAAATATTCTACTCGACAATAAAATCCACGCCGTAGCGAAACAGGTTGTTTTGCTGTCTACGGCCTGCAGGGTCTCTAGTTCGATTCCTACCAAGGGGTTCAAGAAATCTTTATATTGGGAAACCAAGGCTCAATTTTGAACAACAACGGTCGCACACGGCGTTTTTGTTAGTGGAAGAAAATGCGAAACCAAAAACGCGGTGGGCGGAGCCAAAATATCTGCCATTCTTACGTGACGTCATTGGGACGGCAGCGATTTCGGCTCTATCACATCATATTAAAGGCGCAGGCCGCCGTAATGTCAGAGAACTTCAAGGCTAATCGAAATTTCTCTACATAAACGCAATTTTCTGCGCGAAAGCGGCGCAGTGCATGCACACGACACACGACACTTTACGGAGAAAAAGTGGCGTGTCGAAAAAACGCCAGGGAATGAAGCGTCGCGGTCGCGTTGCGTATCAAAATAACATATTTTGTTCTGCCCTCCTACAACTTTCTATATCCAAGTCGTTCTGGTCGGACATGAGATTCTAAAAGCGCTAGCCATTCCAAATGCGACCATGAACTGGTTGCGGGGCTAAAAAATCAACTTTTTACTCGGACATCGGTAACGCGAAACGGACGTGCTCCGGACGTTTCTGTGCGATTCTGTGGATCACTTGAGAGTTCTGAAGCTACTAAAGTGGTCACTAGAAATTCCCCGACACGTCCGATTTGCGTCCCGTTTGCGTTTCCAAGGTCCGAGTGTGTAGAGCAGTTTGCTCGACATTCTAATAAGTAGACTCATCTTTAACTGCGCCCCACCGTAATGGACCTCCTACCTGTGCTAAAAAATCGCCCCGCGCGCAAGTAGTATCCCGTCGGACGCGTTAGAAGGGCAACCGCGACGTTCTTTGCGGAACAACGGCTGTTCAAATCATACTTCTTGCCGTCATTTACAAGATTCATCACACAGAATCACGTAATTTTACTCAAGAAAGTAAAAATTCGTCACTTTTCAAATTCCCACTCATTTCTATAAAGCTACACTTATCTAGTGATAGCTTCAATCAAGAAACGTAAGTCTTCGGATCCGTAAATCAAACTTTTCGTTCCCTTCAAGAAATCAAAAATGAATGACGAAACTACCCATGGAGCAACTACCGGCGGTGCGCCATCCCCTAAATCTTCTTGGAAAAATCTGCCAGTGAAACTTGACGAAGTTAATTTTCAGTCTTGGCTGGAAATTATGCCGTTTTCAGCATAAAACTGTTCATGAGGATCATTCTAAACTACAAAGTCTCGAAAAGAAAATGAAGAACAATAGCGTGGAAATGAAGAAGGGCCAGACAAAAAAGGAAAAAGAAAAAGAGGAGGCGGCGGCGAAAAAACAGCCGGCTCTTTGGGGTGGAGACAGCATCGCCACGAACTCTGGAGCCGTGTTAGTTGCTCTTTTTTTGATTTTTCGTTTTGAACATTTTTTCAAGATGAGTTGGAACTTTAGAGCATTTGAAGTCAGAAAAAAAAAACTTTTTTCGCCTTTCAGTCGAGTAATAACATCTTAAAGGCATAGGGGCAGTAAAAAACGGTGTTTCAGTTCAAAGCAGTACTTGGTAGTTTTTTTCATTTCTAATCGAACGGTGAACTTGGAAAAATACCGAACATCCTAGTTTTGGAGAAAAAATAATCCAAAGTCGGAGAAAGGAAAGCTTGAGTTCCCGCGAAAAGGGCGATTTGCAGTAAAGTTGCTCTATGGACAACACGTATCGCCATTTTTCGAATTTTCGCTTTTTTCTTCGTTTCTTTCAAATTTCAATTTTTTCTTTTGTCAGCAAATTTTTTTTCGCCACAAAAACTTTCTACTGATGTACAATGAACTGCCATGAAAGTGAAGAAAATAAGCGTTCCTTCAACAAAAAAGGTTAACTCAAATTAACGACTAGGAATTTTCTGAAAATTGGCCAGAAAAATTTTCAGATCTTTAACTGGAAAGATGTACCAGTTAAAGATCTGAAAAGTTTTAACCTGCAAAATTTCTAATTTTCGAGAAAAATGGCTTCAAAGTCGAAGGACACTATCAAAACACACTTTTTTGGCTATTTGGTGGCTTTGAGACAAGTTGAAACTTTCGGGATATTTTTCTGGTACATCGAGGATTGTTCTAGCCAATTTTAAAAAAATTCCCAGGCGCAAATCAAAATTACCTCCCTTGTCAGGCCCGGAAACTTGACTAAAACGAAAAAGGCTTCAAAAATATTTTTTATTGTCCAAAAGGCCTTGAAAAAACGCTTCTCAATAAATTCTCTATGTATCAAAGTTACTTGTCAGATACACCGTGATTACCAATCTTGGAGCCGGAGGCTTCGGCGAGGTCTATCTAGTCGAAGATGAGAAGAAAAAAGTTTAAAAAAAAACGTTTTCAAATAAAACTACCTTGGTTCAGAAATTCGCGATGAAAACTGAAAAAGTGCCGGATACGGCGAGTTCAGCCTTAGCTAGGCTTAAAGTGAGTGGAAAATTTAGAAAAACATAAGCCTGGGGAAGTTCAGATGGAGTTGGAAATAATGGAAGTTGTGAAGAAAAACGGGAAAAGCGAGCATTTATTGCCACTGATCGACTTTGGCAAAGCAACACATGAAAATTTGAATTTCAAATTTATCGTTATGGATTTATTATCACCGGATATTGACTCGATTCGTCGTCAGCAGCATCAAGAAACCTTCACGTCTGTTTGAAAATTATTATTTTCAGGAAAAAAGAAGAAAATTTGATATAGCTGATTCACGGCTGGCTGGAGCCATCGAAAAAAGGGTCCTGACACGATAATGCACAAAATAGTGCTTGGATCGTGGAGAGTGCAGAGAGACTACGCTAGCCGTGAATCAGCTATAAGGCTGCAGTTTCTATATAATTTTGGAATAGTTATAAAGTTTCTTTAAACTTAGGAAAGCCGGAGTGGTCCCTATAGTTAGGGACCACAGACCTATTTTTTTCGAACTCAAGCTAGCTCCTCGTTTTTTTGTTATAAAAAAATAATGATTTTAACATGTAGTATGCGAAAACAGAAAAAGAAAAAAACGAAAAAAATATTAAGAATAAGAGGAGAAAAACAATATTTAAAAGTAATTGAAAAGCAAAAATTTTTGCACTGAAATTTTGATTTTGCGAATTCTCATGCAATCTGCGCGCACCCTCATTTGCAAAGTCGGCACGGTTTCAGGAGGCAAAAGAGAAGGTTTTACGAGCTGTAATTCCACTCTACCATGATTTTCGTCTCAGTGACTGCTCAAATACAGCCTACAGTGCTCTTTGAATCCCATAAAAATGTAATTTCGCCTACTTTTTATTCACCTTTTTTGTTGAGAAAATTTTTTCGGCGATCTTGAATTTCCGATTTTATTGCTATATTTGTTTGAAAAATTAAAAAAACTCTTATAAATGAGTAAGAAAAAACGCGTGTCTTCGACCGGGAAACGTTTCAAAATTACTCTAAAAAAATTCTCCACCTTTTTTACCACTCAAAACAGTACATTTGCTTGTAGTTGTCAACAAGTATTATTTGAGCATTGTTTTTCTCAATATGAAAAAAGCATAAACATCTTCCAATATTGCATTGCAATTGAGAAAACAATTTTTGACTTTGCGCGCCTCTCAATTTTTTCGGCGAGCATAGAATTTTTATTTTTTTGGCTTAAAAAATTGCATTTACTGTTTATAAGTAGTTTTCAAAAAATCAACTTTGTCCGCGACCTACATGAATATCAAAACACAAAACTCAGTTTATTTTTCGAACTCGCCTCACTATTCCGTACGACACTCCGTTGAAACACATGGAAAGTACCTGAAAACCTTTTAAACGGAAAGAGGAACCTTTTCTACATGTATGCTGAAATTTTTATCATTTTTCATTGTTTCTATCGGCTGTACGAAACAATCAAAGACGGAATACCAAAAAAATGGCCTTTTTTCCCTCGCGAAAAGGGGCGGGGCTTTGCGGTCGCTACCTATAGGGGTTCGTGTGAAAAAGCCCCTATAGGGATGGGTATAGTGGCCCCTAGAGGGGAATCTTCAAGGCGCCCTAAAGTTGCCCTTACAAGGACCATTCTGGCGTTCCCAAGGAACGTTTTTCTATCTTCAAAAGGCCGAAACGCAACGCAACCGCGACGCTTTTATCCATTCCATCATCTTTGATCCAGCGCCCCTTTCCAGAGCCTACACGGCCTTCAACATCTTCATACAGGCTTGCCGAGCAGTTCAAGAACTCAATGCTCTCGGTTATATACACAGGTAAAATCATAATTGAAAAAACTTTGAAAAAAATAATTTTTCAGGGATCTGAAACTGCAGAACTTTGCTTTCGGAGTCGGAGACAAGGCGAAAAACGTTTTTCTGTTTGATTTTGGAATCGCCAGGAAGTTTCGCGATGGGAAGCATATCATGTAGGAAAAATTTTCGGCTCAAAAAATCTTACTGGGATTTTAAAAAGGCTTGAAAAGAAAGTTGAAGAGGATTTTTTCATAGTTTTTCGAAAAACTCTACTTGTCCCTTAAGAGGTTCCTCAAGGGCTACTTGGAGAGGACGCTAAAGTGGCCACTAAAACCATCTCTATAGAAGTCACTATTTTTCGTTTTAGTGACCACTTTAGTAGTTTTCAGTGCTCTGATAGTATCACTTAGACTTCTAAAGATGCGATTAAATTTGAGCCACTTTGTCCGCCACTCATTTGACCACTAGAGTGACCACTAAAACGCTGGCCACTGAAAGTTTTTCTGATTTTGAGAGTCAAGTCGTCGCTCAAGCTCCGCCCCAAACTAGGCGATAAACCAATCAGAGAACGAGCCCTCCACATAGCGTTTTCTAATGACGTCATTGTACTTGACGTTCAAAATCTGAAAAGACAGTAGAATTTTTTTCTGCATCTCTCCAAGGCTCAATATTTATTATATAAATACAATTTTGTTACAAAACTGGATCTATAACGATAATTTCAAGCCCCCAACGTCATCGCGTACCCTTTCTTGGAACGAAGCTGTTCTGTTCGAGGGCGGCCCTTCTCGGATTCGAAAGATCTGCCCGTGACGAGGCCGAGAGCATGTAAAAAGATTGAGAAATTCCTGAAAACGAAGTGAAATTCAAGGATTTACGTGGCCCTCAACTTGTTCTGTCCCCACGAAATGCCGTGGTTCATGACGGCCTGGATGCCGATGTCGTCGGCCGACAAGCTCATTGAGATCGCCAGGGAGATGGACAAGCTCTTCAATCACTGTCAGCGTGAGTTTTATCAAAAAAAAAAAGAAGAAAAAGAAAAACATGGTACTGAAAAAGCCACGATATGTTTTGAAGTCCTTTAGGGTGTCTGGGAAAACTTTTAGTGGCCACTATAGAGGCTCGCCAAGGACTCTTTGGAGAGGACGCTAAAGTGGCCACTCAACCCACCTCTATAGTGGCCATTATTTTCCGTTTTAGTGGCCACTATAGAGGTTCTCCATTTAGTGGCCACTTCAGTAGTTTTTATGCAGTATTCCTTCCAGTAACTCTGATAATTTTAAAACAAGCAGATTGGACCAGTTATGTTGATCCATTGACCCCTAAAGTAGCCATTAAAATTTTTGGTGGTCTAGTAGTAGCACTTTGACCTCTATAGCGGCCACTATTTTTTAACCCCTTAAGTGGCCACTAATTTGACTATTATAGTGGCCACTAAAACGCCGAAACCCCATAGTGTCCACTAAAAATTTTTCTAAAATCTCTAGGATCTCTAACTAGTAAGTCAAAAGATTCTTTTTAACAATGATTTGAGTAGGGGGCGCAAAGCCCCGCCCCTTCACGCCACCAAAATGACGATTTTTTTGTTGCAGAAACGGTTTTGAGGCGTTTATACTAGCTAAAGTCCCACTTTAAAAATGAACTGTTACTGTTATTTTATGTAATCGACAACGCTCTACAAGACTGAATATTTTTTTAAAACTATGTATTTTTTTCAAAAAAATAAGCGAAAAAAAGTAAGATTTAACTCGAAAAAAACTGACAAGTTTCACAAAATCGTCGCGTTTCAGAAAACCAAGTGAGGAACGCTTCTAAATTTTTAGTATGTTATACATTAACACTTTCTTTATTTTTTGAGTGAAAATTTAAAAAAATCTAACGACGCGAAAAAAAAATCGAAGCTTGTAAAGTGACACCAAACTTTGAAGCTAAAATGCGAAAAAATTTCAGCGACATGGTATACTTTTTATTTGATTTAAAAACTCACAATGTGTTCAAAAATAAAAATTCAGAATGAAAATAATTATTGGGACAGTGAATCAAATTATATTTGGATTTTACCAAAACCTCCTTTTTTCGCCTGCCTCGTTGACGCATGAGAGAATAGGATCGCGTCTATACTTTTGATCAGGTTATTAAGCGTTCAAAACTCTATCAATGAAAAAATTATGAAAAAAATCTAACGACGCGAAAAAAATAACGGCTTGGAAAACCTCGAAAAAACGGCCTTTTTTTGAAATTTCGGAAGACTTCGTGCAAGTGTCCGTAGCAGTGTTTGCGTCAAACACACCGATGCGCCATTTTAAATGTTGCAGGAGCCGTTTTTCGGAGTCAAATTGCACATTTTCCTGTTTTATTTCGAAATAACATTATTTTTCATTTTTTCTTCTTTCCAAATCGAATGATTATAACTTTTCTGATTAGAAAAAAGGAAAATAAGCTGAAAATTCCTTCTGACCTTTTTTCTAAGTAGTTTTTTGATATTTTATCAAAAATTCTTATGAGAGTTATACAAAAGAATTATACCAAAAAATTGAGCTCAGTTCGGACAACCTCTCAGAACAGAAAACCAATTCGAAAACGGTTCAGAAACGCGCAAAAACAATTAAAAAGAAAGCGTGCGGCAGCGGGTAAACCGTGAGATTTTGCCTCCAGTTGTACGCCGCGCGCGCTCGTTTTTTGGCCATAACTTTTTTCTTAGTGGAGCTTTTTTCAAAAACTAAACGGATTATGAAAATGGACAGTCTCCTCTATCGAACAATGTGAGAAACATATTTTTTGAATCGTTCTGAAGAAATGGCTTGCGGACCCTAGATTTGAGGTCACAAAATAAAGTAATCTCAAGAAAAAATCTCCGAGTTTTGAGCAAAAAGTATTTTTTTTAAAGCAGCTACACATAGGCGCGACAATTTTATGAAGAAGAGCAAAAATCACAAAAAAAAAATGATAAAAAAGAAGCTTATCAATAAAAGTAAAAGAGACATGATAAGGTTAAGCATTCATCCCAGGTCAAAGGTTGATCAAAAATTATTTGTGACGAAGTGAGTCTAATTTTTGTTTTGTCTGTTTTTTTCTCAGTCCATAAGATGAATGTTAAAGAACTTGAAATGTTTCATTCAATGTACACTAAAATTTGAAGCGATATCGCGCCAAGGGGCAGGCGATATTGCCAGACTCTCGCATTCCCATGTTGCCTGCTGATTTTGAAGCTAAAAAAATTTTTTTCCAGTACCAACCGACAAAAAGAAGAGATTCACCTGGCTCTACACCATCATGGGCTACGTAGACAGTCTCAATTTCGATTCATATGTCGACTGGAACTACATCATCAAAATCGTGCGACTCCATTGCAAGCTCTTCCAGATTGACGTGAGATTCTCTTTTATTTTTTTCTTGTCCATTTCCTTTTGAATCAGGTCGGAGAGCTCTACTACAAGCTCAAGGATGGTACTGAAGTCGGGAAACTTCTGGAGGGCGCCCCAAGGCCAGAAAAGTCGGCGGAGATGCCCAAAAGCACGGAGAAGAAAAGCAAGGGTATAAAAAATTAATTGTATGTATAGAGAGAGATTAACATTCATTTTCCAGAAGAGGCGTCTAGGGTCAAATCGAAAGAAGAAAAAACGGGAGTGGCAAAGCAAAGCGGGGAGAAGACGAATGTAGAAAAAACCCAAGAGGAGACAGATGTTAATAAGCAACCCGAACAGCAACCCGTACGGTCCTGTCGTCTCATGATGCCTTGATTTTTTTAAAAAATTATCGATAAATATACTTTTTTTGGTTTTTCTTTGGTGTTTGATTAATTTATAAGTTCATTCATGTGCCTTGATGGTTTTCATTTCTTCATATTACTTCTTTCTTGTCAAGGACATTCGAGTTCTTCAATTTAGCATGGCTAATCCCTCAAAAGGCCACTTGAATTGTAAGGGCGTGGCTTCACGCAAGCGGTGCTCGCAGTTCTTGTGTAACCGAGGCACAGCTTTATTTTTTTCTATTTCGATTTGAAAAATTTTCGTTAATTTTTTTAATTGTATATCTTTTTCATTTTACTCTTTGTTTGTAATTAGCAGATTGAAAGGGAAACTGTCCTTGTTTGTTTGGAGGAATATTTTTCCATTTCTATCGAAAGTTGTGTGTTTTTCCTTGTTAATTTGTTTTTTTACTTTGTTTGTCTATTCTTCGAATTTTCTCTGAACTGAAAATTCTTTCTGAAAATTTGCTTCATCTTAATTTCATTCTCAACCTTTTCATTCTCAACCGTTTTTTTGAAAAACAGAAATTTTACAGTTCCGATTCAATTTTTGTTTGCGACGATATTTTTTTCGCGCTTTTTTTGCATTCATAGTTCTTTTTTTAATTGTTGCCTGTAAATGTTTGCAATGAAATCCGTTGAATTTTACTTTTTTTTCAGAAATGAGCGATGAAGAAACTGAAGTACCGGGAAAGAAGCCGATGCGGCTTCCTAAAAAGGCAGCCAAAGTTAAAAATAAGGTCATTTTTGTCACTCTTTATTAATGTTTTTTGCCATAAAAGCCATATAATTAAATGGGGTGGGATATTTCTTGGATTTGAAGGCACCCGCTCCGCTACAAATCACTGCCGAGCAGCTTTTGCGCGAAGCGAAGGAACGGGAGCTCGAACTTCTTCCGCCGCCGCCAAAGGCGAAAATCACGGATCCCGAGGAGCTCGCCGAGTTCCAGCGCAAGAAGCGTAAAGAGTTTGAAGATGGTATTCGCAAGAATAGGTATTTCTTTCAAAAAATTCCCGTTTGATGAGAAAACGTGCAGAAATCAGCTAGCCAACTGGATCAAGTATGGAAAATGGGAAGAATCGATCGGCGAGGTTCAAAGATCCCGGTCCGTTTTCGAAAGAGCGCTGGATGTGGACCACAGAAGCATCACCATTTGGTTGCAATACGCCGAAATGGAGATGAGGTTCGAAAACGATTGAAAATAAATAACAATACTTTTTCTTTTGTTTTTTGATGTCTAATATTGATTCTAGTGTAAGGTACATACTGAAAATTTGAAAAGGAACTCGATATTTTCGTTTTTCCGTGTTAAAGATTAAATTTTCAAACTGTGACTTTTTTTTCAAATCAAATCATTTCTCGACGTTTTTTTCTCGTTTCTTTCGCGTGATTTATTTTTGAATCTTGTGTTTTTTCATGGTATCAGTATCTAATTTGTGCTAGGACTTTAAGTAAACAAAAATATTTTTAAAAAAAGTCGGAAAAATTTTTTTTCAAAATTCCCTGGTTTTCAATTCGTATCATTAAATCTCTTAAAAAAATTTTCCGGTAAAAACTTGATAAATTACAAAAAAATTCAAATTTGCTGAGTTTTTTTCCTCCATTTCACGGTAATAAGAAGAGAAATTTCGTATACAACTCTAGTAAAAAATAAGGGGGTTTATTAAAAAAAGGTCAAATTTTGAGGCGACGTGTTTTTAAGTGATCGTTATTTTTCTTCTTAAAAAAATCTGAAAAATGGCGAAAAAAATTTGAGTGAATAAGTAATTTTTGAGTTTTTAGACCTTTTTCGAAGAAGCACAGTGAAAAAAAATTAAAGATTTATTTTAAAAAATGTCGAATTTAGAGGAAATCCATGTCATCTTCCCATTGAGAACAATAAATTTTATTCTGGAAATTAACAATTTCCTCTTCAAGATGCAAACAAATCAACCACGCGAGGAATGTGTTCGATCGGGCGGTGACCATTATGCCGCGGGCCATGCAGTTCTGGCTCAAGTATTCCTACATGGAGGAAGTCATCGAGAATGTTCCCGGGGCCAGACAGGTATATTCTCATTCAGAATGAAGGAATTCCTCCGTTAAAGCTTTTTTTTTAAATCAGTAATTTCTTTCGCTTAACAAAAAATTAAAAATGGAGAAGATCCAAGGAATTTGCGAGTTTTTGTACCAGTTCATAGTAATAACAGGATAAAAAAACACTATGACTCCGACACGGCACCGCCTAAAGGCGCCCGCAACTGGCCGTTTCGCCTAAAGGCGCCCCGAACTCGGCAGAGTCGGAGGACCTCCGAAATTGAGGCGACGAGATTGAAAATGCGGCAGCGCGAACATGTTTCTTACAATTTTTATTTCAAAAGTTTTTGGGACTTCGTTTCTTCTTTTATTTATTTCTTTTTCATTGTCGGGATCGTTGAAAATATTCATTTTTTTATTTTGCTGAAGAAAAATTTAAATAAATTTTTCCTATTGCTACCGCCATGCAAAACTTTTTTCCGATTGTTTCCAGGTTTTGTTCCGCCAAACTTGATTCGAAGATTGATAGACCTCTCTCTTCCTCTCTTGGGAAGCATTATTTATTTAGTTATCCTCAATATGAGGTAAGTTTACCTTTTTCGTTGAATAATCTCATTTCTGTTCAGGTCACTTGTCGAATCAATGATTGACTAAATCTGAGGTTTTTATTTCTACGATGATCAGCGTTTCTGGGCTTGAAAATGGAATCGATGTTAAAACTGTGAGTTTACACGCTATGACTTGAGAATTTGCGAGAATACTCCGATATATTCAAATTGAATTAAACTTACTTTGCCCGTTTTCTATTGATTTTTTCAAAATTTATAACGTTTCAGAATGCGCAAAACTTTAAACTGCCATCAGTAAGTGAGAAAATGTATAAAATTTGACAGTCAAGGGTAATTTTGAGTTTTGCGGATATTACTTCGAATTCACAGCATTTAATTATATTTTGGCGTGGCTTGTGCAGAAAAATCCAGAGGCCGTGTGAAAAAAACGTGAAAAAAAGATTTTTGCCGAATTTGAAAAACTCTAATTCGCTAATGTTATACATTAGAACGTTCTCCGGTATCCGATCGAGTTTGTAAAACTAACATAAATTATATCATTAAAAAAACGCAATTAAAAACTCTATTGTGCTAAAAGTAATCTCGCGAAATTCGAATTTATCCCTGACTCGCTTCGATTTTGGACTTTTTTGGCGAATCTAAAAAAGATGTCGAAAATCTGTGAGTGATCCGATTCAGTGTACAAAATGATAGATGAATCCGAATTTTCAAAATTCGAGCCCTTTTCTTACTTGTGTAAATCGGGAAGTGAGTGACGGGGAATGTGTTATTTAGAAAACTTATGTGATGTGAAGTATAAAGTGAGATAAAAAGTTCGCGATTGCGACTGATTGTGGTCTGAGTCGGCCATTAGCTCGGCCCAAAGCACAGCTCTGCTTTTTCTAGATGGTTCTTTAACTTTTTTAAATATCTTTTTCCGAAGCCTCTCCAACTTTTTTGGGTTTCTGAGCGCTTCTATCATGGAATAAATTTCATTTCACGAACGGAAAAAATTTACTCTAAAAAATTTCCAATATTCTCGTACGAACTCAAATAGTAATTACCCCAAAACTCAAAAATCGACTCGCTTGAGCAGGGGTCGAGTTGAAACTTTGGCGACTTATGAACCTACGCCCAAGGAAAGAAAGTAGATTATTTACTAGACCCCATAGGCTTCTGAGAAAAATCTCTTCAAAGAAATAGAGGAAGAGTCATATACGCGCCTGAACTTCCTTCTTTCACAAGGGTAGCTTGGGGCAGTCTCGCTGATTTTTTTTTTTTGCGTATCCACGGTATCTGCGGAGTTTAAAGTTTTTCTGCATTTCCCTTGAAGGCAAAAAAACCTTGTAAAAAGACATAAAATGGATGAAAAACGATTTTTTTCTTGATTAATTTGGTTCTCAAAGAAGAACTTAATTTAAAAAAATAGTCTGTTTTTTTGCACTACAACTATGTATGTTTCAATTTGCGTCATTCATAGAAAAAGATTTCGAGAGATCTAGGAAAAAAATTCCAACAGGCATCGAAGTGCGAAATATGACTTTTTTTCAATTCCTTCAATTTTTGATAATCAATTTTTTTAAGAAATGACGTTTTCACTTTTTTTATGCTGTTCACAAACTTTTTCTTCTTCTTCTTTAAAAATGCAAACAATTTTGCGCTCACCATCTCGGGCATTATCGTGTCAGAACCCTTTTTTTCGATGGCTCAAACCAGCCGTGAATCAGCTATACGAATCTATCCATATTTGGGAAAAATCAAAAAGAAAAATTCTGAATTGGAAGTTAAAAAAATACCTCATATTTAGATGAAAAAGCTAGAACGAAAAAAAGTTTAACGTCAATGTTTGCATGAGAAAAAGTACATTTTTTTAGAGTGAACAAGCGTTTTTTTGGAAGAAAAAAACTGGGTGATCCGAGTGAGTAGCTCGTGTACATTAGATAAGAAAAACCAAGCAAGAAAAAAAATAGAATGTTCAAAGAAATTTCGGCGAAACGCAAAAATTATCTCTGACTCTCGAGAATTTGGTATCTTTCTCTTTCTCTAACGGGTATTTTGAATTTCGCGGAATCACTTTGAACACGGCATATACATTTTTCTTGGTAGAATAAAAATAAAACTAAATCTGAGAGCTTTATCGAATATTTCATTGCGACTTTTTACAGGAAACGTGTAAAACGACTCGTCTAGATGAAGGCGTCGCGATATTGGATTGTTTCTCGTTGACGATCAAGGAGATTAAATTTTTCTGTTAATTCCGTTAGCATTTTGATTATTCGAGTTGTCTCTTTTTCTTTTCATCTCGATTGAAAACTATATTGAATTTTCTCATTTGGCTATCGATTCATTAGTCATTTTTTACGCTAATCTTCTTTGAGCTATTTACTATTTCTTTTCTCTACAAAAAAGTTTTGGACAGTCTTTTTGAGTTTTTATTTGTATGAAGTTTCTTCAAATATATATTTTACAAAAATGTTATCTTTATATCCTGCTATAGGTAATCTACCTAAAAATTATTTCCGATATCTGAAGTTTTGTAAACTAATAAGGCAAACCCTCTTTTGGCTTCATTTTTCGTACTTTATCAATCAGTCATGATTGACGAAGTACGAAAAATAGAGCCCAATTGAGCGAAAGGAGGCTATTTGAATGGTAAAATCGCATTGAAAGCGCCTCGAAAGCGGCACAACAGCGCAGTTCCCCCGACGCGGCGGCACTACTGCGCCACGAAAGCGCGGGATGTGCGCGCCTTTAGGCGGGGAAGAGGGCGCCTTTAGGCGGGGAAGGGGGCGCCTTTATGCGCGCAGTTGTCGGAGGCGAAACTCAGTAATTTTTTTATCATTCTAAATATCTTAACGATTTTTTTCTTAATCATTTTGAGCCATTAAAATCCAGACCTTTCAATATTCACTTCTCTGAAAAGAAAAATGGAATTTTCTTTTTTCTTTCAATTTTTCATTGCTCTATTTCTAACACGTATTGAAAGTTGTAAGACTTTTTTTTTAGGAGTTTATTTTTGATATGCTTTTGTTTTAAAAATTAGTTCTCCTTCTTTTTTTTACACTGTTTATTTTTTTAAAGGTAAATTTCAGTGTTTCAAAACTTATTTTTTTGTCAGGTTTTTTTGAGCTTGTTCAAGTTAATTTTGATACATCTCAAGCTGAGTTCAACGTTTCGAAAATCCTTTATAATCTTGTTTCTTTTTGAAATTTAGTACTTACGATTTGTGCAAAAAGTTTATCGTTCAAAAGTCCTCCTAAATCTCGTTTTTTTTTTGAAACTTATTTTAAATGATTCTCCTCTTTTTTTTTACCTTTATTTAGTGTATTGAAAGTTCTTTTCAACTTTTTTTCTTTTTTTTAAATTCTGATTCTTTTCGTTTCTTTTAAACATTCATTCAACTCTTTTTGAAGTTCTTTTTGATTGTTTTTTTTTTATTTCTAGAAAAATAGTTCTCCTTTCTTTCAATAGTTGAGTTGAGCGTTTCGAAATATCTTTTCGTTTCCTTTTCCAGTGATTTTCTTCCAGATCTATGAGCGTTGGATCGCATGGGAACCTCCAGAGCAGGCCTGGCAGACTTATATCAACTTTGAGTTGCGGTATGGATTTCAATTTGTTAATTTTAGACTTTTTCTAGCAAAACTAAGCTTATTAAAATCTCTTTTTATTGGTTTTCACATTGTTCAGTTACATATAATCTGATTTTTTTTCAGCTACAAGGAAATCGACCGAGCCAGATCCATCTATCAAAGATTCCTGCATGTCCACGGCTCAAATGTCCAGAATTGGATCAAATATGCCAAGTTTGAAGAACGATTTGGCTACACTGGCAACGCTAGAGCGGTAGTTCATGATCTTTCCAGGGACCTTATGGAATGGAAGATTTTCAGGCCTATGAAAAGGGCATGGAATATTTCGGGGAAGACGACATTAATGAGACTCTTCTCGTGGCCTTTGCGCTCTTCGAAGAAAGACAAAAGGAACACGAAAGGGCCAGAGCCATCTTCAAGTGAGTTTTGGAGCTTTGTGCCGGTTTCAAAATTATCCCTGACTCTCCAAAGTTCAGTTCTTAAGATTTGAGGGACTCAAGATCTCTGGTATCGTTTTCCAGAAGATAATTGATTTTTATTCGCAAAATAAATTCAAGAAAGTTTTTTCCCCATGTGTAGACTTTCTATCTTTTGGGAAATATTTTAGTGGCCTCTTCAGTAATTTTTCCTCCAGTATTCCTTCCAATAACTCTGATAACTTTAAAACAAACAGATTGAACTAGTTATGTTGATCCATTGACCCCTAAAGTGGCCACTTAAATATTTTAGCGGTCTAGTAGTAGCACTCAGACCTCTATAGTGGCCACTAATTTTTAACCCCTTGAGCGGCCTCTAATTTGACTACTATAGTGGCCACTAAAACCGCGACTCGAAACTGTCTGACTTCTCTGCGCTCTCTCACCTCCGCGGCTTTCTCGTCTTTGCCTGGTTAGAGAGAAGAGAGCGCAGAGAAGCTTGACGGTTTTTTTTCTTCGATTCTTTGACGGCTATTTTGATTTCCATGGAATCAATTGGAAAATGAAATTAGAGCTTATTTTTGTTGGAGATATATGTTTCTAGAAAAAAAGTGAATTTTTATTTCAATGGTGTTGGAATATAGTCGTGACCAAAAATGGTATAAGTAGGCTTTTTAAGAATTTTTTTCAGAACGATTTTTGAAAAAAAGAACCTTGATTTCGAAAAATTTTTGAAAAAAAGAACCTTTATTGACGAAAATGTTCACAGGTTTAAAAAATGTGCAAAGCGGGAAATTGTATTTTAGCAAGAAAAATAAGTGAAAAACCTAACAGATTTTTTTCTTTTATATGAAAAAGACTTTTTCCCATCACAAATAAATTTAATTGAGATAATCACCTTTTTTTATATTTCATACTTTCCTCTATTAATTTTAGTTTGAGGGCTGTTTTTTTTTTTTTGATTGGTTCAAGTTTTTTTTTCTTCCTTAGCATTGCTTTTGTATGATTTTTCTCATTTTCATAACTTTTCCCAGATTCGGCCTCGATAATCTGCCTTCGAATCGTACCGAAGAAATCTTCAAACATTATACCCAACACGAGAAAAAGTTTGGCGAGCGTGTTGGAATCGAAGATGTGATCATCAGCAAAAGGAAGACTCAATACGAAAAGGTTTGAGAAATTCCTTGGAAATTACGAATATATCCTACATGCCCGTTTCCGATGTAATTTCTACGATAATTTTTGGAAAAATGAAGTTAATCGGTATCTGTAATGGGAAAAAGAGTGTTACCTAGAGGCCTAAAATTCAAGAGGTCACTTTAGTAGTTCAAGGTGTGATAAAGCTTGAGTGAGCCTTTTAGGGGTTTTTCAATTTTTGCCCTGGTTTTAAATGTCAAAAAGACGGTTAGGGACCAATAGAATGCTTCCCTAGAGTGGCCACTTTTGCCAGCTCGAGTGCACTTATAAAAGGAAGAAAGGTGGTCCCTTGAGGGGAGCCTACAAGAGCCCTTATAGTGGCCACTCTGTCGTTCCTAATAACTTTTAAACTTTGATGTATAAAAATGGAACTAATGAAATTTCTTTCTGGAACATTTAGATTATATAAATATTGATCAAAAAACAAAAAAAAACTTATTAAAAAAAGTTCCATAATTTGAATAAAAAAATCACAATATTCCTTACAGAGTTACGAAAGTTTCTGGAAAAATATCAAGGTTTCTGAATTTTTCTGATCATCTTTTTTTATAAAGATTTATTTTTCAAGTTGACAGGATAGATTTATTTTTGTGAGTTTTTTTGGTGTTGAGAACCTTTGAGTTCCTTTTTTTAAAATATTTTTTTTCAGTTTTTCCCATTTTTTCGCACTTGAAATTTGGATTCTCCAATTTCATATTGAAAAAAAAACTCATTTTTTCAGCTGGTCACTGAGAACGGGTACAACTACGACGCGTGGTTCGACTATCTCCGATTATTGGAAAATGAGGATGCGGATCGGGAAGAAGTCGAAGATCTCTATGAACGGGCCATCGCCAATATTCCCCCACATGATGTTGGTTACCAAAATGAGCACTAGAAAAATACAAAAGTTATTTTTTTTTTTAACCTGAAAAAAAGGAAAAAAGTTTTTCCGTCTTTCTAATTCGAGTTTGATTGGGTAAAAAAAAGGTTTATTAAAAAAACCGTTAGGAAGTTTCATTGAAAGCAGTTTAGACTCACAAGGATCGGAAAAACATTTTTGAATCAAGGCAAAAACTTTAACAAAGAAGTTGAAACGGGTATCTCATTTTTTCTGGTATTCTCTGTTTTCTCACTGGACCATACGTGGGCGGCAACCCCTCAAAAACGCCTCCAAAATGTTTTTTCTTTTTTTGTTTGAAGATTTCCTTGTTATAAAAAAAGATAAGAATTAGAAGAAAAGTAAAGCTCGCAAAAAAGTTTCTCCCCGAGGTTTTTTTTGTCATTGGCGCGCCTTTACTATTTCCAGATTCTTCAAATAAATTTTGGAGAAAAGGCCTCAAAAGCGATTTTTTTTTGAACTTTTTCTAGGAAGGGCCTTTGAAGGAAAAAAAAGAGATTCAGAGAGACTTTATAACTTTTTAGGAACTCGAAATGGAGCTCTAGAATATTTTTTTGGCCTTTTTGTGGCCGTTTGAATTTTGCCTGCGTTGAAGTTTTCGAGGAAAGGCTTCTGGAAAAAAATTGTGTTATTCAAGGAAATAAAGTGTATTTTCTACGTATTCTCTACACTTCATTAGATTATAATTTTTTTCAAAAAAATGAATTTTTCAACTAATAAGGGAAGTAATTATTCTTGGCGTTTGGGATTTTCATGAAAATTGGCCAGAACTCTCCTTGAAGTACTAAAAGAAGATCCTGAAAGTCTCAACCTGTACAAGTTTCTAGTTTTATGAGAAATGAGAGCTCAAAGTCCAAAAATTAACTATTTTTACGAATTTTGAGGGTTTTCTTTGACTTTGAGGCGTCCTTTCTCGAAAACTAGAAAGTTTTGAAGGTTTAGCTTTTAGGATCTATTTTTGGAACATCAAGGAGTTCTCTATTTCTAGGCGATTCTTAGGGAAGGAAATTAAAGTGATCTTCCTTATAAAGAAAAAAAAATATCAACTGTATTTTTTGAACCACATATCAATTTTTTCAGGAGAAACGATTCTGGCGTCGTTACATTTATCTCTGGATCAATTATGCGATTTATGAAGAACTCACCGCCAGAGATACGGCAAAAGCTCGACAGGTTCGTCTTTTTTGAGGGATTTTGACTAGAAAAAAATGACTTTTTTGGAAAATTTTGAAATTTTATTCTTAATGAGGGAGAGTTTTTGAAGTTTTGGATGTTACAAGAGTCAGCAGAAATTTTTTTTTTCTCAGCTGCCAAAAGTTTAAGTGTAAATTTTAATCAGAAAAAAAGTTAAAAATTTATTTTTAAAAAAGAGTAAACACAAATGATCGAAAAATTGAGGGAGATGAGGTGATTTTCTATTTTTATTAAAGATTTTTCCGAAATTTGGTCGCTATTTTTGAGCTTTTAACTCTTTTTTTCCTGGAAACTAGGAATTTTTGCAAGCTAGTCTTTCAGAATATTTTTCTGGTGTATCAAAGAATGATTTGACCGATTTTGAGAGAATTCCCAGCTGAAAATATGAGGAAATATTTATGTTTTTTCCAACAATTCCCTTATTTTCAGGTCTACAATGCTTGCCTAGACGTGATTCCCCACAAAAAGTTCACCTTCGCCAAAAATTTGGATCATGTTCGCCCAATTTGAAATCCGTCAGCTGGACATCGATGCCGCCAGGAAGATTTTGGTGATTTTTTTAAAAAAATTTATTTAATTTTAGGATTTTTTTGTAAATAGGCCAAAAAAATTAGTGCATTCGTAGGAAAGTTTTTTTGATGATTTTTTTAAAAAAATGCTTAGATTTTTATGAAACCACATGTATCAAAAATATTTAGCAAAGACTGTTTTTTTGAATTTTTTTCCTGAAACAGAAAAAGTGTTTTTTTAAACTGATTTCTTTATTCCAGGGAGTTTCCATCGGAAAATGTCCAAAGGACAAACTTTTCCGAGCTTACATCGATTTGGAGCTCCAACTACGGGAGTTCGACCGTTGCCGAAAACTCTACGAGAAGTTTTTGGAGAATTCGCCCGAAAATAGTACTACCTGGATCAAGGTGATCATCAGATCTTCAATAAGAACTTGGGGAAGTCAGAGTTGTCCCTTTAGGGGTTAGGAAAGAAAAAAATCCCTATACGTAAAAAAAAGCGCTCCGTAGAGATTCAGGTGGTCCCTATAGGGTACAAAGTTGCGCTCCGTAGAGATTCGAGTGGTCCCTATAGGGTACAAAAAGCGCTCCGTAAAGATTCAAGTGGTCCCTATAGAGTTCAAATTAGCGCTACGTAGAGGTTCGAGTGGTCCCTATAGGGTATAAAATAGCACTTCGTAGAGATTCAGGTGGTTCCTATAGATGTATAGTATTTGACTCCTAGGCCCCTAAGGCTTAAGTGGTTCCTATAGGGGTCTGCTAATTTTTTGATTGATTTGAAAATTAAAATGACGTTTTTACTGATATTTGATCGATTACTATTCAATTTAGCATGTTCCCCTATAGTGGCCACTTTTACAAGCCCTCGTGGCCACCGTAGGGGAGTTAGAGTGGAACCTTCAAGGGCTCAAAAAATTTCTTTATGGGACCTCCCTAAAAATAATCAGATAATGTAGAAATTCGATTTTTGTTGTTTGAAAATTGATTTCAATTGAAAAATGCGGGTTTTTTTCTTGAAAAAACCTCACGAAAAATCAATTTTTGAAAAACTTTTTCTGTTTCGAATTTTTCAAGAACACTAGAGTGGTCACTACAGGGGAAACCTTACCTTTCCTGGTATGAGAAACTTGCAAAAAGGCCATTTTAGGGTTTCATATAGTGGTCCCTATAGTATTTTAAGCTTTGAAATCAAATCAAAATTCAAAAAACTCCTATAGGGAACAATTAACGTTCAGAGGCTCAGAAGTCAGTCCCGAAATCCCTTTAGGGACCACCTAAATGTTAACCTTCTAGGGAGCACTTTTTTGTCCACTTATGATTTTCCCTCACCTCTCTAAAATATTTTTCCTTGATCTCTTTTGAAAAAACTGAAAAAACCCTAGTTTGGTGACATTTAAACGGAATGCTGAGAGATTAAAGGAGCCCAGACAGGCTAGACAGATTCGAATTGTAACGATTTGACTTTAGAAGTTGAAAAAGAAAGATGTAAGAAAACAGAAAGACTTCATTTTTCTATCCATTCATGGTTTTTTTCGTAGTTTGCGGAGCTGGAAACGTTACTGGGAGATATTGGAAGAGCTCGGGCCGTTTTCGACATCGCGATCCAACAACCAGCACTGGATATGCCTGAGGTTCTTCCTTCTGAAACAGAAATATGAACTAAATTAACCATTTTCAGCTCCTCTGGAAAGCCTACATTGACTTTGAAATCAACGCCGAGGAATACGAAAAAGCCCGGGATTTGTACGAAACTTTGCTCCAACGCACTAATCACATCAAGGTATATTTTATATCTATTGGTATTTTGAAAATGAACATTTTCAGGTGTGGATCTCGTTGGCTGAATTTGAACAGAGCACGGAAAATTATGAAAATGCGAGAAAGGTATGATTTTTTTCAATAACAGAGAAAGTGTTCACTTTGAAGATTTAAAAAAACTTTCTGAAATCGATTTTTTTCGAAGATAAGGCTTTGAAAAAAATAATTTTTGAAGGTCAAAATTGGAATCTTCATTTTTTTGTATGAAAAAAATTCGATTCGAAGCTCTTTTTTTCGGGAAAAAAATTGTGTAGAATGAAATTTTTCTGTATCCAGATTTTTTTAGGAACAAGTTTTTTTATTTTTTTGAGTAAATAAGCGAGTAAAAATGATAAATATAAAAAAAGTTTTTTCTGAAGGCTCATTTTTGGCTTGTCCAACCCGCCGTTTTCCCATTTCTAGAAAAAAATTTTTGACGGAAAAATTGCGATTTTTTTAGAAAAGTAAATTTGTTTTTAAACGATAAAACAGTGAAAAAAAGAGGTTTTTTGCTTACTGAAATGGTTTTTCGTACATCTTTCTCAAGATATAATAATTTAAGGATTTCATCGAGGTAACTTTTTTCAAAGGCTCACCAGACTTTTTTCCAAACTTCAATTAAATCATTTTCTGCACTTTTTTTTCCTCTAAAACACGGATTTTTCACATTTTAGCCGCTTAAAACAATTTTTTCGCGCATTGTTGGATATTCGAGATTAACTTCCGGAATCTCTTTTCTTTTTCTAAGGTCTTTGAAAAAGCAAATAAGGCTCTGATTTACGGGAAAAAACGTCTAATTTTGTGAATTCCTTCATAGACAAAATCTGAGTTTTTTTTTTTAAAGTTTCGTCACTTTTTTTGAGAAGTCTAAAGTTAACTCCAACAATTCCTCTTTTGTTCTCAGATCTTCGAAAGGGCGAATACAGCCTTGAATTACGCTGACAAGGAAGAACGGCTAATGTTGCTGGAGGCCTGGAAAGAGTCGGAGAAGAAGTCCGGCGACGAAGAGGCTTTGAGACGGTTTCGAAAAGAAAAGAATGAGAAAATAGGAATTTTCTCAGAGTTGAAGCGATGATGCCACGAAAGGTGAAGAAACGACGGCAAATTCAGACGGCCGACGGGGTCGACGCCGGCTGGGAGGAGTACTTCGACTACATCTTTCCGCAGGATCAAGGTGAGACTAGGAGAGGAGAAATGTGGGGAGAAATTGACAGAGAATCCACGGTTTTTTGGAAAGGAAAAATTGAAGCCATTTGAAAAATAAAAAAGTCTCCGGAAGTTTAATGTCACTAATTTTGTAAATTTTAGCCTTTTTTAATGAGCAAGGTAAAAAAGGTAGGTAATTGATATTAAATCGATTGGGTTTATGGTAATCCCAGCATAAAAGCGTATAAAAAAATGAAAAATGAAAAAAACGGCTTTAAAAAAATCTTTCATTGTTCTTCAATTTTTCCTCACCTCATCAAAGTACCTAAAAAAATCGGAAATTTTTAAATTTTATGCCCCCCCTTCTTCAACTTTTTTTATAGAAAAATTGAAATCAGGTTTTTAAAACAATTAGTTTTTTTTAAACGAGAAAAAGGTTATTTTTCATGGAATGAACAGTTTTTTTGTGTTACTTGGAAAACATTATGGTAATTTATAACTTCTGCCTGTTCTTTATGGGAAATTGGAAGCTTTTAACTAACCTGCGGCGGAAAAATTATTTTTCAGAAGAAATTTGAAGAAAAGTTCAAAATAAAATGGATAAACAAGTTTTTCATACTAACCAACATGTGAGGTATTTGAGGCCGGGTTCAAAGCTAATTCTCTGAAACCAAAATTTTCTCTGAAACTCCAAAATTCAGTTATCTTTTTCACTCTCTGACGACTATTTTGAATTTCGCGAAATCACTTTATAGGCTATTTTTGGGCTTTGGGCTCCCATTTTTCGAAAACTAAAAATTTTTGCAACTTGAGACTTTTTCTATCCCCTCATGGTGAATCACTTTTTTACGGACTTTTTTGGGAAATTTTCTTTTTGAAAGAATTTATTTCCAGCGGCCCAAGGCTCGTTCAAACTTCTGGAGGCGGCGGCGAGATGGAAGGCCCAACGCGAACAAATGGCCAAGGCGGCCGCCGAGGCGAACGAAGGCGATCGTTCGCGTCGCGACGACGACGACGAGGATGACGACGCGGAGGCGAAGAAAGTTCGCGAAGGTAGATCTTTGCTCATGTTAGGGCAGCCGTGAGAAAATCCCTTCTTGGCAGACCATTTTTAAGGCCTTCTCTCGTTTCTTCCTATCTTAGAGGCATTACTAATATCAATATTATGAAATATTAAGCCGCGAAATTAACGCGATACTGCGAGCGATATCGCTAACCTCCCGCGGCGATCTCGCAAATATCTTGAACTATATTGCTTTCAAATACACTTTTTTCCATTTGAAAATCAAAAAAGGAATGTTTTTTTAACCCATAAGTAAGAGCGATATCGCAGCGAGAAGTTTAGGCGATATCGCTAACGGTTCCATGAATTTAAATTGCCAATTGCGATTTTTTTTTTTTTTTGAAATGTTCTCTGGTAGAAAAGGTTGTCGCTTTGTGGAGAATTGAAAACTGAAATTTGATCCTTTTGTGTTTTTTGGTCGAGGCTTCATCTATAGGCCTCGTTTTTGGGTTAGGAATTTTCTAGAAAGCGTATTTGACATCAGGAATTTCGTGAGCAGAAAACAATCGAAGTAAAGGAAATCATAAATTTCCTTTCCTGGAGTTCGCTCAGTTTGAAGTTTCCTAATTTTCGAAAAAAAAGGCACGAATAGACGTATATTGAACAAATTTTTTCTCAGAATCTATAAATCTTGCCCCTTAAGTGGTCCCTATAGAGGTCTATAAGTTTTTTCCTGATTTTTAAGGTCAAAAAACTGCTCTCCTCTCCCCTAGAGAGGCCACTTTTGCAAGCTTTACTGACCCCTATAGGGAAGGTATAGTGGTCCCTTGAGTGAAACCTACAAGAGCCCCTGAAGTTGCACCTCTAGGGAGCACTGTGGCTTCCCGAAGTGCCTTCAAAAGCTCAAGAAACAATTTTTGAATGAATTTTCGGAAAAATCGATGTATTTTATCTTATTCAACATCAAATTCCTCCAATTGAAGGCGACAGCGACACGGACATTGACGAATCCTCGGATTCCGGCAGCGAATCTTCGTCGACGTCTTCAGATTCCGACTCTGATTAACCCCTTTTTTCTTCCTTCCCAAGGTGAACTCCACGTGGTCCCTCCTCATTTCCTCTCCATATTTATTTGAAAAATCGTTGTTATATCACTCTTTCATTGTTGTTTTGTTATCGCCGTAAAACTGAATGATCTTATGCGAACACTTCTGTGAAAATAAATGTGATGCATTTTACGAGAATAGTCTTGTTTTTCGCCCCTATCTTATGAAGAAAAAAAAGCTCCCACGGTGATATTTCATGCAAAGACGTGTAGTTCATTGAGGGATTATGGTGGATATAGGAGTTTTTTTTAATTCTTCTGGTCTTAGAGCTTTCGGTGAACATAAAAAAAGAAGATAGGCTTTAGTTTCTCTCAGACACGAGTTCTCAGCGAAACTACAAACTACAAATAAGAAACTACAAATTTTGGCATTAAAAAACAAAAAAAAACAAAAGTCATGGCGTGTACAGCGAAAAACTTGTTTTTTGAAGAATTTTTTCATTATATTTCGAAACTATATCGTTTTTCACAAAAAAAAAAAAGTTCTGATTTGCGCGTGAGATTTAGTGTCTGAGACGTGGGTAGTGTATCAACTGAATACACAAAATACACCGCAAATGACGAGCAAAAAAAGTTCTTTTTGTTTTTTTTTCAATTATTCGCTTTCTTTGACTTTTTCCGGTTTAACTCCGATTTTGAAGTTTAGAGAATTATCCTACATTCTCTCTTACTTCATTTCTTGAAGTTTAATCAAATTCCTTGAAGTAAATAAAAATAAAAAAATAAGAAAATTTTCACTAAATCTGAGAAAGAAAAAGAAGAAAAAGCGCGAAAAAGAGGCCCAAAAGGAAGGCGCAAAGGGACCAAACCCACGCGTTTTTCTGCGTATTGATCCTTCGTCGTGTTTCTGCCTTGCTCTCTGCTTTTCCTCCCCTAAGGGCTCAAAAAAAAGAAAACCTCAATTTATACGAATTTTTTCGTCAAGGAAAAGTTTTTTTCTCTCGAAATCTTCGTCCAAAGTTTCAATTGGTTTCGGTGGACTTTTATGGGGAACTCCCACGTTTTCTCTTTTTCTCTTTCTTTTTAATCCCTTTAATCCTCTCGGCCTTTTGATTTCTCTTTATTGTGTAGTTTTGAAAGGGAAATTTCCTTCAATGAACGTCTAATCGTGTTGTTTTCCGTTAATTGAGAGGATTTTCCGTCGCGGTGGCATTTTTTTAAAGCTTCAAAGAACCTTTCTGATTGATCCAGTTGAATTTTACATGTTCTTTTATCGTTTCAAAATGCTTCAGCTTTATTTTAAAGCTTAAATTTTTTGTAAATATGATTGGAAACGGCTTTTGGGCTCAATATATCCATTAAACTGATTTTTTTGCTACCTTGAAGCTCATCAATTTTTTTCAGCTTTTCAATTCCGAAATGAAGTTTAAAGTTTTTTTATAAGCTCGAGGGCATATTGTTCGGACGAAAAAAAGGTGAAAAAAAGAGCCAAAGTTGAACTTTTTTTTATTTTTCGTGAACATTTTTTTCTTAAAAAAACATTAGAGAATATCAACTTTGGACTCTTTTCTCGCCTTTTTTTGAATAAAAAGTTTTTTTGGCCTAATTTTTTTGTAGCGGGTACGTTTGTTAATCCAGCAGTTCAGGTTCATATCATTGTTTTTTTGTTTTTTTACTCTTTACTTTTTTTCAAGTTGTCGTTTCAGACTTTTTTTCTGAAAAATTCTCACTTAAGTTTTTTTTGAATAGTCATATAGTTGTAACTTTTTGATGTCCTGTAAATCTTTTTTTGAAGGGTCGAAAATATTTTTTTTACCAGAAATCTATGTGAAAAAATTTTTATGAATGTAACATCAATTTTTAGGTAATTTTTCCTGGTTTCTTTACTTTCCTTTTCATCAACGCTTCTCCTTCCCACTTCCCCGAACTATTCGAAAAAGCGACGATTATTTATTCCATTCCCAGCTTTCGACCTCTTCCCTCCATAATTTTTTCTCCTCCTCATCAATTTATTCTTCAAACAAGTTCCTCGTCCCCCGCCCACACCACCTTTTCCTAGTTCTACTGCAAATGACGATTGTAATTGGCCTTTTTTCGAATCTCGATAATAATAATTGCTTTTTTTAAGCTATCAATTTTTCAGGAATATTCATCATTTTTTTCGTTTTTTTAATTTTCCTTTTTTTTCACGAGTGCTATATTCAAAGTTTCAAACTGTTCATTTCAAAGTGAGTTCAGTGAATTTTAGACTTTGACGAGTCTATTTTACTTTTTTTCTAAGTTAATTATTCAAAAATTTTTCTTGGAACGTTTTTTTAGGAACAAAAAAATCAAATATATTCAGATTGCGGTTTTTTTCAAATTTTTTTAAAAACTTTTTTTGGAACACGATTTTTTTACAAAGCAAACTTGATGAAAAAAAGTCACATTTTTTTCATTTTTTTCCTCAAAAATTTTTAAATTCCCCACATAAAAGCAAATCTTTTTTTCTATTTGATTTTCTTCGCCTTCTTTTTTTCACAAATTTAATTACATTGCGTCTCCAAAACAACCGTTTTTCATCGAGTTTTCTTTGCATTCGTAGGATTTTTTTCTCGGTTTTTTATAGCTCTGAGGAAATGTAAGATCATCATTTTTGTTGAAAAATTAATTTTTGAAAATTCAAAATTAAAGTTTCTTTTTTTTTCCTTCCCTTTCTACTTCACTATTTTTTTCAATTTTTTTCAAGCTAATAAAATAACTTGTCATTTTTTTGGATATTTTACGATTATTAGAAGCCCAAAACAAAAAAATATTTTCTAATAAAATCGGTTATAAAAATATTCTGAAGCCAAGAAAAACAGCCTGAAGCCGTTTTTTTATTTTGCAATTTTCATCATTATTATTTTTTTTTTCCATTTTTATTATTAAATCGAAGCTCTATAATCTATCAGTAAGATCCTTTATATCATTTTGATAAACATAAAAAAGATTCCAGCTATCAGAACTGAGATTTTTTGACTAGACAAAAACTATACAAGCTCCAAAAATGAGATTTTTGAATTTTTGGACTTTGGTAGCCCCTAACTTTTTTCAAAGGCTTCGAGAGGAAGTTTTAAGTACAGATTTGGAATCAGCATGAAAAACTGCATCTATTAAGGCTAGTCTCATTCAGAAGTCCCAGTGAGAAGCTTTAAAATTTCACAAATTTCAAGAAAAACCCCATTTTAACCACCTGGAAGTGAAAAAAGGCCCGGAAAAAGTGCAAATTCATGAATTTTTCATCGGTTTCTCGTTCATTCTTTTCAATTGTTGTGAAATTCCTCCTTTTTTTGTTCCAGACGTTTTGTCGTCTAGGCTTCGGCTATAAATCCATCGAAGCGTTGTTACCGAGAGCCGAAATCCAATTCTTCTCCTTTTTTCTCGTTTTTGAAGCTCTCAAGGACCCACTTTTGGGGCGGCCCCACTCATAAATCCATCAGAAAAATTGCACTCGCTCACCTTCCAACGCCGTTTTCCGCGTCGCCCCAAACTATGCCAATTTAGTCCCCCCCCTCGGGCCTCGCTTTCCCCCTTTTTCGTCTTTTTCCAATTCATAACCGCCGCCTTTTTTGGATGTAGAGTTTGCTCTGATGATGAATTCCAGTTCATTCATATAATATTCAAAAAAATAAATTCAAATAGTCATAAAACATAAGGAAAAATGAATTTTTTTATCTACAGGCAGAGCAAAATAACAAGTACAAAAAAGGTTTTGAAAAAATTGGCTTTATAGCCCCCGGCATGAAAAATAAGTATTGGGGTAAAAAAAAAGTCAGTTTGGCCTAAAATCGCAAAATGTTTCCAATTTATAACCGCCACCTTTTTTTCGGTGTAGAGTTTGCTCTGATGATAAATTCCAGTTTTTTTCATATAATCTTCAAGAAATAAGTTGAAATGGACATAAATCGTAGTGAAAAAAATATAACTTCGGCGAAAGTACCGTCAAATTGGCCAAATAATGCAAAAATAAATTCAATTCATAACCACCGCCTTTTTTTTCGTTGTAGAGTTCGCTCTGATGATAAATTTTAGTTTATATACGTAATATTTAAGGTTTACTAAAAAAAAATCATAAAATAGCTATAAAAAGGCGGAAAATGCCTACAAGCCTAATAAGATCTGATAAACTTCTACAAAAAATAAAATTTTACGAAAAAAAATTGTCGATTTGGCGCAGGAATGCCAAAAAATCCATCAAAATCCATCAATTTCCCGCTTTCTCCAACGACACCTTTTTTTGGTGTAGTGTTTGCTCTGATGATAATTTCCAGTTGATTTCTATATTCTCTAAAATTTACTCTAAATAGTCAAAAGATGTGGTGAAAATGAGATTAAAAAAGTGGCTTGAAAATAAAATGATCCAACAATATTTTCTTGAAAATCAAGCTCTATTTTTTAACTCCTTCTTTTTTCCGGATAGAGTTTGGTCTGAAAAATGGAGCTGTATAACGTTGAACTTGCGGAATTTTAATATTTTTTTTCCAAGAAATTATCCAAAATTTAATCTCTGAATAGATTATTTTCCAATTTTTTTACTTTTTTTGCTGAATTAGTTATAAAAGAAAAAATCTGATCTTTTTTTAAAATTCTTTTGTTCAACTTCTCGAGGACTAATATAAAACTTATCGAGTTTCTTTTTAAAAGAAAAAAAAATTTTCAAATCTTGTTTAGGTTGATCTTTGTAAATAATCTAAAAGTATTATTTTTTTTTTCGCCGTGGTTTGGGAGTTTTTTCATCATTTCACAGCTTCTGTTGAAAAATAAATGGTTTTTTGTGTGTTAATGTGGTTTTTGTTTTATTTTGGCAGCTTATATTTGGTTGAAAAGACGATTTTTTTAAATATGTAAAAAAATTTTTAAATAGCTTGAAAAATTTTTTTCGAAAAAGAGAATTGAAGCTTTCAAGGCTCTTTTTTTCCCCTAATATACTTCTCTATGCTGAGCAACACAAAGTTTCCCGAAAAGTTGCCAAAAAGTCTTCTTTTTCTGTCGAAATTCTCTCTTCCAAAAACTTTTGCCCTAATTCGATTTCCATTGTTTTCGGGGCTCGCTCCCTTTTTTGCACAAATTTTCGTTTCTCCTCTTTTTTTTTCCTTCTCATTTTTTGCGTCGAAATGACGTCCGACAGGTGTCATTGGCTGGCCACGCCCACTTTCTTCCACCTGTGCGGAGGCGGCGTCGCGTTAATTTTGGTCGGAAACGTCATAGTGTTGTTTTCCAAGGTATATAAATGACATTGTTCTCGGAAATTGTGGTTTTTTGGAAAATTTCAAACGTCGTAAAAGGCAAATTTTCTCATTTTTTGGCTTATTTGCTCATTAACTATTTCCTTATTTTGACCCTTTCCCCGTCTCAAATAAGCGAAAAATGTGTGAAAACAAAAAAAAAAGCGAAACGAAATAAGAAAAATAGCGTCTTTTGACGGCCCGCGCCGCTAATTGTGTTCACATTTCGGTTGGTTTTTCTTTTTTTAGAATTTTTCTTTTTGAATTGTTGAGGAAAAGGTGAATTGATTATTTTTTTCAAAATTCGAAAGTTTTTTCGCGAGCCGCGACGCGTCCGCAACGCGTTGAGCCATTCTAAATGCGACCAGAAGTACATATAATCGAGTACCGTATCCCCTATAAGGACCACTAACTGACAGGGGCCATTTTTTCAAGCTTCAGTGCCCCCTATAGGGAAATTAAGGTGGTCCCTAGATAGAGGGTACCCTTAAGAACCTTCAAGTTTGCCCCTCCAGGGTCCATTCTGACGCTCCGAAGTTCATCAATCTTTTTTCGATGATTTTTAAATATTTTCCCAACCTTTGATGTCTCCCACATCATCTTCTTCATCAAAAACCTCCAAAAGCCCAGAAAAAATCCCAAAATCTTGATGCAAAACAAAGACAAAATCCATGGCGGCCCTGGCTCCATGGCGGCCCACGGAAGATCAAATTTCGTCGGTTTTGGCGCCCTCTGGAATAATCCGTCGGGATTATTTGCGCCCGACGGCTTTTTTGATTCTGGAGAAAGTTTTTCTTGCTGATTTACCACAGAGTCTGATGTTTGTCAGAAGGCGAGAAACGTTCTGAGAAGAGATTTTCGTGTAGAGAATGCCAAACTACAAAAGATTGGCGGATTTTTCTTTTTTTGGATCTGTTTGATTGTTTTTTATACATTTCTATAGTTCTGATAAAAAGCGTTAAAGTCAAAGTTCAAGGTCAAAGATTGCTAGGAGCGGCTTCAATTTTTGGTTTTTGAAAAAAAAATTTTTTTCGCTGTCTCTTGAGCACAAGGAGTTGTACTGAATAAGAAGATTTTTTTCCAATTTTTTATTGTTTTTTTAAATAAACGTTCTCTTCAAACTTCGACAATTTATAACTGGAAAAAAATTTTATAAAAAGAAAAAGTGATTTTTTTCTAAAAAAATTAGAACAGAAAAAGCCCTTTTTTTCGATCAAATTTTTTTCACAAATTGTATGATTTTTTTCCAAAGTAATTTCTGTAAAAAAAGAAAAATTTTTTTTCAAACTGGTGAAGTTTTTTTGGAACGGAACTGTTCCTACAGATTCCGGTAAGACCGGTTCTGAATTTCCACTAATTTCATTCGATTTTTTTCTCTTAATAACGTTATTCAAAGTTTTTTTCCAAATTTAAAGATTCTTGAATTTTTTTGAGGCTACCGCAGCGCGACCGCAACGTTTATAGCCTTACCTAACGAGATTTTAAATAAAGAAGAATATAGTCGATGTGCCACAAGTTGAAATTTCATGGAACGACACTCCGCTGTTTCGATTTGTGCGGTAGCGCGCATCGTGCGAATTTGCCAACCTCGGCCACGCTAATTTTTTTGGTTTTAAATCTAATTTTGATCTTTTTTCAATTGTTTTATTTCTTCAAAATGTTTTATTATCGTTGGAAAGGATTGCGTTGTACAAATGTAAACGAAAGAACACAGTAAATTTCATGATCTTCCTCGAAAAGAGCGATAAAAAAGTGTGTTTTTGTTGAAGCCATGTTTTAATGTTTTCATCGTTTTTTTTTCTGTTTGTTGCAGTGGCTAATGGGTTTTTTCAGAAAGTGAGTGGCTTATAAAATGAAGAGGTGTACGCACTATGAAATAGGGAGATCGGTTTCAGTCAATATAAGGTTTTTCACTGCGTATTTATCTCCTGGTTGAATTATTGGCATTCCGAAAAACTTTATTCATCCATTGCACTGCCAAAAAGTTCGTAAAACTAAAGAATTATCGAAGAAAATGTATTTGAAAACGGCAAATTATAAAATGGGAAAGCGTGACCGAGATCCGCAAAGGCATTGATTTTTCACGGCCACAAGGTCACCGAGCGGAGTGTCGTTCCATGAAATTTCAACTCGTGGCACATCGACTATATCATCAGACATTTTTTCCTTTATAAAAATCGAACTCGAAAAAAAGCGGCGCGACGCGGTCTGAGTAGCGGTCCAAATAATATTCTCCTATTTTGGAACTTTGCGACGACCTTTGGGTTGGCGGTTGAGTAGCTCAACTTGAGCCGCTTTCTCTGCTGATTGCTTTCTTTCGTCCCTTCTTCGCCCCAAACGAACACATCAAACATTCATTCTTGAGCCCCCGGGTGACGTTCAATCTTTTTTTGCGGCCTTGAAATTTTTTTTCTTTTTGGAAATCATTTTAAAGTTCCGCGTATCATCCTTGAATGACTAAGCTCAATTACAATCGTGATTTCATGTTTCCGGCGAAAATTGCAATAAAAGGATGTCTTTTGTGTGTAGGAGTTTTCAATGACTTTCTCTAAAAATTCAAGCTTAGAAATTTATTTTTTTATTTTTTATATTCCTGTATACATATAAAACTGACTAAATTGAATTTTAGTCATTTCCTACCTTTTTTTCTGAATCTTCATATTTTTTTAGGATATAAAAAGTTTCTCTGAAGGACAGAAAGAAGTCCAGATAACCAATAATTTCACTCTTGACGTATAATAACTTTTTTTCGAAGGTTCGGTTTTCGATTCCTAACTTTTACGTCATTTGAAAACAACTCTGCAAAAACATCTTTTCCATTTCCGAACTCTTTGTGTATGAAATAAGATCTTTTCATCTAACAGAGTAACATAGTAGAGTAATTGTTTTCTTGATTTTGAAATTTTGCCGGGAAAAAATAATTTACGAAATTCTGCTAGGTTGATTTTAGGAGGCGGAGAAACAGCCTGAATCTTTCTTTTTGGGAAATCTGTTTTTAAAAAATCATTTAAAAACCCAGTCTCAAAGGATCAAAAAGTCACAAGAATGTTATACTTTAATTTTCATGATTTTCAAGTGCCCTGGCTGCGTTTAGAATAGCTCTACGCGTCGCGGTCGCGTTGCGGTTTGAGGATTTGTTCAATCAAAGCTTCAATTCAAAATATCTTTCTGCAAAATTTAGTTTTTTTTTGATTTTGAAAGCCCCGAATCATCGTATACGTCATTTACATCTGTTTGAAAAGTCTTGACCGCAGTTGGAATGGCTTTGCGCGTCGCGGTCGCGTTACGGTTTTAGGATTTTTTCAATCAATGCTTTTAATTCAAAATAACTTACTGCGAAATCCAGTTTTTTTCAATTTCAAAAGCTCCTAATGATCCTATACGTCATTTTTACCTGTTTGAAAAGCCTTGACCGCAGTTGGAATGACTCCACGCGTCGCGGTCGCGTTGCGGTTCGAGATTGTTCTATAAAAACAAAAAAAACAGGAGAAATCACTACAAAGTTCAGTTTGTGTTTGTTCAAAAAATTCCAAGTATTTTTTACGTCATTTTCACCTTCTTCAAACACCCTGGTCGCAATTGGAATGACTCAACGCGTCGCGGTCGCGTTGCGGCCGAAGTTTAGCCCCCCGCTTTGATGCCCTTAAGCAACCACTTAACAATCTCTTGAACCATTCCGCGTGCGACCAAAAAACCTCCAACTCGTTGCTCAACAGCGGAAAATCGGCATGGGAGAACGTTGGCCAGGATATCCGGCTCCGGGAATCCTCGGCGGTTCGTTAGTTATTCGCGGCTCGGCCTCCGTTCAGGAATTCATCTCGCGACCCGCACGTCGTTGCTTAATTTGCAAGCAAAATTAGGTGTGTGTGCCGAGGAAGAGATAGAGACTAACAAAAGAGAATAGGTACGAAGCATTTTTTCTTCTCTTTTTTGAACAAAATTAGGAAAATACTGTATTTCGTTCGGATTCTTTGATTCAGCTTTCTCTAAAAAAGTTGCCTAGTCTTAACATTTTATTATTTCTTTTTGTTGCACCGTTTTCAGTTGAAGTTTCAAATTTGGAGATTTTAGTTATGTATGCCATTGCTCGTAAATCGTTTCTGGTCGGTCGCAATTTGAATTTATCAAACAGCTTAACTTATTCCAATAAAAAGTTTATTTTTTTAATATTTCCCGTTTTGATATTCAATATAAAACAGCAGTTTTTTAGCTTTCCAAATACATTTTTTGTTCACCAAAAAAATTTTAAAAAAATTTGGAAGTATGTTGAATTTCGTCTGCGGTGCATGCACAATAAACATCATATCTGACGGGCGAATGTAGAACGCCGTGAAATGAGTTACGTTTCATAGAAAGATTATAATCATTTCTTTTTTTCCGTTTTTTTGATTCCTCGTCATCAATTTCAGCTAAAAAAATTATTTTTGAGAAGAAAGAAAAAAATTCAGAAAAAATCTTCAAGGGCCTCAAGCTCCTTCAATTTACAATTCTAAACTATTTTTTTCCTCTACAAAGTTATTTTATATGAAGAAGAAAGATATTATTGTAGTAAATACTCCGCCGATTTTTCCTTTTTTTTTAAGTTTTTAAAATCACTTTTTTCACTCCTTCTTTCTTCCCAAAGTCGCAAAGCTCCTCGATTTGCAGAAAAGTTTCAAACCCTATCATTATTTTTCCATTCGAAAAATGTTCAAACATTATCCGCAAAGTGCGACGGAAAAGCCTTTGAAAGTTCATCCCGGCAATTATATTCGATAACTTCCTTTTTTCCACAAAGTTTCTCATTTTTCTCCAAAAGTGCTTTTTTAATGGTGGTTGTAGCTTTTCTTCATGTAGAATTCGAAAAATATGCGTTTATGATTTTTTGATGGACAGTTTTTGATTTTTTTGAAGAGTAGTTCTTAAAAAAATGAGCCGGAAAAAAAGTTTTTATTTCACGCTTAAAAAAATAATTAGGTCTCTAGACGATGCTTTTTTTCAATTTTAAACTTTTTAAAAAAATTTTCAGCTCATTTTTTTCGTTAATAATATACTAATTTCCGATTTGAAAAATTTGAAAAAAATCCAAAAATAGGCGAAGAAATTTCAACTAGAACCGCATCGCGACCGCAACGCCTTGAGCCATTCCAAATGCGACCAGCAGCGTCGAAAAAAATGGTCTTTTTCACGCCTGATTCTTGGTGTCAAGCCAGATTTCCCAGAAAAAGTTGCCAAATCTTGATCTTTCCCTTTTTTCCCTTTTTAGAATTCCTAATCGCCGTCCGACGCTCATAAAAAGCGACTTTTTCGGGCCTTTTTCTCATTCATAGCTGATCAGTCTGGCACGCACACGGCTTCCTCGCGACGTTCACAAGTTTTTTTGTCATTTTTTTCTTTTCTCTCTCGAATATCAAGCCTTTTTTTTCACGACAAAAAGTCATATTATTGCTTTTTAGAGTTGAACAGAAACTACAATTCAACTAGTAAAAAAATAATTTTTTTCGGTTAAAATGTTTTAATGAAATTTAAAATCTGCCCGAAGCCGGGCCTACCCAAGCCCGCACAAGCTTTTTCTTAAAAATAAGGCCCAGAGCCCGGGCAGACCGACCCCTGGTTATAACCCATTCCGGGCCAGCTTCTCCCGTTTTTTCCTGCTAAAAATACCGTATAAAAAAGACCCAATTGACCAAAATTCGCTTCAAGACCTTCTTTTTCTGCTTTTAAAAAAAGAATAAAACTGTTTTACGGTACCTCTTTTTCTTTTAAAAACGAGACCGTCTCGAGCGAAAAAAACGCACTATATCAAAAATCCGGGCATGTTTCTGAGGAAATTACTTTTTTTATATGAGATTGATGTACTTCTTGAAAAAAAGAAAGTCTTTTTTTCTTGAAAAAAATTGCCGTACAATGGTAAAGGTTTAAACGTACACGGCTTAAATCTCATTCCGAAACGTAGTTCAGCCAGGAAATGGCTCTTTTTCATAAAAAAAGATAAAAATTAAGTTTTTTTGACCTTTTTTTGATGATATAAATTTTTGGACGTCTAGATAAATCATAATTTTTTTAAAAAAATTTCAATGTTTTCTTCTCAAAAAAATATTCAAATTTTTTTCTCTTTTTAATTTGTTTTTGGCAGTTTTTTTGGTACTTTTATAAGGTCGATCCCTATCAAAAAGCCACTTTTTATTCTTTTTTCTTTTTTCTCAATTAAATGCTAGAGAATATAATTTATTTTCCCTCTTATTCTGCCGATTTTTGGCTTGATTCCACTTGAGTGACCATTCCCCCTTTTCGATTCGCGTTTCTCCTCTTCTTTTTCTTTTTTTCGCCGACGTGAAATTCGCTTTTGTCTTTATTTCATGAATTTTTGAAGTTTTCAGGTCCCTGGTTTTTTCTTAAGCATTGAGACCGACGCAGTCACTACGGCCGGCTCGGTTTGTTTTTTTTTTCAGGAAAAAATTAATTTTCTTTACGAACACTAAAGAAAATTGCCGAAGAGCGAAATCGGGCGCGGTGCATTGACGCGATATCGCAAAATTTCTGCTTCGAAGTCGCGCTCGAAATGCCTTTTTTGACGCGATATCGCAAAAATTCTGCTCCGAAAACGCGCTCGACTTGCCTTTTCGGCGCGATATCGCGTTTTCTTGGGGCGATCTTGCAGTTTGAAAGCTATGTAATTTTTGAGTGCGGGAGAAATGCGATGTCGCGCCTAGAAAAGTGCGCGAAGGCAGAGTGAAATGTTCGCGATGTCGTCACTTTACCGCTAGCGACATCGCGTTTTGTGTTTTAACTTTTTTGATTGCGGAAGAATAGCGATGTCGCGTCTAGAAAAGTGCGCAAAGACAGAGTGAAATGTTCGCGATATCGTCAATGTATCGCCAGCGACATCGCGTTTATACCGCGCCCTGCAGTTTTCTTTAGTAGGACCATTTCAATCATGGATACTTTCTAGGGAAGCCGCGTTGCGGAGGCGTCGACCTCGGACTACCGCGTCGCGGTGTTCGGCGCCGGCGGCGTCGGCAAGTCGTCCATCGTTCAGAGATTCGTCAAAGGCACCTTCTCCGACAACTACGTCCCCACTATCGAGGATACCTATAGACAGGTGGAAAATTATAGAAATAAAGAAAAAAAAACATAAATCCACTGTATTCATATTATAAAAATCAACTAAAAAGAGGCGAAAAAAACCAAAAAGGTACACGTTTTCGCACATAGACTTGACAACTTATACTCGAACCGAAATATCAATAAATTAAATCCAAAAATGAAAAATGCCCGGAAAATAAATCAAAAAATACTAATTACTTTCATAGTTTATCCAAATTGAATTTGGACTTAAAAATTGACTGGAAATATACGGTATTTCCAACAGAGTTCGCCAAGTTGTATTTGTACTGAAAAGTTTGGGTCAAAAATCAACCGAAAAACGTCTGAAATATGATATTTTCATTGAAGAAGTTCAATTAAAGCTATCCGGCTTGACAAATGAATAATTAAGTAGCATCAAGACCACTTGAGTGACCCCTTGAGATAGTCCTAATCGAAAATTCTCACATAGCTTCAGAATTTCTGGCCTTTACTACGTTATATGTCATTTATATCTGTTTTTTGGTAAATCAAACTTTTTTTGATGGAAAGCGAAAATAGGTAGGAAGAATAAGTAGCGCCGAGACCACTTGAGTGACCCCTTGAGAATCAAAAAATCTCACAAATTCACAGAGTTTTGGGCTTTTTTTTACGTCATAACTCATTGGTTTCTGCTTTTTAGAAAATCCAGTTTTTTTTTTGAAGTAAAAGCCGATGTTAGGTACAAGAGTAAGCAGCGCCAAGACCACTTGAGTGACCTCTTAATCAAAATTTCCCAGAATTTTGGGCCTTTTTTGCATCGCAAGTCATTGGTTTCTGTTTTTCTGGTACCTCATGTTATAATCGAGAACTTGCAGGTGATCAGCTGCAACCAGAAAAATGTCTGCACTTTACAAATCACCGACACGACGGGAAGCCATCAGTTCCCGGCGATGCAGAGGCTCTCGATGAGCAAGGGACACGCTTTCGTCCTCATCTATTCCCTTACAAGGTTCGATAAATCAACTCAGCAAAGCCTGAGTGCTTACTAGAAGGCTTAGGAAACCCCCCCCCCCCTAAAGTGGACAAAATAATGCCCTCAGAAGGTTGTAGTTAAAGTAGGCCTTATAGGGGATTGTGGTCTGGATCATAAGCCCCTTCAACATAAGTGGTCCCTATAGGGGTCTGGAATCTGGATCATAAGCCCCTCCAACTTAAGTGGTCCCTATAGGGGTCTTACGGTCTGGATCATAAGCCCCTTCAACTTAAGTGGTCCCTACAGGGGTCTTACGGTCTGGATCATAAGCCCCTTCAACTTAAGTGGTCCCTATAGGGGGTCTGGAATCTGGACCATAAGCCCCTTCAACTTGAGTGGTCCCTATAGGGACCCTTTTTTTTGCTCTGATTTAAAAAATAAAAAAAGACGTTCGTTTTTTGAGCATCGCGCTCTTCCAAAGGAAGGAAATGAATGAATTTCATCAATTTTTTGTTTTTTTTTTCAGTATGCAGTCGTTAGAAGAACTCGGCCCCATCATTATGATGCTGAAGGAAGTGAAAGGTTCGGCGATTGGCGAAGTGCCAATAATGCTGGTCGGCAACAAAAAAGACGAAGATTCGGTTGGTCCATTCAATTTTTAACGGATATTACTGTTTTGGAGAAAGAACTTTTGAAAAATTGATGCAGGTTCAAACACTAAGAGCAGCTCAGAGCTACAAAAAAAATTAAAATACCAAGAAGAACCTTTCAATTTGGCCTTACAAGGGAGATCATATCACTTATTGTTGAGATTTTTCTGCAAAACGGTCAGATTATTTTCTGATGTAGAAGATGATCTTCCTGGATTTCTAAACCTGTAAAACTTCCTAGTTTTTGAGGAACGACCTGATGAGAAAGTAATAGGAAAAATTATTTTTATTTCAAAAGAATAATGAGAATTCAAAAAACGACCGTATTTTATTAATTCGCAATGGAGCACAAAAAAAGCGGTCGCATTTTGTAAACGTCCGTACTCTATGCCTCGCCGCACTATTTAAACCACGAAATGTCATACAACGACAACTTTCTCAGAACTTCGGAACTGGAAACAGAAATAACGAATTTCAGAAGCGCGAAGTTTCCACCGCGGTCGGCACGAAACTCTCATCTCAATGGGGTACGGGATTCATCGAAACGTCGGCCAAGAACAACGACAACATCACGGAACTGTTCCAGCAACTCCTTTCAAGGGAGAAAAAACGGCAACTCGCCCTGACGATGGATGATCCCGACGGGAAAAGCGGCAAGAAGAAAGGATGCGCTCTCATGTGAAAAATCTCACTTAATCTATTTTTTTTTGTGTATTTATACTGTAGGTTGTACTGTATGAAGTTCCGTTCAGAGAGAGATTCAACTTTATTACTTCTTTTTCGCGAGAAGTTGAATATATATGACCGCATTTGGAATGGCTCGGCGCGTCGCGGTCGCGTTGCGGTTACAGATAAAATCCCCCCGTTTTCTGATTTTTCTCAAAGCTCTGTATGAAGTTCCTTCCGAAGGGAAATGCAATTTTCGAAGTTTTGGTCGCTTTTGGAATGGCTCGACGCGTCGCGGTCGCGCTGCATTTAGAGCCCGCTGAGCCATTCCAAACGCGTCCAACTTCTTTTAACTCGAAGCGAATATAATATGCATTCATAAATGCTTATTGGATTCATTTTTGAACGGTTCCATACCTGTTAGATCTTTCTGTTAGGCTTCGTGTGTCAGTTATTTATTTATTTTTCCGACCGATGGGCTGGGACCACAACATTTATTCATAAAATCAGGCGCCAAATTTGAATAATTTTGCCAGAAAGGGGTTTGAAGTAAAAACCTCTTCAACTCAACCATTCCAAACGCGACCAAATTGGTGGAATTTCAAAATAGCGCCTGATTTCAGATTAACCATGAGAACTTTAGGTTTAGGCAAGAAGAATAATTTTTCTGGGGTGTTTAAAGGTACATAGGGACAAAATTGAAATCATTATGTACCTTTAAAAATTCCGAAAAAAACATTTTATGATTCAAGAATCCCAAATGAGAGCTTTAATTCACCTGTATAACTTTAAAAATTATAAAAATGGTCAATTTATTTATTTATTGTGTCTAATTAGCTTCCATGATTATATTTCCAAATCTTGGCTTCATTTTTTTAAAAAATATTCTTTAAAATCCCTACTTTATACCTTTTTTACCCCTTTTTCAGAAAGTTCAAAGGTACTTAGATCTTCTTGAAATCTCCCAAATCATTCCAGAGCTTCTAGAACAGAGAGTAGATCCTTTTAGCCCCCTTGGTTCAGACCAAATAAAATTTCTATCTTTTTTTTTTCATATAAATCGCCCCCAGAACGTGTCTTAATAATCCCAAACAAGAAAAACTACCGAAAATTTTTTTGAATAAACCTTTTTTTGAATGAAAATCAATCTTTATCACAATTGTCATGGAACAAACGAAAAGGCAAGTTCACGGGAATCGAAAACGTATTTTCACTGGAACGAAAATTGAGCAATTCGTTTGGAGATCACATAAAAGACAAAAATATAGTTACAATGAAGGTCTATTAAAAATTGCTGTTCCTAGGGCAAAGTCGCCTAAAATACATTGAAAACGGCTCATCGCTTCAAGACCATCTACAAATTACTCTATGCGCCTTTAAAAATCACAAAAAATACTGTCATACGGGGTATATTTCACCAGGGCCTATCTCATCACACAAACAAATGTTAGAACCACGTTATTTCGAAAAATGTACATATTTTCAAAGAAATACAGTGTAAATAGGGGAAAAAGAATAAAAACAACTTGGTCATGTGCGCTCTATGGACAATTTTTGCTGGGAGTTTCAAAAATTACCACGAAAAATAGTGAGACGGACAGATAATGGGAAAATTTTTAGTGGCCTTTATAGGGTTTTGACTTTTAAGTGCCCACTATAGCAGTCAAATCAGTGGCCCCTTAAGGGGTTAAAAATAAGTGGCCACTAAAAAGGTCTAAGCGCTACTACTAGACCACTAAAAATTTCAGTGGCCACTTTAGGGGTCAATAGATCAACATAACTGGTCCAATCTGTTTGTTTTGATATTATCAGAGCTACTGAAAGGAATACTGGATGAAAAACTACTGAAGTGGTCATTAAAACGGAAAATAGTGGCCACTATAGAGGTGGGCTTAGTGGCCACTTCAGCGTCTTCTCCAAGTAGATCTTGGCGAGCCTCTATAGTGGCCACTAAAAATTTTCCCAGTAGGGCTAAAAGAATCAGGATTTTTCTCCATAGAGCGGAGTTACCGCATAAGTTATTTTTAAAACTTTTCATTGAATTTATTCTTCCAGCAAAAAAACTGGGAAAAACTCCTAGTCCATAGTAAAATAATAAATTTTTCTTATCACTATTAGCCATGGAGCGCTTTTGCTGTTTAACCTCACATATAATCTGGAAACACTTTCCGGGGTTTTTTTATTACAAGGAAACCCTTAAGAGACGTCTAAACCCCTTAAGTGACAAACATTATGCTAAACAGACCCTTAATAGGCTATTAACCCCTTAAGTGATCACTAAATGATTCAGAAAAATTCATTTCACCGGAGAGACGTCACCCGAAAGCGCTACCAATCTCTTTTAACGTTAAAATCTTCATAGCCGAGCCAAGGCGCGATCCGCGAAATACCGTCTCAATAGGGCAGCAATGTAAATGAAAACGGCGCTGCCGAGGATCAAATCGTCGATGAAACCTAAAACTGAAGTCCCTACAGTGCAATGCTTCACCAAACAACATAGAATTTTATAAAACTATAGCCTGTGTACCACGACTTGGAATTTCACGGAACGACATTCCGCTGTGCCGCTATGCGCCTTTGCGAACCTTGGTCGCGCTTTTAATTTTTTATTTTATTTTATTAAGGTACTCTGTTTTCATGTGCTCTCACAGCAATAACAATCAATTAAAAACGTGGCCTAGATTCGAAAGACGCTTCGCGACCGCACGCAGCGGAACAGCGGAATGTCGTTCCGTGAAATTTCAAGTCGTCGCACACAGACTATATTCAATAATTTATGAAAGGTATTTTTCTTTCACACAAATCGCTTATTTTAAAGTTTTAAGCTGAGAAATACACCCGAATTCTGTAGAATTGCTGTTTTCAAAAACTGTTCAATTTTCAAAAAATTGAGTTTTTTTGAAATGTCTTCAACCTTCTCAGTATTTTTGCTCCCCTCAAACTCTAACTACACCTTTGAAAAGAGTTTTTTTGAACGAATCTAGTAACCAGCAATCAATAAAATACTCAAAATTCAAACCCAAAAATTCAAAAAAAAATTCCCAAATAAATTAATCAAAATACCTAGTTTGAAAAAAACCAAAAAATATGTTTAAGAAAAAATGAAATTTTTCAAGATTACTCGTAACCCTTTTTCTATATACTTCAAAACCTATAAACTCCTTAAATTATCCTTATTTTTACTGAAGAAAAAAAGTTGGAGTGATCCCTTAAGGAGTTTCCCTTCCAAGCTCTGAACCCAAAAGGGATATTTCAAACTGTAGATAAGGATCGGAAAAAAAACCTTTTCAGCTTTTCGGTTCAAAATAAAATAATTGAGAATTCGCGCCATTTTTTCCAAGAGGAAAATTTCTAGGTAGAAAGGTTTTGACTTGAAAATTATCGAAAAGCTTTCTAGGTCCTAATTTTTCAGTTTGAGAAACTTCATTGATTTTTTGAAAAGCTTATTTCTCACCATAAAACCCGTAGATATTATCTGGCAGGACATCCGTGGGAAACATAACGTAGCACAGCAGAAACACCAAAATCAGCACGATTCGAACTCTAAAAACCAAATTTTCCATTGAAAATCAATGAAACGAACTGATAAATCCTAGCAATAAAGTTGCGGGTGGCGAAGAAATTTCGGAAAAAGTAGGGGATCATGACGGGAACGTCGCGGATGTAGTCCATCACCTAAGAATTGATTTTTTGAGAATTGGAAAAAAAAACGGAACCTGCTTTCGGAAAACCTAAAGTGAGAACAATATCGGAATTTTTTGATAAAAGTTTTTGAATGTGCTTTGAAACAGTAATATCGCTGAGTTCAAGCCGAGAGGGACACGTTCCAAAAATTACCGTTTTTTGCACTCTTGCTAAAAATTTCAAAAAAAAAGGTCTCTAAGCGAAGTTTGGTCAAGTTTGTTGTACGGTCCTTATTGCGGGCAAAAGACGGGACAAGCTGGCCCGGAATGGGCTGTAGAAAAGCAAGAGAGACGCGTTGCGTACGCGACGCGGTTTTTGGCGGGAAAATCGAATTCAAACGGGATGAAACTGTTTTTTAAAAGCGTTTCGATAATATTTTCATTTGGATGAAACGATGAATAGTAGAAGAGAATAGCAGAGAAAAGTTACCGTATTGGCTAAAGGTCTTGAAGCGAAATCGGCAAATTTGGGATAATTAGGTATAAAAAAAAGCACTTATACTCTAAAAAACTGCAAAAAAGACAACACAGGTCTTGAAGCGAAATTGGTCAAATTTGGGTATAAGGTCTTTTTGGCATTAAAAAACGTGACAAGAGCCTCGGAATGAGCTATAACACAGTATAAAAGATACACTGCGATCGGCGGAGAAGCGACGATTGTAGTCGTTGACGCGGATGTCGTTCTCGTGGAGTTGGTCGGCGAGAGTGTCGCTGTCCTCGCTGTCGTCGACGTCCTGTTCCGAGGGCCAGTGGATCGGCAGCAGCACCGTCACCTGCAACCCTGGGGTGTTTCAGATCTCGATCTGGTCTCGAAATTTTCTAGCTCTTACGAGAAAAATCTTTTTTCAAGTCAAAACTGCAATTTTCTAAGCTTTTTTCTCAAAATATCTCGATCTCTTACTGAAAAGTCGTCTCGTGATTTTGTACGTATCGAAAAATCTTGTGAGACTTTTCTTTATTGACATTTTTCAAAATACAACTGAAAAATGCCCTGTAGAGAAGATAAAAAAAAAGAACCTTGAAGCGACAAACGGCGCATTTGACCGGCGTGAATAGGTCTCCACTGTGCTGCCAATACATGATAACACAGGCGCCTGAAAAATTACTTTTTATGAGAGCTCTTGATCAGGCGGGCTGCCTTTGGGCTCGTTTTCTCAGGAACGTCAGTGTGATCCCTATAGGGACAACCTCAAAGGCCCTTGAAGGTTCTCGTTCAAGGACGACTTTTACACCCCTAGGCGCTCAAGAGTCGCACCCTGAACCCCCAAAGAGACCTCCATTTTTAGTCCCCAGGAGTTGTATTTTGTCCCCATATAGAATCTGTTTTCCCTATAGGGACCACTCCGACGTTCCTAAAAAGAGTTTAAGAAAACTAACAACAGAAAACGTGTCCACAGTCAGTAATAACAGGAAAACTGGCAGAAGGGGCCAGACAAATCGGACATTCGTGGTTGTTGTTCAGTTGCGCTTCTTGCATTCTCTGAAGAATTTTCTTCAAAACGTTGAAAATTAAATTAAAATCATTCAAAAATCAAAAAGCTCGGCCTATTCAGGGTAGCCGGAAGAAAAATTTTTCTCGATTTTTTTCTTAAAAAAATCTATAAAAAAATATGCATAACTGCTTAGTTAACGACTTTTTTTTCGATCACAAAAATGTTTCTTTCCTAAATCTTTCCATTATTTTTCGTGTATCACTATTCTACATCTTTCCAAAAACTAACCCTCGCAATCGATTCCTGCAAATGTGGATCATTCCTCAAATCCACCATGTCCGCCTGAGCATCTGGATGAATTCCTACACGACGTCGACGACGCCTAAAAAATCGAATCAAAAGGGAAAAATTCAAAGAAAATCATACCTAACAAACGCCACAATCTGAAGCGCCATTGAGAGAATCGTGACAATCAAAAGGATAACTATTTCGATTTCAACGCCTGAATCCAATAATTTATGAATTAAAATGAAGAAAAATCGTGCCATCTATCGTCAGCCAATCATCGTAATCAATGATCATTGGGTCGACTTGAAGAGCTGTTCGATTCATCGTGCCTAGCGTTGATTCATATATATCGTGCTCCGCAACAAGGTCCATTTTCTGAATATTGTAATTTAAAAAATTGCTCAGGGATCGAAAAATGATAAAAAACGACAACAAAAAACACAAAAAATTTGATGGGATTAAGAGTTAGAACCTTATTTTCCAATGCGAGCCCGATTATTTTCTACACCTATGATGAAATTTTGTGGTGAAAGAAGCGAAAACAAATTAGTAAACGTTGACTTTTCGAGCAGGCAGCGTAATTTTTCTGCATGTGAAAAACCGCCAGCGTGCATGTGGAAAACGTAGGAGCTGACGCGCAAATTTTGAAAAATTTTTCAAAATCCGTGTTTTAAAATTTGAAAAGTAAGTAAAACCGTTCGAAATAACGAATGATATTTCCTGTACAATGAAAACTGATCAACATTTCTTTATTCATCTTCACATTTTCATTCAAAGACGAGTTTTTTATCCTCGACGAGGGCGTTTTTGAGGGAACTGTATTTGACTCTTTCTTTCAGGATACGATCCCGACGGCGGACGGCGTCTTCTCCTTTCACGAAATAGGTCATTTGCTTGCCTTTTCCCTGAATTCAACTGTTTTCAGTGTTATCAGAAGTTTTTTGAGGGGTTCAAATCAGAGCTGTGCGTTGGGCCGAGGTTGATGGCCGAATCGGCCCACAATCGTCGCAATTGCGAGCTTTTTTCATCTCATTTTATAATTTAAATCACATATTTTTCCCAAATAACACATATTCGATCACTCACTCCTCCATTTACACACTCTGTGAAAATTTCGAGGCAAAAAAGTTCGAAAATTGGCAAATTTTCGACCGCTTCGCGACCGCGTTGCAACACTATGGCCAGCCCGGCTGGCCCAAAGCACAGCTCTGGTTCAAATGAATCCAAAAGATTTATTCGAAAAGAGGTTCTTGGAATTTTTCCAAACCTTCATCTCGATGAGTCCGCGCTCCTCAATGTCATAACCGCCGAGTTGTTCGAGGATTTGCTTTGAAGATTCTGAGCAGTTCACACGGAGAGCTTCAAAATGATCATTTTTCGGAAAGATTTACAATAATCCTTACGAATTCCGTTGCTCTCCATACGACTCGCAGTGTTGACAGTGTCTCCGAAGAGGCAGTACCGGGGCATCTGGAAATTTTAGTCGGTTTTTTAAGCTTTTCTAAAAAAAATGAAACCAAGGAATGAAATTTTTCACTTTTCACAAACTATAAAAAAGAAATCAAAAACTGTAAAAAATGCTAAACCTTCAGTCCAATGACGCCAGCCACGACGGCCCCAGAGTTCATTCCAATCCTCAGACGGACTTTTTCCCCGGGACGATGGCGGATTTCAAAGTTCTAAGTTCACAAATCAGCTCAAGAAATGTAAATTCGAAGAAAACCTCGACAGCTTTCAGAAGAGTCAGGCCCAAAGAGGCGATTTCCCCGGCGTGATGGGGTCCATTCTGAAGCGGAAGCCCTGAGGCGACCATGTAGGCGTCGGCGATCGTTTCGACCTTGATATTTCTTTTTCGATGAATATTTGAACTTTCTTGAAAACTTTGTAGACGTCGAAATTGGTGAGAATATTGTCGAAGCAGGTGTACAAGTCGTTCAGGAACACGACGATCTTTAAATTGAAAACTAATCAATTTCTAGTATTTTCCGTTCCTTTTTTATCATTCAATCATTTTTTTCGTTTGATTTTTCTGTTGATTAGTAGATAATAGCTTGAAGATTATTCAGCCTGGATTTTTTTTGTGGTTAATTTTCAAAACTTCCTTTGATTTAAAAGTTAGCTTTTTTGGGAACTTTAGAGTGCTTCCTATAGCGGCAATCTCAGAGACCACTTTACCAACCCCTATAGGGGCCACTAGAGTCTGTAAAAATGGTCCCTATAGGGGAAATTCAAGTCGATAATTTTTTTACTCTGTGCGCAGAAGTATTTCCATGGGATAAATTAAAGAAATAAGCCTTTTTTTAAAATAGAGTTGAAAGACCCCTATAGAGACCACTCAAGCTTTAAGGACTGAGGAGTCGGACCCTGAACCCCTATAGAGACCATCTTGATTTTGCCCCTATAGGGACCACTTTTTCGGCCCCTATTTCCCCCCTTAGCCCTATAGGGCCTATAGGGACCACTTGAACTTTCAAGTCTAAGGAGTCTGACCCTGAACCCCTATAGGGATCACCTTGATCTTGCCCCTATAGGGACCATTTAAGCTTTAGGGACTAAGGAGTCAGGGTCTATACCCCTATAGAAACCATCTTGATTTTACCCCTATTGGGAGCACTTTTCCGGCCCCTAAGCCCTATAGGGACCACTTTGAAATTCCTAAGTTCTCGATTTCGAAACGTCCAAAATCAGTTAGCTAAACATACCTCGATGGGCTCACTAGTCGCACTGAGGTCCGCAAATCCGGGACAATCCGAAAAAAAGACAGTGACGCTGTTGAACTGCTCCGCCGTGACCCTCTCGCCGCGTTTCAGACTTTCAGCAACGACGCTGAAACTTCTCCTCTTTCCTGTTCCTTTGATATTTTTCCAACTCAGGAAGCATCATCTGAAGGAGCATGTCGCTCTTCTCCTTCTCCTTGGCCAGTTCTTCGTTCCTTTCCGCGATGTCCTTCTCCAACTTGGCCGTGTACTTTTCGATCATCGCCACCATATTGTCCATGATTGTTCGTTTCCTTAGGAGATTTTTTTTCACAGTGTGGGCAATTAAGAAGCTCTGATCGCACGTGGAATGGCTCAAAAAGACGCGTTCGCGTTGCGGTTGGGATTGAATCTAGAACCAACTTAAAAACTAATCAGTTAGTTTCAGGCCTCAATTTTTGAAAAATGCGAGGTCTACTTTAAGAAATTTTTCACGCTGATTCTGAATCTTCGCTCGAAAACCGACGAAAAAGGCTTAGAAAAAAGTTATGACGGCTCAAAGTTGAAAAAATGCGGCCAAAAAAAAGCCCGATTTCTGGAACGTCTTGATTGAGAAACGGAGAAAGAATTTGCAATTGAAATAAAAAAATTTAAAGCTTTGATCCGTTCTGGGTTTTAAAAAATGACGGCTCTGTGAGAAAATTTCAAAAATCTGAAATAGTCCCACGCATTTTTTCCAACTAAACGAGCGAAACTGATTTTCTCCGCGATCCGGGTTTTCTAAAATTTCATCGGTCATCAATTTTCTCTGACTTTTTCAAGCAAAGATTCAGAAAAAACCTCAAAAACCGCATCAAAAAATCCTAATATTATTCAAAACTGCGATTTTCTAACATTTCCCGGCATCTTTTTTTAATTTTCCCCAATCTCGCCGCGCGCAAGTCACTTCAAGTCGGGCGCACTCTTCGTGCCTCCAAGGCATCATAACTTCCATTCATAACATATCTCTAAATATTACAATCCAGCCGTCAAGATGCGGATTTTGCGTCGAATCTGACCAACTGAGGGTCTGTTCAAGGGATCTTCAGACCAACATTCCGGCACTGTTTCTTGCACAACTAGGGGCGTGTCCTGCAATTCAACAAATTCAAATTGATCGTTTTTTTTAATTTTCAAAACCTTCAGAACAGCCAAATCCGGTCGGAAGGGCTTCTTTGACTCCATGTTCTTCACTCGGCTTACGATTTCTGGGAGAAAAATGATAATTTTTGAAAATCCACATACTTCGATGTAACAGGCATTTTCTTAAATTCAAGAAGACACTAAAGAGACAAAAAATAACCACTTAAGTGGCCGCTAAATTTTTTCAAAAGTCCATTTTCGAACGTTTCGGTGCATTATCAATTTTTGACGAATGAAGACTCTTTGTCAAAAAATTGAAAAATCTTATTTCTCTGCGCTCTCTTTTCTCTCAACGACACTCTTATTTTTCCGTATTATCTCAAGGTTTCTATGACGCATCGACCAGGGAAAGAGAGACGCAGACAGGTCAGACAGTTTTTTTTATTTGAAACTTCAAAACTTTGGTCGGAACTTGTAGAAAGTACAATACATACCATTTATTTTTAGCTGGAAGAAAAAAAATCCCAGATTACTGTAACAAATCCATAAGAGTATAAAAATCTGTTTACTGTAATAAAAACCATTAGGATTATCGAATTTTGGGTCATTTTTGCCACTCACATCTTCAAAATTTCATATCTCGGCTCAAAATGCTCAGAATTTTTCATAAAGTCCAGCCATTCTCACGTCTGGGCTCCATGGGCTCCTCGCCCCAAGGTCCAGCTCTGCCGAAGATTTCATAAAGAACGATGGCGAAAGAATAGACGTCGGCTTTCTGGACCAGAAGATGGGAGCATTGGGCAAGACCAGTCGACCAGCGAAGCAACTCCGGCGCCGTCCAGAGCTCGTCTCAAGTTCCAGAATGAGACAAATCGGTGTCAGGTCAGACCTTTTCCCTCCTGGATGCCTTCTCTGATCGGATTTTCTTCTCCTCTCATTTCTCGAAGTCCGAAGGAGGATAATCTGACGGTCCATCTGCTGTCGATCAAGCAATTCGTCGATTTCAGCCTTCCATGGCATCCTATTGGTGATTGATGGAGGTATTCCAGACCCTAAAAAGTACCATCGTCATTTGGGTTTTATTAAAATTGCTTTTTTTCATTTAGTCAATGATTCGCTTCAACTCGAAAAAATAACTTTTCTTTATATTCTGTTCAGATTTTGATGATAAATGACCTCATTCGAAAACACTTTCTGAAGGCACGGCGTTATTGTTAGTGGAAGAAAATGTAATTCCAAAAATGAATGGGGCATGGGAAAAACGCGTAAAAACAGCAAATATTAAAGACACATTTTCAATGGGTCCTGAGACGAATCTGTTTATCCTTTCAGAAAAACGCGATTTTTCTTTTTCATTTTTTCAACAAACAAGTGCCGTGTTGAAATTAATTTCGCGAAATTCGAAATAGCCACCAAAGAGTGAAAAATAAGACTGAATTTCAGAATTTCAAATATGGTTTTGAAATTCGTAGAAATGATTTTGAAGTGGCATGTGCGAGAGCGCCGCGGTGCATGCACACGACACACTACGCTTTACGGAAAAAATATGGGCGGCCAAAAAAAAACGCCGTGGATTGCTCGCTCTCTTATTGGTTGATCGCGGAATTTGGGGCGGAGCTTTAAAAATTCAAAATCTCTTGTGTTTACATGCTTTTTCGTTTTTTCTCTAGCCTCTGGCAAGAAAAGAGAGTGCAGACAAGCTAGACAGCTCGAACTTTTGCCGAATGATTGGGAAAAGTTTTAGTGACCGCTATAGGGTTTTGACGTTTTAGTGGCCAGTATAGTAGTCAAATTAGTGGCCACAGTAGAAGTCTAAGTGCTTTTACTAGACCACTAAAAATTTAAGTGGCCACTTTAGGGGTCAATGGATCAACATAACTGGTCCAGTCTGTTTTTTTTTAAAGTTTATCAGAGTTACTGGAAGGAATACTGGATGAAAAACTACTGAAGTGGCCACTAAATAGAGAATCTTTGTAGTGGCGACTAAAACGGAAAATAGTGGCCACTATAGAGGTGGGTTTAGTGGCCATTTTAGTGTCCTCTCCAATTAGTCTTGGCAAGCCTCTATAGGGGCCACTAAAATCTTTCCCAAGAAGTCATTGATTGTTTTTAGTTATTTTTTTCTTTGTAGAAAGCGATTTTTGAAGATTGAGTGCTGATTTTTCGGTCTCTAAATTCAGCTTCTTCAAAAAGGTGATTAATCGATTACCGAAACGATGTCCTTGGTCATTTGGTTCATGAAAAGCTCGTCGAGAGGCAGCTCATCGTTGTCGAGAATATCTTTCAGGGAGCCCCTTTGAGCCAATTCGGCGACTATGAAGACGTCGGGCGCCTGGACGACCATTCCGACGAAGCCGATGACGTTGGCGTGGGATAGGTCCATCAACTGGAAGCCTTTTCTTCTGTCAGATCCTAATAGAATTCGCTCAAGTGATCCCTATAGGGGTTTTTCAAGTTATTGCTCAGATTAAAGAGGTATTTCTAACAAAAACTGATCGATTTTTTGAATCTTTTGACCAAAATACCTTGCCAAGAACTATCAGAACTTTTTTGCAACAGTATATTCAAAAAGCTCGGCTTTATTTGTAGACCCCCAAATCAAGAAGGAAATTGATCGAACCCTCGAGAGAACTAGAAAATGAGAATAAACAAACATGGGAAAGCTCAAGTCTGATGTTCCTCGTGAAATCGATGTCATTCCTGTAGATTCGCTTCAATCCGATGGTCTGGCCTTGATGAAGACCTACAGCAAAGTCGGGAAGCTGTAAAATTTCCATTCTTTTTTTCCAACAAGGAAGGTTATTTAATTACTAAAGAATGATCTCCATTCGCAGTGGGACTTCTGAATGAGACTAGGATCGCAATAGGACACCGCGCCCGCATGTTCTTATCCCGCGCCGAGCTTTGAAAAGTAATATATGGGCTCCAGAACTTTTTTGAAAAAAAGTTACATGGTTTTTTTTGTGACAGGGGAAACAAGGACTATATACTATACACCCTCAAAAAAATAGCTCAATTCTGAAATTTTCAACTTTTGAGGGCCCCTAACTTTTTTCACAGGCCTCGAGGGCAACTTTTGAGCACATATTTGGAATCAGCGTAGAAAACTACATCTAGTGAACCTAGTCTCATTCAGAAGTCTCACTGCGACAGGAGACCATTTCCTGGTAAACGATTTGAGGGATCACTTAAGAGTGCGGACGCTACTAAAGTTGTCCTAAGAGCGAATGGAGACCATTCCCTAGTTAGAATTCCCTGTGAAACGGTCGCAATAATCTTTGATGTAACACAAAAAAAATCCTGAAAGTCTCAAATTGCAATACGTCTTATTCTCCAAAAAATAGGCGCTCAAACTCCCAAAATGCCCTGTTTCAACGGACTTTTAGGGTTTTCTTCGACTTTGAGGCGTCAATTCTCGAAAATTTTGCAGTTTTTCAGGTTGAGACTTTCAGGATGTTCATCTCCTACATCAAGAAGTAATGTGGCCAAATTTCAGGAAAATCCCAACAGCAAAGTAAAATATCTCCCTTGTAAGGCATTCGCGCCAAAAATGGTGAGGAAATGGTTACCGTAATATTTTATCCCTAAAAGGCAATACTTTTGTTCATTGTAAGCTTCCACAATGGAAAACTTTTGAGAGCAACCGGAAACATTAGAGTCATGAGAAAATCAAGAAAGGAAAGACAGGCCACGCCTTTTTGCGCCCCAAGCTAGCCGTGAATCGGCTATAAGTACAGTCTGTGTGCCACGACTTGAAATTTCACCGAACGACATTCCGCTGTTCCGCTGCGTGCGGTCGCGAAGCATCTTTTGAATCTAGGTCACGCTTTCAATTGATTGTTATTGTACATGAAAGTAGAACACCTTAATAAAAGAAAAAAAAAAATTAAAAGCGCGACCAAGGTTTGCAAAGGCGCGCAGGGGCCCAGCGGAATGTCGTTCGGGAAAATTCCAAGTCGTGGCACACAGACTATAAGAGAAATTTCAAGCAAAACTGTAAAATTTGGATTTTTTTTTTGCACGACTTATTTATACTGTCCCTAGGTCTTAAAACAAGCTGAAAATCAGACATTGTGCCATCGAAGGTCCTCCGTCGTGGCATTCGGATCGGAAGACTCGTTGATGACTTCCATCGAAGGTTTTCTCAGTACGTCTTGTTGGGTGCCGGTCCCTTCTTCGCCTCGGTAGTCATCCAGAAGGAAGTGGCTGTTGTTCAGAGCTTGGGGCTAAAAAATTCCAAGTTTTCCGAGCACTTCTTTTGGATAGAACCTCGATGAAAGAGCCGGTCATGCTGGCCATGCTCCTCAAGCTTTGCTGGCTCATCAAATTCACGTGTTTCTTCAGGACGATATTTTTCCTGTCGATCAAGAATGACAAGGCGTGGAGACGTCGCTCGTATCGGTACCGTCTGGATTTTCGTTTTCAGTCGTGAAACTTTCGGATAAAATCTTAATTTATTTGATATACCACTCAAGAACGATAGAGTGGTGACTATAGGGGTTAGGAGAGAAAACAGCCCCTAGAGAGGACAAAAATGCTCCTATTAGGGATAAAATTTAGGTGGTCCCTATAGGAGTTTAAAGCATGACCCCGAAATCTCGAGTGGTCCCTCTAGCGGTCTTTCAGTTTTTTTTTTCTGACTTAAAGGCATAGGGGCAGTAAAAAACGGCGTTTCAGTTCAAAGCATTACTTTGTAGAGCTTTTCATTGCGAATGGAGCGGTAAACTTGAAAACGTACCGAACTTCCTAGTTTTGGAGAAAAAATAATTCAAAGTCGGAGAAAGGAAAGCTTGAGTTCCCGCGAAAAGGGCACTTTGCAGTAAAGTTGCTCTATGGACAACAGGCTTCGCCATTTTTCGCATTTTCGCTTTTTTCTTCGTTTCTTTCAAATTTAAATTTTTTCTGTTGACACCAAAGTTCTTTTCGTCACAAAAGCTTTCTATTCATGTATAATTTGCAAACTTTGGTCGCAAAAATGCTTCTTTGGTGAAAAATGATGATTTTACACAAATTTCGATTGGGATAGCATTATTTTGTATTTTATTTATTATTGGTATGTGTTTTTTTGTTTGACTAAATGTTTTTTTCAGAGAAGAAACCCTTGATTTGAAGCAGGTATCCGGTTATTTCTCACAAAATGCGAGTCTAATGAGACGTCCGCAACATCGCGTGCACGGCTATTGTAAACATTTGTCTGCATACCGATCCAAAGCTTTTTTCAAAAATAAAGGCGGGAAAGTAAAATCGCGTTTTTATTCTAAAGTGGTCACATATTTAATTTTTTTGAGTACACCATTCGATTCGCAAAGAAAAACTATATAAGATACTGCTTTCACCTGAAACCCCATTTTTTACTGCCCCTAAGTAAAAAGGCGTGTAGGGACCATGAAAATACTCCCCTAGAGTGGTCATTAACTGAAACCCCTAGAGGGACCACTTTTGCAAGCTTTAGTGACCTCTATAGCGGGAGATTAGGTCCTAGACCTTCAAGGGTCCCTATAGGGACCATTCTAGCATTTCTGACCAGAAAGAGGTCTCAAAATGACTAATTTTAAAGAATTTTTATGGTTCTAATTTTTAGGGTTTGACTTTGAGGGTCGTTTTTGGAGCTTTTCTAGATTTTCAGTTGGATCAATCTGAACAAGAAGAAAGCAGCGATGAGAATAAGGATACTGAAGACCGGCGACGAAAGGGGTAGTTACTGTAAGGCTCCGCCCCCTCACAGGGTTACGGTAGGACTTTTAGTGAAAACCTAACCTTTTTCCTAGTTGACAGATCAAATTGGTACTTTTTTGGAAAGTTCGTACAGAGTTTATAGTGATAAGAGGCGAACCTTCAATGGCCCCTATAGGGACCACTCTGACGTTTCTGAGCAGAAGTGAACTTTTAATTGTTATTTTTGAAAACAGAACCCTTGTAGTCTAAAAATGACTTATACTACCAAATTTTTTTGACTTTTCTGATTTTGCGGTTCATTTTTTGAGCTTCCTCAGAATTTCCGTTGGATCAACCTGAACAAGAAGAAAGCAGCGATGAGAAGTAGGATCAGAAGACCGGCGACGGAGGAAATGACAATGATGAAGGTGTAGTTGGGCGGCGGACCGCATCTTTCCCCGAAAAATCCGCATTCGGGAACGTCGATGGGCGGAGTTCCGTTGATGAAATTGATCGTCAGGGGCTCCGAATAGTTTTTCAGAGCCTTGAAATTCACTTTTTTCAAACTTGAAACATGAAAAACATGGATTTTTGCTTCTAAAATGAGATTTTCAGTGGGAAGAGATCGACTTTGAAATCATCATTACTGTTTGAAAAAGTCAAAGGAGTTCCTTTCGAATCACTTTTGAAACAGAAAAGTTTTTTGTTACTAAAAAATTCCGTCTATTTTCAAATCATATAAAGATATGTTTTTTTCCCTTCTCAAAAAAATAATAATTTTATGAAAAATATGATTTTTCTTCTATAAGTCGACAACTGAAGTCTTTTTGATAAATCTACAGGTATCCTTGAAAAAAATGTGAAAAACTAACCATTTGAGTATCGAGCAAAGAAAGTTGGGCCAATTTTCCACAAGCCCACAGTGCAAAGGCGGATCTCGAACTGCTCCAAAAGAAGTTGTAAACCTTTAAAACTTTGATTTTTCTGTCAAAGTTTTTTTTTTCTAACCTGCATGGAAGGTGCTGCATTTCCGAAAACCATCAATGAATTCCGTGGTGCCGGCGATACCTAAAAAGGTAAATAATAAAAAAACTTTGAAATTTCTGAAAATTGATCGAAGCCATATTTTGATATAAATGATGATTTTGAGTATTCAAATCGACAAAAATTCCAAGCAAAAAGTGGAAGTTTTCAAAAAGTTCAAGCAGTTTTCAGGAAAAATTTTTTCTCAAAGATCAAGTCTTTTTTCAAAATTTAGACTACCAAAAGCTCTATCTGACAAGCCAACACGTGTTTCGGAAAAGTCCCGACCACAAAGAAATTAAACCTCCCTCTAGGGGTCACTCACTGTTAATTGTGCGACTGAGCAGAAACTCATAAAAGACCGTCGAGTTATAAACATCGGCTCCGTGAGAAAGAGCGTCAGAAACGGACTCGGCCAGATATTGTACAGAATCGACGGCCGCCTTTATACGATCCCAGCGAGGATTTACACTCTGAAAAGTTCAAATCAGCCAAAATTCATTTTTTGAATTTTTCACTTTTTTAATAGACTTTCCATTACAGAATGGCGGACAGAAGACAGTTTGGCTGGCTGTATCCATGACATTTTGCCGAAAATCGTCCCATTTTGAATAGACGCCGGTGGGGGGAGGAGCGTCCGAAAGAACTATTAGGTTGCGGTAGATTTGAGTTATAGAGTCTTCCGTGATGTTGAAGCCGGCATCAACTGTAATTGACTAAAATTATTAAGCTATCAAAGTCTTGAATCAGCAAGAGAAAACGAAAAAATTAGTAAAATAAAAATTAGAACTTTTAGAAATTAAAAAAAAAAGAAAACCACATTTTAAAACAGAATGACGCATTATCGCACGCCCGACGCGCATCGACGCGCAAAAATTAAATAAAGAAGTTTATATTTTACTTCTCAATAATTTTTTTCTCTAAATTCTTTTCCCTGTCATTAAGATATTTTTTTCTATAAGTTCATTCAAAAAGTTTAATGATATAATAAAAATTACTTTTTTTATTCAAACAATAAACAATAGATTCATGGTACCATTAATTTGCAAAAGAACCATGGTTCTTTTGCAAATTAATTTTACTTTTGTTTACAATTTTATTTTATTTTTATATTTTTTATGTTACAGTCCCCATTATTGTAAACTCTGTACGAACTTTCCAAAAAGATGTGTACTTGTTTTTTTTTCAACTGTAGCAATTTTTTTGTTAATTTTTACGGACAAAAGTTGAACATTTCGGAGCTGTCATCTTTTTGTTATGCTCTTTGTTCCCGCTTGTGATTTGAAGCTTCATAAATTCATATCATTAGATAATAATCTCGTTTTAAATAATTTCGAAGCTTTTAAATTCCATTTTAAACACTCAAGTTCCCTCTGTTTTCCTCAATATCATATTTTTGAAATGACATTCTACGAACTTCCAGAAGCTCCAAAGTGACGAGAATCGTTGGGACTATTGCTTTCGAGCCACTCCGAGTTGGTGTCGTAGGATACAAATCCGATGACAAAATAAGCGCCCGACTGCATTTTCTTCAGACTTCCCAGTGAGTATATGTACTTTCTTAGAAGCGAGGCGTTCTTGGTGGGGTCAACAACGACGAAAACTAAAAATAATATCAATTAAGAGAGAAATATGGATTTTTGATACTTCTAGCTCTTTGAGATTCATTGGCGACACGAGAAATTAGTTCTGAAGGGCTGATGGAAGGGTCAATCCGACTGTCGAATAGGATATTTATAGAGTTGGCTAGCAATAAGTCTGAAAAAAATTAGAATCACCTGGAAAAATTCATTTTTTGCTTCAAAAACCTTGTTCTTTTTTTAAACCCCCGGTCTCTCGACAACTGCGATTTTTTCTCTTTCGAAGAGTACTGTATACGAAAGTCCGCAGAGGGCACTTTGCGTGTTTGCACATTTTGAGTGGTCTCACGCTTCTTTTCCATTAATATTCCAAAGTTTTTATTTCAACGGTTTCCTATAGTTGTTTTTCATTTAGATACAACTTTAAAAAAATTTGTGCGAACACCCGACGCGCCAAATGTGGATTTTCACTTACAGTACCCTTCGAAAAAGAAAAATTAGTTTTTTTTCGTAATCTCAGAAGTGAATATAGGTATTTCTTATGACTTAAAACTTCAAAATCGATTTACCTATCATCTGAGAACGAGATCTTGCATCATAAGAGGTCACAGAAGTCGACGGGGATATGATTGCAATATTACTCCAGTTGAACAAGTTCAAAAAATAAAGAACCGCCTGAAAATGGAAAGTTGCGACTTGAAATTTGAAATTTGAAGTTCAAAAATACTTTTGAAAGACTATCAGTAGCGGAATTTATCAGGACAGTGGATCTATCGTAACCGTTGAAAGATGTGAGGTCCATCCGGCAGATCTGAAATTTTGTAGTTTTATAATAATTAAAGAAAAGCTGAAAAAAATAATTTTTCTCAATGTTTTTTTAATAGTTCTTATTACTCAACATACCACGATTTCATTAGAATCTTCTTTTAAATAGATCTCATACTTCAGTTTTAAAGGCGCAGAGCTCGAATCCAAAAAGATTTCGAGGCGAGAAGCCGTTTTTACATCTAACTTTAGTTATTGAAGACTTCGCTCCAAAAGTATATTTTTCCTCACATCGGAAACTCCGATTTTCCCATTGATGTTCAAAATCGTCGAGTCAATGTAGCAATCCTCACTAAGTCCCATGATCCCAACCGTGTCCAAGTCTTCCGTCGCTGAAATTATCGACTTTTATTTTGAAAGCTTTTTTTAGTATACTCCATTCACCGCTACCTTGGAACTCTTCGAAGATGTATAAAAATCTTCTTTTCACACACTATTTTGTGAAAAAGTATTGTTCCAAGGCAACGGTGAATGAACTTGCACGATATTTTCACCATCTCTAGTCATTTTTGGTCCTGAAGTGGTCGTGTCGATGTACTTGACTGTGCAATTGTGGAAATACTCCCAAGAAGGCTCGGAATTCACTTTTTGTAGTGCTAGCTTCAAAGTTGCTGGCATGTAAGCCGCTCCTGAACTTTTAACAATTAAGGAAACAAAGACAATGTTCCGATTCGAAAGGAAAGATGCGTAGATTGGCGAGAGTGAAGCGTTGCGTGTGCGACGCGGCTTTTGGCGGGAAACGCGGGGTCCCACGCAATCATGGAAAAAAAGTGTGGAGAAAAACGAATATTTTTCCTTTTTATACTCATAGTCGTTCATCTATATTTTTTTCCAAACCATAAGAAATCGAAATTTATTATAAAAAATAGAAGAAAAACATAAAAAAAGGGAGGCAAAAATTGACCTCAAGAATCCTCCCAAAAGCCGCGTCGCACACGCAACGCGTTACCTTTTCCAATCTACCCATCTCGCCTTTCAAGTCAGGAATGAGAATTATAGTCAAAATTTACATTTTCAAAGTCAAAAGACCAACCTTGATCATCACAATCTCCAGTGACGGCGCAAGAAAAAGGGGCCAAATAGTCGATTTTCAAAGGAAATGAGATATTTCTGTTCTCGAGCTCCAACATGGCCAGGCCCGAAACTGTTGGAAAGATTAGGCACAACGCCGCCCAGCATGGCCGCAGCATCTAGCCGACTGGCTTTAAAAAAACTATTTATTTGATTTTAGGTCTGTAGGAGATCAGCTTTTAATATAAAGCTTGAAATTGGATCTGACAACCTTTAGCCAAAGAAAAAGGGCCTATAAATGACTATTAAAAAAATTAAAAATTTTTTTCTCAATGTTTCTCAATGAAGCGGCAGACATTTCTAACCTGATTCTTTGAAAAAAATGCAGTAATGAAACTGGTATTTTTTTCAATAATTATAAAAAGAACTTGAATTCGAAACTTTTCGGATTCGTAAAGACGCTTTCGAGTAGAAAAAAAGTGATAGAAACTGTCAAAAAAAATTTTTTTTGGATACAAATTAGTGCCTATTACGGTGAAATTTGACTGGAATGAATATTTTTTCGGTTCCAATCCAGAACATTTCCATTTCTTCCCAAAAAAAACTACATTTTATCACGAATAACTTGAAAACTTTCATCCTTTTCGGTCTTTTTTTGTGCAATTAACAACAATTTTCTCATTTTAGAATCTAGTTTTTGAGCTCAATTTTTAGATACTTTACGAAAAATTGAGCAAAAGCTTCAGACAGAAATGAAAACCTAGACTTCTATAAGGACACAACCAAAAAATGAACTCAAAAAGCGCCGAAAAATGAAACGGGCAGGAACGATTATCAGCGGCGGATGCAGTCAAATCCCACGGCCGGAAATTATTTTCTGATTCTGGACAATCTTTTACTCATTCGGGTGTACTGTAGGAATCCATTTTTATCCATTTTTTGCGACTTTATCCAACACAATTTATTTTATTCATTTACAATACTAAATCATTCTGATATGTAGGACCCATTGCAAGTTCGAATTCAGTCACCGGAGTGGGGCAAATAATTGAGAATTGTGAATATACACAGATAAAATCAGAATTAGCTTTTCAAGCCATATGAAAAAACTACTCGACTCACCAATACCAGAGACGTCTGAACCTCCTCTTTTTGCACAGTATTTCTTTCATAAATTTCGTCTCAAGACAGCGGCGAGTGAAATACATAGAGAGGGTGCATTAAAGTTTGAAAATCTCCAATTTCAGTTCTTCTATGATTATGGCAAGGTGTGGCGTATAGGTCAGCTCTAAACTCTGAAAAAAGCCGCACTTGGAATGGCTTCGCGGTTTGAGAGATGCAACAGACTTGAAGCGACTTGCGCTCGTTGGCTTGCTTTAAAGCCATTCCTCGTGCGAACCTGATCTTAAAGGCGTATGGACAGTGAAAAACGGGGCTTGAGATGATTTTTTGTTCGCCTTTGCTTTTTCAGAAAAGTAAGCTTTGATTTGAGGCGTATATCCGGTTATTTCATTCAAAACTCAAGGCAAATGACAAGTCCGCAAATTCGCGTGCAGGGTTACTGTAAACAGTTTTGTGTACACCGATCCAAAGCATTTTTCAAAATTAGAAGGCGGGAAAATAAAAGGCGTTTTTCCTAACAGCACTCATACCTGTGAGTTTTTAAACATTCCGTTCGATGAGCAATACAAAGTTTTGCTTTCCTGGGAAAATTTTTAGTGGCCCTTTTATGCTTTTGACGTATCAGCAGCCACTATAGCAGGCGAACTAGGGGTCACTTAAGTGGCTATATTTTTAGTGGCCTCTTCAGTAGTCAAATGGTACAACGAGATCACATGAAACTACTATAGTGGCCACTAAGACGCGAAATCGTGGCTGCTATAGAGGTGATTTTAGTGGCCACTTTAGTGTCCTCTTCAGGAACCTCTAAATTCTCTCAGTCGTCTCAAAACCCGTTTTTTACTACCCCTGTGCCTTTAAAAGTGGGATTGGATGGATTTCAGCTTATTTGAGCCGCTGATAGCTCTTCGAAGCGGTCATTGTGGAGACTTTGATCTTCGTCGTCGACTGGATCCAAGCCGTTTCCAGGGCGATCCGGCCGCACTGCGTCTTGGCCTGTAGATGAGCCAGTCGGCCTTTTCCGCCGGACACGATTATGCTGAAAAAATTTCAGTTCAAATAGAAAATCAAAATTTTTACTCTGCGATTTCGACAAAATTTCAGAAAGATCTTTGAGCTTGTAACTGTAATTTCGAAACTTTTGAAAGAAAGTTTTGAGAAATTCTTCAAAAACGAACTGTCCATCATTGTAGGCGCAGCATTGCATGCTGTCCGCTTCAAACGGCGCATCTTCGGTCCAAAGCAACGCTGAAAAAGATTAAAAATCTTTTTTGGTATGAACTTACGTTCAAAAAAAACGGGATTCTCAAAAACTTAGATAATTTTCAAAAAGCTTATGATTAGAAGCATAATCATCCTTCTTGAAGCTTTGACTTCACTGCACTGGTCCCGTTTTTTAGTGAAAAAAGATTTTTCGCAATTCTCTAAAAACGCAAAAATGACTTCAGTTTTTAAATTTGACGTCTGAATCTCTTTTTAAAGCCATATTTTATGAGAAGAAATCAAAAATTATGAGCTGTTTTAACTGAAGGGGGCTCTTGTGAAAATTTGATTTGAAAAAAACCAACTTCCTTCATCCAACCGCCAAAGACGGATGGTTCTGTCGGCGCCCACACTGACGACCAACTTGCGATTTTCGTTGACTGGCAACATTGCCAGACAAGTCACCGATCCTTCGTGTCCCCGTAGTTCCCGTAGTTGCTTCATCATCCGCAAATCGTACACCTTCAACCGATACTTCCACTGTTTTCCTTGAATTTGAATTTTCGTTTCTGTCTTACAAGGGAGTGTAAAGGTTTATCACGAGTAGTGAAATACGTTTTTTGGGTCGAATATTTTTGATGGAATGATTCCAAATATTCATTTGATATTTTTGAGCTATTTTAACTGCCTTATTAGCTTTTATGTGTTTTTTAATTTTGAGCTTTTCCTCTGAAAGATAGAAATGAGTCATTTCGTGTTAAAGAATCAAAAAAATATTATTCAGAATCAAAAATATTTTCGGCTATAGTGAAGCATTTTAAGGACATTTGAAAGAAGCTTTTTCGATTTTTTTACTTGAAAAAGCCGCGAAATGATCCTCTTTGCGTCTTGCTCTACTAATAAGCCCTTTTTTTCAGCTTTTTGGTGAGTCATTTTTTTCAAAAAAATTCTAAATATTTTGAGATATTTCTGACTAAAATGCTAAAAAAACCTGCAGATTTTTTTAATCTAATCTGAATCATTTCTCGAGGAACACATATATCTTGCGTGACTTTTAGAAGATTACAGGATTTGGAGAAAGAAATCTAAAAAGCAAATAAAAATCTATTTTTAATTGGTCCTTTCAAAGTTGAAAACATTACAAAAAGCTTGAAAACGAGAAGATTTTTGATCAACTTGAGCTCGTTTTTTCAGGAACCGCGTAATTGTCACGTGATTTCAGGTGATTTTTAAGTGAGACAAACTGAAAATGAGTGAAAATAAAAGCGTCTGGCCTTAATTAGTTAGAAAAACGACAGATTTTCGATCACTCATTTTTCTAGGAAAAAGACGACTAGCGCGTGATTTCAGACAAATATATAAGTAGCAAGAACTGAGTCTGACTTTAATAAACGCTTAATTAGTTGAAAACAAGACAGATTCCTGATCTTTCGAGCTTTTTTCATGGAAAACTATACGATTTCAAGGCAACCACGAGAATCAGAAACGCTAATTGGAGATGAGGAGAGAGATGAAGCTTTAATTAATTGATAACCAGTTGTAAACATGTTTCTACACTTTTTAAATGAGTGATCAGTGATTTGTGTTGCTATATAGTTGAATGATTACCGTAAAACCCATACGTAACTTCTTCAAACAGTCTAACCTGTCTGCGCTCTCTTTTTCTTCACCAGTGAGAGATTGAGAGGGACAGAGAGGCTAGACAGTTTCCAAGAGGACTGAACTTTGGTATCTGAAGGTCTGCCTCTGAGGAGCCTCAAAGCTTTAGGTTTTTAGTGGGACGGCTTAGAAAACACTCTAGGGGTCACTTAAATCTCAACACCTGTAGGTACCGTAAAGTCCCCCCTATAGTGGTCCCTCAGACCAAAAAACCCTATAATGACCACTACGAAATTTTTCAGGACTGAAGTATATGGCGGGTTCACTGATGAAAAAAAAATTATTCAAACGCAAAAAAATTCCCAACTCAAAAAAGTTCACTGTTTCAGGGCAATTTCGAACACTTTTGCATTTTAAAACATGCTCCGTTTCTCAGTTGGACAAGTCATGAAAAGTTTTAAATGGAAAATTACCGTAATCTCGCCCCCTTCGCCGTTGAAACCGTTGCTACATGAAAGGACCGTATTTTCGTCGACGAACTCGCAAAACAACTGGATGTGGTTTTTCAACGGGAATGAGTGCACCAGCTGCATGTTCTTCGGATTCCAGATTCTGGTTTTTAGAAGATATGTTTTTGGAATTTCTGAGGGCTTTACTTGACACATTTGTCTTCGGAAGTTTGCGCGGCGAGACCCGCCGTCTGATTGTAGGCGATGTGGGTGACCTGAAATACATTTTTATGAAGATAATTTTGAAAAATTGTCCTGGTTTTTATTGAAAAAGCGTTTTCGCACATGGAAAGGTTCCTAAAGTTCGAATTTAAACTTTTTAGCTTTTTTTGATGCTTTCTAAAGACCTTGCGCGCAAGTCGTTTCAAGTCGGTTGCAAGTTGAAAAGCCTTTATTGAGGTCAGGCCTGTATACCGAACTAGAAGTGCTACAATTTTTTTGCCATTTTAAGTTTCGATTTTTCGATTTTGAGACGTTTTCTTCGAAAAAAAAGGAAAAATTACCAAATTGCGGTTCAAAGTGATGGATCGAAGTTCCTTCGATTTTTCAATGTCCCACAGTTTCACCGTTGTATCCCGACTCCCAGACATGAAAGATTGTTCTGAAAAAGAATATTCATCGTGGAAAAACTCAAAGCTTATGGTCACCCTAGAAATGACTTGATTTCAAGACGCGCCCGACCCAAAACGGTTCTCGGTCATTAGAAGTCAAGCCATTCCAAATGCGACCCCGGGTGAACTAACCATCAATATTGGCCAATCCAGAGACGATCAATTTATGGCCAGTGAAAGTCCTGGCAGGATTTGGGCTGTTGAACATCCACATGTTGATCGTGTGATCACGAGAGCCGCTGAGGATTGTGTGCTTGGCTACGGTATTACGGTAGGCCAGCTGTACAGTAGGAAAAGGGTTACTGTAGCCAAACGATTCGAAAGAAAACCTTGGTGACTTCTTTTTCATGGCCTTCCCAGCTCAGAGCGGTCTCACCAATGTCCGTGTTGGTCAAAACGATTTTCTGGAAATTCTTACTGTAACCGTAGAAGTATTTCAATCCTACCGTATCCCTGCTTCCCGACAAGATCATTCCTGGTCTCACAACGGTCAGTGCATTGATGACGTCATCATGCGCCGCCCGTTTTTCTGGGGCCAGTGACGGGTCTCGGAACGACATCGAGTTTCTCATTCTGGGAAATTTATTTTTTCAAAAGATATGAAAAACGTGAGAATTGCCACAAAGCCATTTTTAGCGAGTCAAAGATGATTATGAAAATATTTCAAATTTTATCACGAAGGAAAAAAATATCCTGAAGAAAAAATGCCTGTAAGAAAACGGTTCGACCGTCTAATTCACGGAGGCTACTAAAAAAAGAAAAGTAACAACCTAAAGAAATGAGGAACAGATTGACAAAATGATTTGTTTTTAAGCCTTTACAGTAACCTATAAACTTTCCTCGAGACAAAATCACAATGAATGGGCCATAATTGATACTCTTCCCTCTTAATCATCATCTCAAGACTGCAATCTTGAATTTTTTGAGGCCAAAAATCAAACTTTTCTCGAACGACGTCGTTCTGATCCATCGTAGTAAGCGACGTATAGCTGTTGCCCATCTTTTTCAATCGGGAAAACTTGAACATTCGTCACCTGAAACGACCAATTTGTCGAATGGAAACAAATTTGAAATGAAAACTTGCGGCAAATCAGCACCATAAAAGGCAAATTAGCGCAAAAAAGGGCGGCTAGGCTATCGAGTATCCACCGCAGTTTCCATGGCGACGACAGGCTCAGAATCCGCCGGCGACGTCTCGGGATGTGAAGGCGAAAAAAAGGGTCTTGTAGTGGAATTGCCAACAACTTTGTGTGCAAACAGCGAAAATAATGGCGAGGGCGAAGATGCAATAATTGGCGGCCTGCTGCAAACGATGGGAAATCAATTTTTTTTTCTCCTGCACGCCCTTTGTTTTTGAATATTTTCTGAAACGAAACTCTTTCCGCTCAAAAGTCTCAAATTTCCGTCCAATCGAATGCACTTCAAAAAAAGAAGAAAGTAATATTTTCAGTTGTTTGATACTCTTTCTTTCCATCTTCAAGTCAAGCATCCCTCCAACTTCTTTTTTCCATCTCCTCCAAATTCGACAAGAGATCTTTGAACGTCATTTATCTTTATTGAAGAAGAAATGAGCTTCTGGTTAGAAAGCATGCGCGTTTCACGAAAAATGCAAAAATACCGCGCACCCTTTGCGAAGTCGACGTAGAATTACAGCCGTGGCCCCGCCTCTTGTCCATTTTTAGAAATTCGCCAAATTCATTTCTTTTCCTCGTGTTCCAGCACTTTTCATTTCTATTTCACATCATTTTGTAGTTTTTTTTTTGGATGAATCATCCTAATAATCTGAAGTTATGTCGTCTACTTCATATATAGGTTTGTTTTTCTTCAATCTTTTAAAAATGTAATATATTTCAGGAGGTGCTATATTGGCCTTATTGTTAGCTGGTTATATTGCTCAAAGATATGGTTTACCCCCGCCTGCTCCGAAAATCGCCGGTGTTGATTTAGGGACCACTTATTCATCTATAGGTTTTTTTCAAAGAATAATTTCCAGCTTCAAAAAAATTCAGGAATATATCATGCTGTTACTGGTGAAACGACTATAATACCTGATGATCTGGGTAAAAAATCAGTGCCTAGCGTTGTAGCATTTTTGTGAGTTTGCCAAGTTGAAAAGAGTTTTATTTTTTGATTTTTAGGCCAAACGGGACGGTTTTGATCGGAACGAGAGCTGTAGAACAACAAGAAAAGAATCCTCGAAGGACAATTTATGACGCCAAAAGATTTATTGGAAGAACTTTCGAAGCGAATAACGCCGATTTTTTGGTGGATAAAATGATGAATTAATCAGGAAAACGAAATTTCCAGGCCGATCAAAAAAGATATCCTTTCGTCATAAAGTTGGATGATAGCGGAAGAGCTTATTTCATGGTTCTACTTGACACGGGTGACAAGTGAGTTGATAAAAAAAGCTCAACTGAACAAAAGAATTATTTTTAGAATAATCTACCCCGAAGAAATCGGGTCTTTAATTATAAAATATTTGAGAGACGCCGCCGAAAAAAACACGTCAAATCAGCTCTCAATCAGGTGAAAAATCGAAGAAAAAACATTGATATTGTCAAATTTCCAGGTTGTGATCTCAGTTCCGGCTGAATTTGGGGAAAAACAGAGGAATTTTACGGGAAAAGCGGCAGAATTGGCTGGTTTGTCGATTTTTTTCGAGAAAAAATTTTAGTCATTTTTTTCACATGTTCGAGATATAATGGGGTTTTTTCTGAACCAAAGAACCTATTTAAATTATTTTTATAATTTATTTCTGTTCATTAACAATATATTTCTTTATTTTATAATTCAGTTGAAAACGCCCTGTACAAATAACTTGTAACGAAAAAAAAAACTATTGAAATAAAAGTTTTTGAAATTCATAATTCATGTTGTCTTCATCTGATTTTGGGGATTTTGAAAATTGACGTGTCATTCTTTTGATTTGATGTCGCGGAATTGGCTTTTCAGGAGCTGTGTTAAAAGTAATTTTTCGCACAAAATACGAAATTTCAGAATTTCGTCAACATTTTTGTACCAAAAGTATTGATTCGCGCTTGAAATAAATCATCTCGTTGTAAGGCCCCAGATGAAATCTTAATTTTGCGCATGTCGCGATATAATTTCAAACGAGAAAAACTTAAATTTGAAACACTTCGAACACATTTTTGTTTTTTTTCCAAATCTTGTATTCCAGGAATGGAAGTCCGCCGAGTGATTTCCGAGCCGACGGCGGCGGCTTTGGCCTACGGATTGCACAAGAAAACGGGCGTCGAAAGTGTGGTTGTAGTTGATCTTGGTTAGTTTCAGAACATTTTCAGAAAGTTCCAAAAATGGCTGATTTTATTGACATCTTTTTGTTGAATATGAGCTTCTAAATCATCAGATTTTGATTGTTTTCAATTTTTTCTTTCATTTTTGGAAAGTACTGAGTTTTTTACATGGTACTATTGCCGTGTTTGAATTGATTTTGCGGAAAGGAAAATTTTCTCTGACTCTCCAAAATTCAGTTGTCTTTTTCACTCTCTGACGGTTATTTTGAGCTCTGCGGAACTGCTATAAATACCATATATAGAAAAATTTTTTTAATCCCAAAATTTATAGGCGGTGGTACCCTGGACGTTTCGGTCCTTTGGCTTCAAGGCGGAACTTTTTGTGACCCAGGCGATGGCCGGAAATAATCGCCTTGGTGGTCAGGACTTCAATGATCGTGTTCAACGACACATCATCAAGGTTTCCCTTTCTCAAAAAAAAATAATTAATTAAAAATTCCAGAAATTGGAAGAAAAATTCGGGAAAACCATCACCGACAAGGAGGATCTTCAGCAAATCCGAATGGACATCGAAAAGGCGAAAATTCGGCTGACCAGTGTCCCCAAAGTTGGATTATTCATTGAAAATTCTGATTGGAAGGATTTTTAGGCCATGATTTCGTTGAAACTGAAAGCTGTTGGAGAGTGGAGTTATGAGGTTCGTTTTTTGGGCTTTTTTTTCTCTATTTTCTGCATTTTTTTATTGTTTTCCTGTGATCCAGTTGTTACAAATTTTTAACGTCGCAGAACATTAGTGATTTTAAAAATTTGATTAAGTTAAGCCTGGAAACTGGAAAGATTTCTACCCTTCTTGCTTCTCATAAAAGTTGAATCAAAATTGTGATTTATGATTTTTTTTTGCAAAAATTTGGGATTTCGTGATTATTATGAGCTTTTTTTTTAACCTTTTCCTACTTCATAGTGATTAATTTTTCGAAAAAAAGTATAAGATAAAAATTTTGGGAGAAAAATTATCATTTTTTTGCGTTGGAATGTTTTGATTTCCAATGAGAATGTTGCCGCATATTTTGACCTCATTCGTGTGGTTTTTTTTTGAGACATTTTTGGGTCCCAGTCATACGTGGGATATTCTCGGTGGGACTGGATAAAGGGGATGGGGCTTGGAAAGAAAAAAATGAGAAAGGGCGGGGGGGAAGGGGGTCGGCAAAAAACTGTAAAAAAATTTTTCAGGGTGCTCGCTGGACGGCACTAGTCCGACCTTAGAAAAAAAAAATCGAAAATTCCTTTTGTAAAGTTCAATTGACTGGCAGAAGCGATTATTTTCTTGGTTAAAAGTGATCGGAGAAAAATAACGCTTTTCATTTTCGGATTCAGCACCATAGACTTAGTCTAGTTCGACCCTTCGATGTCAGCTAATGAGTGAACAGGCAAAAATAAAAACGGAAACAAGATACCAAAATTATTAACTGCTCATTTTTCAAGGTTCACTCGATTGGCCCAAGCGATTTTTTTCTTAGTTAAAAGTGATCGAAAAAAAAGAACTTTCACATCCTCCGGTGCAGCCTGTAAATCGATCAATTAACAACAAAAAATCCTTTTTTCTTAGAGCATGGAAGGGGGCTTGGCTTTAAGTGAAAGAGGGGATGGGAGGGACTTGGCTGTCGCCAGCCATGCTCATTCCATGTATGGTTCCAGTTCTTTGAAGACAAAAATACGGTATAAAAAAATCGATTCTTTCTCATTTTTTTGAGTATTGTTTTGGATATATTTTAATTGTTTTCACCGTTTTCTCACAGTTCTACATGCTAAAAAGTTTATTTCAAGCCCGAAAAAATTTTTGATGACGAAAAATAGTTTCTAGCTGACCCGAGAAGAGTTCGAGCAGCTGAACGACGACCTTTTGCGCGCCATCGAGAAGCCGATCGAAGCGGCGCTGGCCGACGCGAACCTCAAGCCGGAAGACGTCGATGAGATCGTTCTCGTTGGAGGATCGACCCAGGTTCCTGCCGTTCGGAAAATCGTCGGACGGTATTTTAGGTGAATTCATTCGTTTTTTCCGACTTGGAAGAAATAATTTAGTTTTTCTGAAACTTTCTGAAGTTGTGTAATACTCCGGTGAAATTTCGATTCGAAAAAAAAAATATAATTTCAGAGATTTTCAAATAATTTTAGCTTCATACAAGAAAGTTTCGAGCAAAATACTTGTTTTGTACATTTCTGATGGGACTATATCTTAAAAAATAGGGTTTTTCTTGATTTTAGGAGCTTATTCGAGGTTTTTTAAGTTTCTATAAGAATCAAACGCATTTTTGTGATTTTCTTTGATACCAAATACTCGAATTTTAAAACCTACGACCGAGTTATGATTTTTTGATGCTATCGAATTGCCTTGGCCGTGGCGCAGATCGAACTTGCGATCCTTTGAACGGTAGACAGGCGCACAGCCTACTGCGCTACGTAATACTTATAGCTGATTCACGGCCGGATCCATCCGAAAAAGGGTCCTGATACGATAAGAGAAGAGATAGTGCCTAGTTGGTGGAGAGCGCAGACAGACCCCGCCTTTTATGTCCCAAGCTAGCCGTGAATCGAATTTTTAATATGGCCTTCGAACGTGTTCAGATCGTAATCAAATAATCCACCGGAATTTCCAGAAAGTCGCCCAACTTTGGCATCGATCCAGAACTGGCGGTCGTCACCGGGGCCTCGGTCCAGGCCGGAGTCATCGGCGGCGGTTGGCCCCTTCAAGTCGCCGCGATGGAACTTCCGACAAAGAAAAGGAAGAGACATTTCTTCACCGAAGAACAGAAGAAAAACGAGCAGGACAAGGAAATATAGAACATTTTCTTGCCAGATAATAACCAGAGGCCGTTTGCAATGAAGTGAAAATTGGTTTTTCCGAAAAAAAAAACCCTTTATGACTTTTTCTGGTGTTACTTTGGGTGACAGTCAAAAAACAGCAAGTTCGAATTTTTCCTGCCCTCCGGAAAATTTCAGAAAATAATTTTCCACTTTACTGCATACGGTATCAGTAGAACACGTGTAGAATTTCCTGGCCTTTCTTTTCAATTTTGGGTCGGCTGATGTGCTAAAGTATTGCATTTGTTAGACTTTCTTCTATTTATTTATTATTATCCTTCGGTCTTTTCTTGGCGATTGTTACTTGCAAATCTCAGTCATCTCTTTGCAATCTTCTCGTTCTTTCACGGTTTCTTCCTATTTATTTATTTCCAAAAATTCCTGTCATGATTTTTTTTCCTGTGATCCTTTTTCGACTTCACGGTCTTTTTATTAGCATATCTTTATTTTTCTTGTGAAATGTAGCTTCTGGTTTCAATAAATTATCACTTTTTCAAAGAAAAACAGAATGAAATGAGATTCGAAGCGTACTGAAGTGGCCACTAAAATGGAAAATAGTGACCACTATAGAGGTGGGTTTAGTGGCCCCCTTAGTTTCCTCTCCAAGTAGTCCTTGGCAAGGCTCTATAGTGGCCACTAAAATTTTTCCCAGAACGTAAAACGGCTGTGGCTCATTGGTGCTCCAAACGGTATCTTTGGGATGAGCGTGACCAGATCCGTTCAACTTATTTCATCAAGTCTTTGTTAAACTATTACGACTGTCCCATTCTGGGAATATTGGAATGGTTATTTATCACCTATTTTTGATTGGATTAGTAGTTAAAAGCAGCAAGGTTTTGTGTTTTCCAGAGTCACTCAAATTTTCAAGTTGTTCGGCAAAAAAAAAAAACGATAAAGTATGAGCGCAGCGAAAAAACTGCCCAAAAAAGTCGTCAATTATGATGTTTCTTGTGCACCTGCCACCGACGAAAATTAACATACTGCCGAAGTTTTTATAACTTTCAAATGGACAAAAATTTTTTTTTGAAGCTGTTGCAACAGGCGAAAATGAAAAAAGGAAAATTTTAAGATCCCCTGAAGTGATCACTGCATTACCGTAGAGCGAGATTACTGTTTTCGGTCGGGTTCGGATTTTATTGTTTTTTTTATTCAGCCACAGAACGTCTGTGTGAGTTTTTGGCAAGGTCCAGTCCAATTCGAAAAACAAAAGCAGTTTGCTTCAATTATTCCGCAGTTTGTAAGCGCGAAAAAAAAAATGAAATGTGTGAATTTTTTTATAAAAATATTTTTTTCTTTATCAGAAAAAAATAATTATTCTCGTTTCTGAAATATAAGAGATCAGGTACCGAATTGAAGAATTTTTCAGTTTTTTTGGTCTAGAGACCATTGTAGATTAGTATCTGAAAAACGTCGCTAAAGTCCGAAAAATCTGAAAAATCGGAGATGTAGTCTACGGATTGGACTTGAACTTTTTTTTTTCTCCGATCTTTTGCACTCGCCTTTTTTTGCCTGAACCTTTTCCCAGGGTGAATTTTTAACCAGGGAATGGTCTTTCGACGCAGTGGGATTTCTGAATGAAACAAGCTTTACTAGATGAAGTTTTTTACGCTGATTTCAGATCTGGTCTTAAAAGTGGTCCAATACGTCTGCAAAAAAAGTTAGGGGCTCTCAAAAGTCGGAAATTTCAAATTGAGTTTATTTTTAGAGGGTAAGAGAATCTTGTAGATCCTGGTAAGCGAAAAAAAAAAAATGTATTCTGAAGGGTTACTTCAATTTCCATAAATATATGATTTTTACCGAAAACTTTCTGTTCCTTAATTTGAAGTAACAGAAAAATTCGGCGTCATCTCGAAGATTCTCAGACGTTTAAGTGATCCCTTAAGTGTTTCTAACGCCACTTTAGTATCCACTCGAAAAATCATTGCGTGAACGCGTTTTTACTTAATCGAAAACGGTTCAGAAAATTCAAAGTTTATTTAGGACCAATGGGAATAAATAGAAGTTCTCAAAGAATCCCTCGGAAGTCCGAAAATCAGGTAATCGTAGTAGTAAATCCGTCGTAAATAGTCTCTTGTCACTTCATCATTCCTTATCTGAAATTGATTTGATTTATAAAAAAACTAGATTTTTTTCTAGCCATTTTTTTCAACAACTATCCGGTTTTCGTCTTCCGACGTCGAGTGTTCTGTTTTCCCACCTCAAAAATTTTTGTTCTTTTAGTTTTTTTATCAAAAAGTTTTTTTATTGAAACCTAGAATTTCATACTGGATCTTCTCCAAAATTTCCGGTTCCACTTGTTGATCCGACAGAAAAATCGATGAACTCCTGGACCGGTTTCAAATGATCGGATCGATTTTTCGGAAAGTAGATCACTTTGTAGTTCAGGAGGTTGCGGCCGAGGTCACAGTACCTGCAATTTCCACTTTAGGAGATATTCATAATTACTAGCCGTTTTAAGATTTATTTGAAGTAACTCTTTCTTTCAAAAATATGAGCAAGGCATTGCGAAAGAATTATAAAGATACAAAAACCGAGAAATTTTACAGGAAAAATTCTTTTAAATCGCCGATGCTCCTTCAAAAAGGAATGAAGTTTTTCAACATTTAAACATTAAAAAAAAAAGAAAAAACCAAGAAATGGGAGCCGCGTGATATTCTTCGTAGGTGACACCTTGCCGATGACCTTCGGCGTAGCCTTTTAGTTTCAGAAATAATTCTTTCGCTACACATCGAACGCTTCCTTTGCACCCGAAACAGTGGTTTCGTTTGCTGAAATTCACAAAAATTTCCTTTTTCGTATCTAAAGATACTTACTGAATACACTTGTCGACGAAAAACGAGACAAATCGGTCGATTGGATCTCGAACAAAGACAACTTGTTTGTAGTTCTTGCCCTTCATTGCCTTATGAGCCGCACGGAAGTTGTCGTATTCATTGAGACTTTTGCAGGGCCAAAAAATAAGTTATCAAGACAAAAAGCAAAAAGGGGGTTTATAATCTGTGTCACACTTCAAATTTCACCGAACGACATTCCGCTGTTCCGCTGCGTGCGGTCGCGAAGCGTTGGTAGCACTTTTTGACTGTTCCTTTGGGAACACATGAACTTTGACTGTCGTTCAGTGAAATTTCAAGTCCTGGCACCCAGACTATATAGAAGCTTTTTTATCGTGTAAGTTTTGTTCAAAGACGCTTTTGAAAGCTCCAACCTGTTTTTGGTCCAAGAGTCATTGATTTTTAGTTTGGTTCTTAAGAAAACCGGCGGATTGTACAATAAGCACATTGTGTTGAGAATTATCGTCGACATGCTTTTCATGACCCCGCAAGCCATCAGATTATATCGGGGAGCGGTCTGGAAAGAGAAAATCTGAAGGAGGGGAAAAATATGAGATTTGAGGGGTTCAGACTCTTAAATATCTAAAAACCATCTAAACATTACATCTATAAGGACCACTTTTTTGTTCCTCATAGACCCCTATAGGGGCCACTCTAGCGTTCCTTAGTGCAATGGTGAAAGGAAAAAAGAACAAAAAGAGCGCCGAGAAATCGGAATTTTTCGAGTTGTACCGAAATAAGATGCCTTTCAATTCAATTTTTCAAATTTCAAGCGGCTTTTCTCTAGCTTTCGAACAAAATACCTTGTAATGTCCAACCAAGGGCAAGAAAGGCGGCAGAACGTCGGAAACTGAAAAAAGCAATTTTTTTGTAGAGTGAACTTCAAAAAAACAAACCATTTTTGAAGCGCATTTTACGGATTATTTTTTCTGGAAGGAAGCCGTTTTCGGGAATGGGAAATTCCACATCCTTGTATTCATGATTTAAGAAACCAAGTGTCGCCAACAAAATGAAAAACAAAAGAGCAAAAATGGTCTTTTTGGGTAGCATTCAGGGTTGCTGCAGCTTTAAAACGGGACGAAGCAGGATTATTTGAATAAATATTTGAGGCTATAGAAAATATGGATTAGTAGGGAAATCGTCGAAAATCAGAAGATCGACGGTTTGAAGAGAAAACTAAGGACAGGAGTATCTTCAAGCGCCATCTACAACGTTGAAAAAGTCTTCGGGGTCATTGAAAAATAATAATTGGCCTGAGATTGCAATCTTCAATCATTTTTTTTTGATTCTTTCATATATTTTATAAAAAGTCTATTTCGTATTTCGAATTTCAAGCCCAATGACGTCATTCACGGCGTTTTTTCTGTTTAAACTGTTTATTGCATCTTCAATGTAATAATTCATGTGCAATCGACTTTCATTGATTTGGCTGTGTTTAAACGGCGGCAGGAGCTGTGGCTTAAGCAGAGAAGTTGTGAATTTCGCTTGTTGATCATCAGGTACAAGAGAGGTCGTAGGAAGAAGTACGGTGCCGGCTTTCCAAAGGCCGATGGCAGAGATTGAGCCTTTTCGCTGCATGCAGCTCCCAATTTTATCTACCCCGGAGGGATGAAAGGCTTGGTCGACCTCGGGGGAACTCGAACCTACGACCTCGCGGACGTTAGAAATGTGTTTTAGCAGCTGAGCTATGCCGCTCCGCCCATACTTTTCCCGTAAAGTGTAGTGTGTCGTGTGCATGCACCTCGGCGTTCTCGCACAGCTACAACAATCGGCCGATTATCATCACCATTTCATGTTTTCAGAATATGATTGCTCTCTACGGCGGGAAGAGGCGAAGCTCGGCGGCCGCATTAGCGTCAACATTTTCGAGCCATCCCGTGCAATGCGGCAAAAGAATTGTGGTTCAAAATCAGAACCGACTGCGTTCACTGCTATTCCAAAAAAAAAATCTAGTGATTTTCAGTTTTTTTCACGGAAAATCTGGTCTTAATTGCTCCTCAAACCACAAAAAACGAATTCAGATTGAAAAAGTTCATTTCCTTCTTGGCCTTTTGGAAGGCGGACTGGGACTTCTCAGGGGTCTGTCAGAGGACCGACGGACGTGGGCGCTGTGGCTCCGGACGAACTCCGGCTCATTCGATCTTGACCGACTTCGGTTTCTTTCTGAAGTTCACTTTTTCATAGGCTATCGTATAAAGTAAGACGATTCAACTTTTGGATAATCTTTTAATGAAAGATGGATGAGAAACTTCTTTCGATGTTGAAAAACTGTCTAAAAAGGCCATTGAATTCGAAAAACAGATAATTTATCGGGCTAGTTATAGACTGTGTATCACGACTTGGAATTTCACGAAACGACATTCCGCTGTTTCGCTGCGCGCCTTTGCGAACCTTGGTCGCGCTTTGAATTGGTTCTCATTTCTGATAGATGGACTGTTCCACTAGGAACACGTGTTGGTCGAGTTCTTAAATAAAATGAGAAATTAAAGGCGCGGCCGGTCACGCAGCAGAACAGCGGAATGTCGTTCGGTGAAATTCCAAGGCGTGGTACACAGACTATACTGTAACTTTTTCTTGCTGTGCTTTTACTGGTTCATGCCTGTTTCAAGTGAAACTCAGAAAATTAAAAAATATGAAAGATCAAGGTTGATCTCACCGCGACTCAGGCTGCGAGGTCTGGACCGTGCCCGCGGCTCTGCAGACTTGCTCCTTCGGGAAGTGGCGATTCCGGCTAGAGTATCGGCCTGAAAACATATGAAGCTTCTTGATTCGAAAATTCAGAATTCAGAGACCATTTCGTTGCCAGGATCTCCTTCATGCGCGTAGACGTGTTGGAAGCTGACGCCTTTTGGGAATTGTTCCGCTAGAGCCAGTAGCTTTTCCGTCAGCTCCGGGTACCTTCAAAATACAGAAATTTGGAATTGTCAATTTTTTTGAATATTCATTAGTTTATAGTTCGTTTTTGCGACTTCTCTGCGCCCTCCTTGTCATTCGACGTCTCTCTCATGTTTACGTGCTATTTCCATGTTTTTCTGACGACGTCGGTAAGGGAACAGAGAGACGGAGACACGCGAAAACTGTCAAGTCGCGGCAGACGGACTTTATTTTCTTCCTTTTTTTTTCCAAAATTTGAGATTTTCTTGCAGGGAAAGGTGAAAATTTCCGAAAGTTAACTTCGAAACACGATTGAGCGTCGCTTCGATGCGCGCCCGACCTGAAACGACTTTCGCCGTTGGTATCGGTAATCATGGAAAAATCCACGCAACCACGTCGTTTTGAGCCGTTTCAATTCCATTTAAAAAAATATTTGCATAGGAAAAAAATAAAATTTCGGCTATCAGTTCAATTTTAATTTTTCTAAAAATATTAAAGTTCTTCAAGAAACCATAGAGATCAATTCAAGAATAATCTCAATAATTTGAAAAAAATATATATTAAGAAACTCACGCTCCACCGGATTTCGTCACAGCGGTCACCACAGCCAGATTGTCCGTTCGAATTATGACTTTCTGACCGCTGGAAGATAAATATTTATATTTGTAAACCAGCGATTCGTTTTAAAGAAGTTGATCTTATTTAAAAATTAGAAAAAAACCCTGAAATTTGAAAAAAAGGCAAGTTTGATCGATAGTCAATGTTTCCCGACTTGAAAGGCGAGGGAGGCGGGGGCAGGGGCGGGACGCGTAGCGTGTGCGTACGCGGTTCTTGGCGCCAGTTCAATTCAATCGCCGCCGACTATTTAAAAAGCTCGGCAACCGCTCTTTTTTTTATTTTCTTCTATTTTTTGAAGCACACATGAACATAATCAATAAATAATTAAAAAAGAAGTGAAAAGAGCGATAAAAAAAGCTCTCTGAATGCTCGCTAGCGCTTGAATTGAACACGTGCCAAGAACCGCGTACGCACACGCTACGCGCCCCGCCCCTTGCCACGCCTCCCTCGCCTTTCAAGTCGGGAAACATTGACTATATTTTCAACAGAATATACTCACAGGGGAAGCTTTATTGAATAAAACTTTTTTAAAGGGATCATTTTTCGAATTTTCTGTTTGATACCTGTATCCATCCCAGGCGAGCAAATCTCTCAAAGCCACGATCACGGCAAGCATTTCCGCATAATTATTGTTCTGAATGGTTCCTCGGACTCGGTGGGACCTTCAAATAAGGATTTTTATTTATATTTCGTCAGGAGAAATCAATGTTTTATTGAAAGTTCATATAAATCCTGCATTAATATTCAACAGCTCGCAAGATTTTGAAAACTTCAAAGGAAAACCCCTTCTTATCAATTTTTGTCATTATGAGAGCCAGATGACGTTAAAATTTCAATTCAATTTCGTGCAAAATCCTCATTTTACGACGATTTCCCTTAATTTGGAAGGCGTGGATAATCCTTCCGTCTTAATTTCCTTATTTCGAAAAATATCTTTTAAAAAAAGCAAAACATATATTTCTTTGGAAAATGACTCATTTTAGGTCAAAAGTCTTGAATAAAAAACTTTTTTTTTAAATCAGCAAAAAACGCTTCTGTTATGTATACTCCATAACCTACAACTTGGAAACCCAGAGTCGCTGAGGCTCTACAAAAAAAGATTTTTCCCGCGACCGACCCAAAAAAACTAGCGCGTTAAAGCATCGGAAAGCATTGAAGGATATTCCACGTGACGTCAAAGTTTCAAGACATTCCAAATGCGAACAGAACCTGTTGAGTTCGTGTCCCGGGCCATGATAAATTCCGATTCCAGAAGCATTCGTCCGGGGCATGTATGAGGCGTCAGTGTAGATCTGAAGGGAGAAAATTGTGAAAAAAAACTTCATTCAGAAATCTTCTGATCTGTCTGTGCCCTCTTATCTCTCACCAATTCGCGGAAATAGCACATGAAGGGGAAGACAGGCCAGAAATGCAAATGAAGACACTTTTTCACGGCGGGACGTGAGACGAAGAAGTGAGGTAAATTTTGAAGGCGCATGAGAAGGTTTCGTAAAGTTATTTCACCACGAAAGCATTTTATTCATTTTTTGTCTTACTCAGAGACGCCACAATTGTCCCTATAGGGGTTATGGGAAGTAGGCGCTTCTAGAGGGGGTTTTCAAGCGCCTTTGAGGCTGTCCCTATAGGGACCACTCTGGAATTCCTGAGCAAAATATATGAAAGGCTATAGTTCGTGTGCCACGACTTGGAATTTCACCGAACGACATACCGCTGTTCCGCTGCGTCTTTCAAACCTAGGTCCCGGATTAAATTAATTGTCATTGCTGTGGGAACGCTTGAAAGTATTAGAACCTTATTAAAAAAAAAAAAATTAAAAGAGCGACCGAGTTTCACAAAGGCGCGCAGCGGCATAGCGGAATGTCGTTTGGTGAAATTCCAGGTCGTGGTACATGGGCTATATATGAAAACCGACCACAACAGTATCATCTGGAAAGGTGCAGTTCCAAACTCCGCTCTGCGTTTTTTTCAACATCAAAAAGTTGGCCTGATTAATGTTGGTGTCCACACAGAGAGCGTTCATCTTGACGGATCTCTGCAGAATTTCATCATAAATCAATAAAAATGTATTCCAAGATCTACATCGGTGGGGCTGATCACGTACAAGGGCGACATGCAGAAGCGAGGGCTGGAACGATCGGATCTGGCTGAAAAATTGAGGGGAACTTGGTTTTTAGTACAGTTTTTATTATTTTTGGCAGAGCCTGCCAGCCCTGAACGGGTCCCAGGGCCTTATTCAGCTCGAATTTTGAAACATGGGCAAAGTCGGAAAAAGTGGAGAAAGGCTCCATTGAAATGTTCCTTTTAGAGTAAAAAAGGCTCCTTTTTCGCTGCCTTTTTGCGCCATTTTCTCAGCCGTTATGCACCTTTTCTGCTACCTCTCCTTTTTTTCACCATTTTTCGGGTCTTTAAAATCTCAGAGAAAAGGAAGGCTTGATAGAGGGACTCTTTTTGATGCCTCTTTACTCCTTATTTGCAGCCTTTTCACTGCCTATTTGCAGCCTTTTTTCCAGCTTTTCTGCCGCCTTTTTGCTGCCCTTTTGCTGTCTTTCTGCGGCCTTTTTTGAGCCTCTTCTCTTTAGCGGCTATTATCCACCATTCCGGCTTTGCGTGAGAATTTCGCTTTGATTTCAAGGTTCAATGATATAATAATCTTTTTTTATTAAATTGTTAAAATAATCGATTTCAACCGAATTCTCCAGAAATAGGAATATTCTCATTCTCATTAAAATCAACTATTTTATTTTTTTTTTCCTAGCTTTCCATTCCACTTTCCTGCTTGAAAGAGAATCAATAAAAACTCTGGAATTTTGTGAAATTCAGCCAGGATATGAATTCATGTACCAGGTTGAGATCCTGAGTAAAACTTTCATAACTTTTGCAGGTTGAAATGCCTTTGAACTTTATCTGTTAATTCAAAAAATGTTCAGGCCAATTTTCAGAAATTTGTGAATTTCCTAGTAAATTAACTTCTTTGTCGGGAAAAAAGAACAAGAAAAAAGGGCAGGTGCTCTTTTAAAACTTATGAAAAAGGACCTTTCGAGGATTTTGAAAAAAAGAGCAAAACTTTCTATTAGGGTTCAAAAAGTTGTCCTTTTTCTAACCTTTCCTAGAGAAAGACCGCGAAATGTTTTTTTGACTTCCAAAAATTTCACTAAAAAACTCCTCCAAAGCCAATATTCAGACAGTTCAATTTTATTAGGAATGCTAGAATGTTCCCTATAGGGGTTAGGAAAACCTACAGAGGGTCCCCTATACTGGAAAAATTTAGAGGCTCGCCAAGGACTACTTGGGGAGGAAACTAAAGTAGCCACTAAACCCACCTCTATAGTGGCCACTATTTTCCGTTTAGTGGCCACTATAGAAGTTCTCTATTTAGTGGCCACTTTAGTAGTTTTTCATCCAGTATTCTTTCCAGTAACTCTGATAATTATAAAACAAACAGATAGGACCAGTTATGTTAATCCATTGACCCCTAAAGTGGCCACTAAAATTTCTAGTAGTCTATTAGTAGCGCTTAGACCTCTATAGTGGCCACAAATTTTTAACCCCTTAAGTGGCCACTAATTCGACTACTATAGTATCCACTAAAACGTCAAAGCCCTATAGTGGCCACTAACAATTTTCCCATTTCTTTTTTTTCACGATTTGAAATCACAGAAAGCTTGGAAAGGATTCAAAAAGTGTCGAAAATCTCGCGTTTTCGCCGTGTTTTCTGCCCTACACGTTGCACTTTTCAACACCAGGAACTTGTTAATATCAGACACCTATAAAAATGGCAATAATGTGACATACGCAAAACAACCTTTCCAGAACTCGTAAAATAAGGTTTCCCGTTTACGACTATTCTCACCTGTGATCTGTCGCAGATTAGGCCCGATTTATTACGCACAAACTTTTTTCCCTATAAAGGTTATCGGCTACAATAAAAGGGCTAAATTTTGACAAGAGTTTAGTTTTTTCTATCCCAAGTTTTCCCGTTTCCAAAATAGGTAATAAAGAGTTCGAAAAACGGTCCTCATGTCTGGAAAAGCCCCCGAAAGCAATTATGGAGTTACTTTGAAGTTTTTTTCGTTCAGAAATTTCCGTCTCATGACTCATTTTACTCATTTTCTGTGTCTCCTCAGCTTTTCGTTCTTTGGAAGGAGATTCCAGGGCCTTTTTTCCTTTGAATTCGAAAAAAGTTTTTAAAATTTCATTTCGTTTTTTTTTCCCTTCCAAGGCGTTTCTTCCAACATTGCTTACTGACTTTAACGTTATCAAGTTTCTGAATAAGAACTTTGAAATGATGAAAACGTTTTCTGAGAAGTTCAACGTGAGTGATATTCAATTTTTATCTTTTTTTAAAAGTTGAACAACTACTTAATGGTTCAAAGGTAATCCTAGAAGGTTTTTCCGTAAAGTTCTGAAAGAATAGGTATTTTTGTAGAATCGATTCATTTTTTTGTATAAAAATTACAGTTTTCAATTTAAACAGAGCAGTTTTTCAGGATAAATTAGAACGTTTTACTGTACTTTTAGTGATTTTTTTTCCATTTTGTTCCCGTGGTTTTGCTTAAAAATGCGATTTTCTTTGAATTTTTTGACCTTAGGCTGATTATTTCTTTTTCTTCTGGTTCCACAGCACGAAAAAAAAGCCTTAAAATCTGCCTTATAATCGAATTATGAAGCGTCAAACTACACACAAAATTTGAAGAAGTCGCGTTATTTGAACCTTTTGAAGCGGCTTGACTCGACTATGAGGGATACATTGAGGGATTTTTCTTTTTTTTCTGGAATCAGAAGGGACTGAATAACACTTATTCAAGTTCTATCAAAATTCCATTTTTCGGCTGAAACTAACCAGATATGAATGAAAAAAGTCAGTGCTTTTTTTTTCTGTTCCAAGAATTTTTGAAGCGTTTCCCTGCCCTTTTAAACTGATCTAAAACCAACCAGCATTGATATTTTCCTTCTTCCTCCGATCCCTTCCACGGCTCGTCGTCGGAAGCAGAAGAACACTAGAATCCACGGATCCGCCAGAAGCCGAAGATCTGAGGGTGCATCGAGAGGAAGATCTCAACGTGTTACGGTATGAAGACGTCGGTGAGACGTGCCGCGTCGTGCATAGCGAGTCCTGAACCTTTTTATTTGAAGTAGAAGTTGAAAAACGCGGTTTACAGTAGTAGGGTGGGCGAGTACAGGGGCGCGTTGGGCGGCCAAACGAGGTCTGGCCAGAAAGTTCTTGAGCAGAGCCACCCAACGCATCGTTTGTTAGTAGAAATGGTCGAGATTCTTATCTATCTTTTTTTTGAAAAAGGATTTGACGTCAAGTTCAACTCTCCAACTTCTGTTTTAAAGACATTTTGGGCCATCTTGTATAGTTAAAGTTATTTTTAACTTGTTTGAAAAAAACGCCATGACTGCCCTTAGAATGATTGCGGTCAAGTTCGAGCTCAGAACTCTTTTAAAAGCTCTTCGATGCTTCCGCGCGAAAGTCGTTTTAGGTCGGGTGAATTTTTATGCCTTTTGTATAGTCTATATTATTTTTACAATATCTCTATAATAACCAGGACTGCACTTAGAATCTCTGATTTCTGTGCTGTAAATTTGAGCTTGGAACACACTGCTCTGATGCTTTCCGATGCCGCTGCGCTCTAGCCGTTTTTAGTCGGGTGCACTTTGGGACTTTTTTATAACTTCGATAAGATTTTTAAATCTTCTCTGGAAAGGCCATGACCGCACTTAGAATGGCTTAACCGGTTAATTTCAAGCTTAGAACTCTTTTAGAAGCTTTCCGATGCCACCGCGCGTAAGTCGTTTTTAGTCGGGTGCACTTTTGGAATTTTTTATAGTCTAATAAGCTTTTGAATACGAAAATTGTTCAATTATTCCCTCCAAATATTTTCTTACAACTTATCCTATGACCATGCTTCTTCAAAAAATTCTCGGAACAAAATTTTCAATACCAGATTTTCGTTAAACCTCATGTTTTCCTTCTGTCTCTCGCTCTTGTCCAAGTAGTAAAAAGTCGGGTGCAACCGAAACAAAAAAACAAAAATTTAAAACTTCCCTGAAAGGCCATACTTATTGAAATTTGCTCCTGGCACCATGCAATTGAGGTCGATTTGTTTTCGAAAAAAACTTATAGTTTCAAATGATATACCATTATTCCTTCCTGTGTAGTCTATAATTTTATAGTTTATTTTAATGAGTTGCAGCGAAAGTGCAAAACATTCTGCAAAAGGCTATAATTTTGTGGGAGGATTAGTTAGGCGCCGCAAAGCCACGCCCCTTTTCGCGATAGAAAAAGTGGCTTTTTTTTGGTTTCCAACTTTCATTTTGTTGTAGTTGCAAAATATGTGGAACTGGCTAATAAAGTTTGACATACATGTACAGAAAAGCTTCCTCTATTGTTTAAAAAAAATTTCACGTTTTTTTGATGCGTTCTCGCGGAATGTCGTACAAAAACGTGAATGCAACTAAAAAAATATTGTCATTTTTTGCTTTTTCATGTGTTTTCAGGTCGAACGCACTCTTTTTTTTTTTAAATAATGTTTTTGATTCAAGTAACAATAGTTCTCCTTCATGTACCACCTCTCCGCGGTGATGGGGATCAACGACCATTTATGGCGGCAACGTCATAAATGGCGGCTAACGGTACACCGGTCACGCAGTTCGCCTTGCTTTATGCTAATAGAATGGGCGGTCCTCCCTAGCCCTGGCAAGGCAACGAGGATAACCAGACCACAAAAAAGCTAAAACACGTTCAACAAGACGGCCCCAGTCCTCCGCCCGTCGGTCACGCGCCTCTCCGGTATCGGGGGCTGCCTCTGCCGACGAGGGGCGATCAAATCTCGGAGCAACAGGATACCATAAAAAAACGGACTACGGACGCGCCACGGTGACTGTCTACGTTTCGGAACCCTCAACTGCCGCTCGCTCGCTTCCGATGCAGCAAAAGAGCAATTGCTCGCGGCAAACCGAAACGCACTCATCGACATAGTGGCGCTCCAGGAAACAAAAATCTCAAGACACCAGCTGTAAGACTTGGCCAAACGGTGAACTTCTCATCCTCGGCCACAAAGTCCCTGGGAAGAACGTCGGCGGCGTCGGTTTCCTCGTCAATCGCTCGGTCCAACGCCTCGTCGACTCGCACGAAATCGTCAACGCCCGCCTCGGCATCCTCCGACTCAACCTAGGAAAAACGAGGAAGACTCACCATCATCAACGTCTACTCGCCGACCTCACCAGAAGCCGAATCTAAGGCTAAAAAGGGAAGAGAAGGAAAAAGGAACTTGACGATTTCTACCGGAAGCTCGAGGAAACGATCCAACGAGAGAAGGCGTACTACATCTTCGTTCTGGGTGACTTCAACGCGAAGATGGGCAAGTGCGCCACTCCCTCGATTCGTCACGGGAAGCACGGACTCGGAATTCGGAACGACAACGGAGAACGCCTAGCCGAACTTCTCGACTCCAGAAGGCTCTACCACGGCAATTCTCTCTTCGAGAAACCTGATCGGAGACGCTGGACCTGGAAATCGCCCAACGGAGACACCACCAACGAGATCGACCACATTCTGGCCAACCGGAAATGGTCTCTCCTCGACGTTGCCGTACTACCCAGTTTCGACGTTGGATCCGACCATCGACTCGTTCGCGCCAAGGTCCGTCTGAACCAGAAGTTCCTGAAAAAAAGACTACCACCAGCCATCGAGACCGAGAAGACCAACCTACGACATCACCACGTTGGAGGAGAAGATCTCGGAGCACGACTGGCAGCTTCTCGACGACCCGACAGCCGACTACGAATCCCTCTGCGATGGCCTCATCAGATGTGCAGAACCTGCAGCTCGACCAACCTCGTCTCTACCGCCGCGACTCGACCAACGAGCGAAAGATCTGCTGCGAAGAAGAGGAGAAGTCAAGCGAGACCCGCAGGCCACGCACCTAGAACGTCTGACGATCGACAAAGCCTGCAGAATGGCCGTGCAAGAGTCTCTAGCCAACCGACGCAGGAGTGCACTTCTTCAGACAGCTGAGAAACGTCAAAGCCTCAAGAAGAAGAAGTTCGAGCTCGTCGACGAGCGAACGGTGATGACAGCACTGAAGGACGAGAACGGCCAGCTGAAGACGTCAAGGAACGAGATGGAGCGCCTGACGGTCGACTTCTACACGAAACTCTTTCGAAGCGACGTTCCCGTCCCCAGAACACCAACGCCGCCACCAGAAGATGAACCCCCGATCCTTCCCGAAGAAGTCAAGTACGCCATCAGGAAGCTGAAGGTCGGAACGGCCGCAGGACCCGACAACATCTCATCCGAACTGCTGAAGGCTGGAGGAGACTCGCTGTACCGACTACTTGCCCGGCACTTCTCCAAGTACCTGAGCGAAGCCTCTATTCCTGAACAATGGAAAACATCCAAGACGATCCTCATTCCGAAGAAGGGCGACCTCACCGACCTGAACAACTTCAGACCGATCTCCCTCTTATCGGTCGTCTACAAGTTGTTCACCAAGGTCATCGTCAACAGACTAGAGAAGCAACTCGACAACTTCCAACCGCCCTCGCAGGCTGGCTTCCGACGCAACTACTCTTGCCTCGACCACATCCACGCCTTGACCCAGGTGGTGGAACGGCACCGGGAGCACCAGATGCCACTTGCGTTGGCCTTCGTCGACTACTACAAGGCCTTCGACAGCGTGGAGATCAACGCCGTCTTGAATGCTCTTGCCTCCGCCGGAGTCGCCACGAAGTACGTCGAGCTGATCGCCAACAGCAACGAGGGAACGTCCACGACCATCCAGCTGTTCGACAAGAAGCTTTCGATCCCCATCAGGAAAGGTGTTCGCCAGGGAGATACCATCTCCCCCAAGTTGTTCTCCACGGCACTAGAAGACGCGATGCGCCAACTTGGATGGGACGAAGAGCACGACTGGGAAGACAGTACAGACATCAGAGGCATCAACATCGACGGCAAGGTCCTCACAAACCTCCGCTTCGCCGACGACATCGTACTCTTCTCAAGCTCCACCACCGAACTGTCCTCCATGCTGAACGATCTGGACGAAGTCGGCAAGAAGATCGGCCTTAAGATGAACGTCAAGAAGACGCAGTGGATGAAGAACCGCTTCTGCGACCAAGGCAAAGTCACCCTTGAGGGCCGCGACCTTCAGGAGGTCACATCCTACATCTACCTTGGCCGGGAAGTAAACATGGTGAACGACCTGCAAGCAGAGATCGGCAGACGCAAACGCGCTGGATGGGCCGCCTTCAACTCCATCAAAGAAGTCACCAGTCAGCTGAAAGACCCGAAACTGCGAGCTCACATCTTCGAAGCGTCGATAATCCCTGCCATCTCCTACGGTACCGAAGTTTGGCCTGACACGAAGAAAAAAATGCAACCGCCCTACGAACTTCCTACCGCGCACTGGAACGTGCTCTCATCGGCACCACTCGCTTCGAGCAGTGGAAAAAAGAACAGAGGAGCACAGACCTCCGTCAACTATCCCAAATCCGGGATCTAGAAGAGCACATACAACGCGGGAAACATCGTTGGGGCGGCCACGTCATCCGCAGACAAGACGACAGCTGATCTACGAGATTAACACACTGGATTCCGAGAAACATCAAGCGCCCACTCGGGCGCCCACCGACCAGATGGACGGACTACTTCCGCAAGAACATCAGTCAGCCAGGCCGCCACTGGATGACCGTCGCGCAAGACCGAGCCGCCTGGAGAACGTGTGGTCCACGCTGAGAACATCAGCGAAGATGGACCATCAAAGTAAAGTAAGTAAGTAACAATAGTTTTGAAACAATAAAATAAAAAATTTGTCTCTGCCAAAAATTTACGGGGCCGTTTTAATGCAGCGATCGTTAAACGAGGCAAAAAAAGCACTAAAAACAGTTTTTTCGAAGTGAATTTCCACGGAAAGTTTGAGTAAAGATTTGCAAACATATTCTGATAAAAAAATAGCTAAATTACTTCAAATTTTTTTCTTTTTGAAATAGGCAATCTGTGCTATTCAAACGGCTCAAGGGTATGGCGGATGGAAGCTCCCCTCGCTAGACCTGACAGCTTGGCGCAGCGCGTGCGCTGCGGATTGTCTTTTTGAGGTCGCGAGATCGATGCCCGCAAGCGTCAGTTTTTTGTTTTCTGGAAAATACCGACTTTTTCGGCAAACTAGCAAATTTTTATCATTTTAGCACTATATTATGATTTCTTACATCATAATAGACCAGTATCAAAACTTGTTCTAGAAGAAAAATCGAGAAAAATGTCAAAAATGGATAATACCAAAATTTCAGTACTAAAAAAATGGTGCGCGGCGCGCCACATTTTCCGTCATAACTTTTTTCATCCTCGATCTTTTTCGAAAAACTAAACGGTTCTGAGTTTTGTATCGAATCAGCTATCAAACCATACAAAGCTCAATGCTGAAAAAAATTTTGAAAATTTGTCTGCGGTCCCTAGGATTCGTTGCTTTTTTTGTTTGAAAACCGCACTTCAGAATAAGAAATCTAGCAGTTTTGGCGAAGATCTCATAGCAACAAAATGAGTAATTTATTAGACGTCCTTTCTTTCGAAGAAATCAGAAACTTCTCTGTCTCGAGAGCAGAAAAATCCGATATTTCCTTTCCTGGTTTTTTTTTCTATCAGCCCACATTACTTAATCCATATCTAACCACGTTTCGCATTCGTAACCAACCGGAAGATTTTCTCTTTTTTTTGCAGCTAATAGTATAATCCCATATAATTCTTTTTTTTTCAAGTACAACGTAGTAAGAGTCACGCTTTGACGTACGTTTTCCAGTAGTTTACTGTACCTGTCTAATCTTCCAAACGTTTATAAAAGACGATGTTTTTTGAGGAAATATTTATTGGAGCCTAGTCTGAATTTTCAAGCTTTCTATCATTACACCGAAAATTATCAGAATTTTCTCATCTTTCTTCATTTAGAAATAGTTTGTGAACTTCAGTCAAGCTTTAGGTCACTGAAAACAAGTTTATTATTACGTTTTACTCTTTAAAAAAATTTTTATTTTTTTCACAGATTTTTCTCTTCAAAGGAATTTTTTGCCTTGAAAATTGAGCTTAAACCTTAATATACAGATTTTATTGGTGATACCATCTTTCTATCTCCAACGGCCAGAATTCCAAAGACGATTAAAAAAATTCAAATTCTGCTAAAAAAATTTTTGAAAGCAAATCTGCTCCACGGAAATTTCACTTCAAAAAAACATTTTTTTGCTTAGGAGCTCCAGAGTGATCCCTATAGGGGACAACTTTAGGAACCCTTGGAGACCCCTCTGTAAGGACCAATTCACCTTCCCTCTAGGGGCCACTCAAGCTTGCAAAAGTGGTCACTGTAGGGAAATTGCTAGTCGATTTTTGTTATGAGCTCTATGACTAGCTAAGAAGTCAATAAATAAGCGTTTTTTTAAATGAAAAAAATAACAACATAAGATAGAAATTTGTGTTTCATTATGAAATCTGAACAGAAAAATTGAAAGACCCCTTTAGGTTTCCTAATCTTAAGACGCGGGGGGTGAGAAAAAAATAAATAAACCCTTATATGAACCACCTAACTTTCACCCCCTATAGGGATCCCTTTTTCGGTTCACATAGGGAGATTTTTTCCCCTTACCCCTATAGAGTTCTCAAGTATCAAGACTTTAACCAATAAGTTCTCTTTTCCTACCCCTGCACTTCCTTTTTTCATCTTGAAAAAAAAATCAAAGCTCAAAAAAAAGGTTCAATTGTCTCATTTACGCTTGATTTCCTTGCACCTGTTTCGTTGGTGTTTGAATTAATTTTTATAGTTTTTTTTCTTTGTTGAGTCAAATTTTACGCCCTGCTTGCATGAAAGAACACAAAAATCATTAAAAAAGAAGTAAAAAAAAAATTGTTTTCTCATTTTATTGGATCTTTTTGTCCTTTTCTACCAAGCTTCCGAAAAAATCCAAGATTCTCCCATTAGCCTGACTCAATTCAAAATGATGAACAATCGGATTTGAATTATGGGATTTAAATTCCCATATTTCATTTTTATTTCAGTGCTTTTTAGGAGAGAACCTCTTATTTTCCCAAATTAAGAAATCTCATCGAGCCTTTGCATTTCCCATAAAATCTCTCATTCTTTGAGCTTCTCCTTATAAAATTTCCTATCTTACTGGGAGAAATATTTAGTGACCACTTAAGAGGCTTCTGAAGGGCTAGTTGAAGAGGGCACTTAAGGGTCAACTATTTTGCGTTTTAGTGGCCACTTTAATGGGTTATAGTAGACGAATAGTACAAATTAGACCTCTAGAGAGGCCACTAAATTTAAGCCGCTCGAGTTGCCACTTATTCGACCACTATAGTGGCCACTAAAACGTCAAAACCCTAAAGTGGCTACTGAAAATGCTCCCAACATGATAAAATCCATCTTTCTGGGAGAATTTTTAGTGGCTACTATAGGGTTTTGACGTTTTTGTGGTCACTATTGTAGTCAAATTAGTGGCCACTTAAGGGATAAAAAATTATTGGTCACTATAGAGGTCTAAGTGCTACTACTAGACCGCAAATCATTTTAATGGCCACTTTAGGGGTCTATGGATCAACATAACTGTTCCAATCTGTTTGTTTTAAAATTATCAGAGTAACTGGAAGGAATACTGGTGAAAAACTACTGAAGTGGCCACTAAATTGAAAACCTCTGTAGTGGCTACTAAAACGGAAAATAGTGGCCACTATAGAGGTGGGCTTAGTGGCCACTTCAGTGTCCTTTCCAAGTAGTCCTTGGCGAGCCTCTAAGTGGCTTTCTTAGTTTTTTTTTTTGTGCAGAAATGCAAATACGATTGTTTTTTATCAAATATTCTTCCAAAAAATCCAAAAAATTTCTCACGAATTAATTGATGGAAACTCAAGCGGGCGTTATTTCCACCCCATTTTTTTCACATCAAAAATACGTCAAGCAACTCTGATTCGAGTTTTTTTTTCCGTATATATCCCCCGTCTAGTCATCCTTGTTATTCATAACTTTTATTTTATCGAAAAAAAGAATAAGGACAAAAAAATGAGGAGGAAAGCCGAACAAGCGATGCATTCCCAATGCGCTTATTCCTCGTAATTTTTTTGTCTCCATGAACAATAAGTTTTTTTCTTTTTTTTTCATTCTTTGCGCGATTCATCTTTGGATTTTCGCTCTTGAAACATTTCGTCTTCAAGCTTCGACCAAAGTTTCGATTCAAAGAAGAAATAAAAAAAGGAAAAATTTTAGTAAAAAAACGAGATTTTTCTTGTTATATCCTTCATCTTCGATTCAATAAGAAGTATTTGACAAAAAAATGAAAGAATTTAGGCTGTTTTCTTGTGCTTATCATTGCGAATAAAAAGCTTCAAAGTTTTTGAACTAACCAAAAAAGTTTTTTGAAAGCCTTCCAAAAACTTAAATTTCAATGCAAGGTTGTTCTTTTGAAAAAAAAAATCGTCTCTATCTTCGTTTTTCTAATCTCTCTTCTTTTCTAATGTAACTTTGAAACTTCAAAGTTCGAAAAAAACTAATTTTAAAAAAATTTTTTTGCTTTAATGATTTTTTTGATGTTTGATAGAAAAAAACGAGAAAAAAATTTTTTTAGTGGCCACTATAGGGGTATCGATATTTCGGTTTTCTGTTCTGAGAGGTTGTCAGAACTGAGCTTAATGTTTTGGTATGAATCTTTTGTACAAACCTCGTTAAGAATTTTTGATAAAATATCGAAAAACTACCTAGAAGTGAGGTCAAAGGGAATTTTCAGCTTATTTCTCTTTTTTCTAATCAGAAAAATTATTATCATTCGATTTGGAAAAAAGAAAAAAATGAAAAAGAATGTTATTTCGAAATAAAACAGGAAAAAGTGCAATTTGAATACGAAAAACGGCTCCTGCAACATTTAAAAGGGCGCATCGGTGTGTTTGACGCAAACACACCTACGCACGCTTGCACGAATTCTTCCGAAATTCAAAAAAATAATCAAAACTGCTGGGAAAAATTTTTTTAGTGGCCACTATAGGGGTATCGAGATTTTCCTTGCTACTCTTCTGATCTACTTCAAATCGAAAACAAGTCTTTAATTTTGCAATTTTCAATTTTGAGCTTCTGAAAAAAGTTTTAACTTGAGAACACTATTTTCTGCACTCTTTCCAAACTTTTTTAAGTCAAGATTAAAAGCCGCATGACTGAATAAATCAAGGGCCAATGTTTTTTCTTCTATCCGCACCTCATTTCCGGTCCTTTGATTTACTAATTCAACGCGCCTCTGCCCTTTTTATTTCCCCAAGACTCTCGTTATCTTTGATTCAAAATCCCTTTTCTTGTATATTTTTGCAAAAAGCGCCGCCCATCCTCGTTTCCCGCATTTATAAGCATCCCGTCTAGGAATATTTCTCAAAATTTTGTTTTTTTCCATTATTTATCAAGTACAGGACCAAACTCGTGGGCGAAGGAAAATGCTGGCTACCGTAATCCGAGCCACCGTACTTCTTATGGTCGTCGCCGTCGTCGCGGCGATGAACCTTCCTCAGCCCGAGGGATTCCGTCGGGCGTCCCCCGTCAAATTTATGGACTTTGACGCTTACCGGTCAGAATTTTTGATTTTAAAGCGACTCTTGAGTTAGTTTTGAACCTGGGGTATATTGACATTTTTTTGAACTTTTCACAGTATTTTCTTTTTCTAAAAAAATCGGAAATAGAAGCTACCGTAATCTACAAAATTTTCAGTTGCATGGAAACTTTTTTTCTGAAATCTTTTAAAGTCTTCACAAAAATTCAATTATCGATTATTTTCTGTAAAAAATGGTCTCGAGGCATACAGTAACTCTTAATATCAAATATGAATCAACGAAAATATTTACTTTTCACTTATTTTCCTCTTTTGAAACAGTAAGTAAAGACATTTTGAGAATACAAAATAATTTTTTTTTTGCGTCTGTTTTTAAATGAGTTTTGCTCTAAAAAGCTCTCGGTAGGGCTAACTTGAAGCTGAAAAAATAGCTGGCATGGCCAAAATTGATTCGAAATAGAATGAAAGTTTCCATTTTAGGGATTTCCCGAAGCGCGCCCAGCCGGCCACCTTGTCCTCTCTTATCCGGTCAGATTTTTCAATTTTTTTTTTTTATCAAATTGACATGATTTTATGTCCAAAAGATGTAATTTTCTTCAAAAAAAGTGTATTTTTGCAGGAACCTACCGTCTCGCGAGACTTTCGCCATGAGACCACCTCTCTACGTCTTCGACGGACGTCTCTACAATGTCGCTCCCTGAAAATTTCCCTTTTTGTCCATTTTTATCATCAAACAAAGCGCTGCTAGAATCCCAGAACCCAATGTTCTGATTTCAATTTTCCTCGGTTTTTCTGAAATAAAGTTGGCGATGTTTCTGGAAATGAAGCAAGGTTCCGAAAATTGCGTTCTTCGAGAGGTTTTTAAAATAATATAGGATTATATTCGGATATTTTACCTTCGATAAAATGCCCAGAACACTCCTTGATTTACTAGATGAAGGTCCTGAAATATTCAACCTGGAAAAATGGAAAGTTCTGAAGATAGGACACCTCAAAGTCAAAGAAAACCCTCAAAATCTGTTAAAACAAGCTTTGAGCCTTGATTTCTCAAAAACTAGAAATCTGGACACATTGAGACCTTCAGATCCTTTTTTTATTACATCAAAAAGAGTTCTGGCCAGCTCTCAGAAAATTCCCAACCCTAAAGTAAAATTTCCTTCCTTGTAGTCAAAATTTTCAACTTGAAATTTCAAAATCTTCTCTTTCAAGATGAATAAAACAAACCCAATATCTATTTTTGTATGTTGACAAAGTCGAATTGACGACGTCAGCACTCACAATAAATAAAAGAAGAACTCAAAAAACATATTTGCTCGTTTTTGTCCATTCAGTCGATTCGAATTACGTTGGAGCTTGTTTTTTTTTTTTGAAAATCAGAATCTCGAATTTGCCAAAGACGACCTAATTGTCTAGCGAATTCACGGAAAATTCAAACAAAAAAATTTGTAAATTTCCTGGAAAACACGCAAAAAAACCGTCGTTTCAAATAAACCCAAAATTTGAAGATTTTTTTAGAAACCGTGAACTGATACAAACATATTAAGTTCAATAAAGTTTAAATTTGAGAAAAAACCTACTCAGCTTTTTAGAGGGAAAAAAATCTGGCTAGCCTTTGATAGTTTGTAAATTTTAAAAATTAGGTATCTGCACAAAAAGAATTCAAATTCCTGGGCTATATATACGTATAAAGTTGCTTCTCTTGAAAAAAATATTAAACTTTTTCTTCGATTTGAATTTCTTTATCGTGTAAGTTCTCAATCGACAAGTTAGAGCCTTAAAATTCAATAAGAGAGCTCAAAGATTTCATTTTTTTAATATGATAATACAAATCGGAAAAAGAATATAAGAATAAATTGGGATTTTTTTTTAACCCCAGCAGTTAAAATTTCGAAATTCGAGCTGTAAGATTAACAAACTATCATAGTGATCAATTATTGAACATAGCAAAAAAAAAATTGACCATAAAAATTTCTGTGCAGCAGAAAAACTTCCAAATGATCACGAAAAAAAAAAAATTAAAACGAATGAATCTTTAGAAACAAACCCCAATCGTTGAATTTCTCAAGAAACTTGCCTCATTTTATTTTTTAAGCTTTGCCTTCAACAGTAGGCTTAGGTTGTCCTTTTCTACGTGAACAAAGAACTTGTGGAAAACCGAGAAAAAGATCAAGAAAAAAAATGACGAGTGGAAGGAAAATCAAAGTGACGAGTCCTGTCTCTGGAAGCTCATTCCAAGACATCAGCCACCTTGAGAAGAACCTTTTTTCTTCCAAGTCGATCAACCTACAGAAAGAGCCGCGAGCGATGGAGCAAAATGGAGGTATAAATCCGACGTTTTCTAGTGTATTTGAAGGCGCAGGACGTAACTTACCCGGGAACTTTTTTGGTCCCGGTTAAACTTTTGTTGAAACTTTGCTGAAGTCTCCTCAGGCTCGTACAAGGGCCGGCCCGTCAGCCTATCGGCCTCCCAACCATTTCCTTAGCGGGGCCTCAAGCAAAATTTTCTAGCCCTGCCAAGAAAGTTCGAATCTTTTTCAAGTCGAAAATCAACCCTTTTTTTTTCAAAAGTCACGTAATGCTCATTTTTTCAATTAGAGTTTAAAAATAACTATGATTTTAAAAGCGAAAACAGTTTCTTGGTGAAAATGTTTTCAATGAGGTTTGAATTGTTCTTCGAAGGCTGGTCCCAAGCCCGCCCGGGCCTTTTCTCAAAAAGAAAGCCCAAAGCATTTACACCCCGTGGGGGTCACAAAAATATAGAATTCAGCTCTTCGGAGACTTACAAACTTTGGAAGTGTTTTAGCTATTTCCAAGCTGGTCACGTTCTCCAAGATGACGGTCAACTGGATCACTCAAAACTTGGGTAAGTGGATATTTCAGTCAAATCGTAAAATGCTACTCCGTGACGACATCCCTATGACGTTATCGTCAGCTAGTAATAACGAACTTATCAAATAATTGGAAATGTTCTTCAAAAAAGGTTTTTTTCTTGAAAATTTCAATGGCTCCCTCCTATATCTTTAATATGAGCAATACCGAACAAAGAGATGTTAATTTTTTTAAAGTTTGAATAAAATTCTTTTTGCATCTTGTGACAAACTTTCATCAAGATTTGTTGATTTATGCCGAGATATAGATTTTCGAAGCTTTTCACCGTAATCGTTTGAGCTACCGTATCTCAAAACTAGCCGAATGAGGATATTCGGTTTTGTGTTTAAAAAATCCTAAAAATCATTTTTACAACATATTTTATTTAGAGAAAAAGTTAACAAAACGCCCAAATGGCGCAGAAGAAGTCTGCGCCTAACCTATGACCTAGAAAACTTCAAATATCAAAAGACTTCGACAGTGTTTTTCTCATGCTTCAAACAAAAAAATCTCCAACTAGAAAAAACTACCGGATCTTGACTTTCAAATCTAAGAAAGTCTTTAAGGAAGTGAGCCTGAAAGGATTTTTGATGGAGGCGACCGGCTGGAGAGCGGACAGGAGGCCAACCCGAAAACGCTTGGTGAGGCGGGGAGCCCCAACCAGAAAACGGACGGCAGTAAGATCCAAAAAACGAAAGAAGAAGGTTTTTTTTCTTTGAAAGTTATCAATCATATATAAGCATCACCAGCCAATCTGAGAATGATCCTCACGAGGAAAGCAAAGTAATGATTTCATGAAAAAGAGGCAGAATTATTCAGATTTAACAATTTGATACAGAAAAAGACACCTCAAAAACCAAAGAAAAAAACTTTAGAAATTTTAGAAATTAGAAGTTTCAAATTGAAATGCTTCCTTCTCAGTGGGAAATTCCGAGTTCGTAGAATTTTGATTGAAGCTGGCTATAGTCCGTTTTTCGCGACTTGAAACGGCTGTTTTCCCTCTAGAGAAAGATTTTTGATAGTGTCGATTCAGACCAGTTTTCAAATTGTTACCAAATCCTAGTCAGAAATCTCAGCAAAAGAAAAAAATTGAACAGTTTTGCAGGCCATATTGCGTACGAGGTAGAAGGAAGCGAAGCTCAAAAAGACAAAGAAATGAAAGGAGACTTGCTAGAGCAGAAGACGAATTACAAGAAAGAAGACAATGACAAACTAGTCTTAGGAAAAATTTTGACAGACCCTATCAAAAAATCTACGCTCATAAAAATATCGGTATCTTCTCAGCCAATAAAAACCCTGGCGGATAGGAGAAGAAGTATGAAGAGTGAGTTTTGATGTTCCTCCTGTCAAAGAAACAATAATTTTGCAATAATGAGTTCTGAACGAAATAAGGCAGACTGGAGGAAGTTTAGTGGCCACACTGAAGCGGATCAATACTAGTGGTCTCTTTAGAAGTCTGAGTGGTACTACTAGACCTCTAAACGTTTTGAAGGCCACTAAGAAGCAAAATATTGACCTTAAGAAGGGGTTTTAGTAGCCCCTTTAGTGAGCTTCCCAAGTAGTTCTTGAGGAACCTCTCAAGTGGCCACTCAAGTTTTTTTCCAGAGAACTGAATAATTGACGCTAAAAAGTACGCATACACTTAGAGGACGCGCACGCGATTTTGCGGATATGTACAATAATCCAGAATTCCCGCAATCATTTCCTTCTTGAATGATACCACTAAAAATTTTTGGGAGCTTTATTTCAAAATAGGCATCAAAAAAGAAGAAAAACATTTGAGCATTTTTTTTTTATCTAAAAAAGATACTGTTCACCATTTTAACTATAGGAGGGGAAGTTCACGAGTTGCTTGTGCCGGAACGAGAGGAGAAAAAGATGGACGTCGCCCGAAGTGATGACGATATTATGGAACACTTTATCTACTACCACGGGTAAGAAGTTTTTGACTGCATGTAAATCGATCCTTTCCAGGTTCTTACCGCAATTGGAAACTATGAGGTTCATCAGAAGGGCCGGAGATTTTCTTCTCAGAAAGATGGAAGGTACATGAAAAGGAGATAGTTGTCAAGTTTTGACTTTTTGAGACGACGGAAAGGATCATCTTCTCTTGTCAGTTGGGGTTTTGATGGAATTCGAGGAGGACGAAAGCGACCGTAATTTATTTTTGTTGTTGTATTGATATGGAAAAAGAAAAATGGTTAAAGGGATCTAAGACTTTAAAAAAACACTGTTTTTTATCCTGACCAAGATTTTACCAGAGCTCTGTTCATCGGAAAAAGGAAACTTTTCAAAACGCCTCAAAATTGCTCAAAAATTAAGCTATTCTTGTTTCGGAGAAAATTTAGAGCTCCTATGAACCATTTTTGCCTTCGTTCGCCGACGTGCCGAGGCATATTTAGTTACCAATTCAGTGGCGTCAGATCTCTTAAAGGCATAGGGGCAGTAAAAAACGGTGTTTCAGTTCAAAGCAGTATTCTGTAGAGCTTTTCATTGCGAATCGAAGGGTAAACTTGGAAACGTACAGAACTTCCTAGTTTAAAAAAAAATTCAAAGTGGGAGAGAGGAAAGTTTGAGTTCCCGCGAAAAAGGCACTTTGCAGTAAAGTTGCTCTATGGACAACAGGCTTCGCCATCTTCCAGATATTCGCTTTTTTCTTTTAAAGTTGTCACATCTGTAATTTTTTTGAGTACACCATTCGATTCGCAAAGAAAACTATATAAGATACTGCTTTCACCTGAAACCTCATTTTTTACTGCCCCTATGCCTTTAAGTGTTCCCTAGAATTGCTGGGAAACGCCCGGTTCTCGTCACCGAGGTCCGAGTGCTTGAACGCAATTGTGTCCTCTTGAATATTATTAATTTTCTTTTCTCCATCAAGAGTCTTTTGGCTTGTAATCTCACTTTCCTCATCCAATTTTACAGTTTTGGACGAGAACATTGGGAAAGACCAACCAGTCCGAATCGAAGACTATGTGGTCCGTCGGGATGAACTCGGCGTTTTTCTGGAAGACGAAAATCGTTTTGAATGTCTCGAGGATCTTTTGACTTTCTATATTCTGCATCCGGACAAGGTGGAAGCTTTTGATAGACGGAAGGAGAGGGAAGAAAATCCCTTTCAGGACTCGCTGAACATCAAGTTGCTACGGGGCTGTCCCATTTGCCTGTTTCAAATAAGGGAAAGGAATATCGTTCGGATTGAGGACGTAAGTTTTGAAACACATAAATTAGAATAGTTTCTCCAAACTACCGTCAGCTCCAAGTCCTGGTCGCCGAAAGCGGAAATGATAGTTTTTAAGAAAAGATGTATTGGTTTAGAGTGGAAATCCCCCCCCCCTTTTTTTTTAAATGTCATTCAAATTGGCTAAAAGCGCAATGAAGGCAAATTTTTGCTATAGAGCGTTAACTTTTGCAAAAAGAGTGTATGCTGTCGATTCAGAAGGTCTAATCAGTTCGATTAAAGGAAAATGAAGCACATTTTCTGAATTTTTAGAAAATAAAGATAACATCAAAGAGGCTATACAGGTTTCAAAATCAGATCTAGTGAAGTAAGCGAGTTCTGGAGAGAGTATAAAGTGAGAGAGCTGAAGAAATCAGTGTAAAACTATTTTTGAGGGTGTTTTGAAGATTTTCAACATGAAACAGGGTGTTCTCAAACGAAGATTACCTCGTATAGTCCATTTGAATGACGAGACGTCAAAACGCAAAGGCCTTTCGAAGAAAAAGTCACTACGCTCTTACTATCGGGTTGGTGAGGGGCTGATTAGGTTTTTTAAAAAGCCGAAGGCTTGTTTTACCGGGGAAAAAAGTTTCTGATTCAAAATCGAAGTTTCTTCGAAGATATGATTCATCGAATCTTAAGAGAAAAATCTCCATTTTCACGATTTTTGGTTTTTTGCTCTCAAATCTGGTTTGACATAAGCAAATGCGTTTTTCTTCTGGAAAAGAGTTACTGCGTAGCTATTTAAAATCTGGGCAAAGTTTCAAGTCATTCGAGCCACTTTCAGAGAAGTTATGCTCGAATAACCACTTTGAAATACCTTTATGGCCAGTACTGTACGTATGTAAAAAGCTTTGGAAAGGCTGTTTATTTTCAAACAGGGTAATTAACTTGATTGCTATAAATTTATAGCTTCCGGTTTTAAAGGTCGAACCGGTTGGGTTAAGGCAAAATGGAGCAAATTTTCTGGAAGTTAAAAAGAAAAAAAATCTACCGTGCTTCATGTATGTATCGAAGCACGGTAGATTTTTTAGGTATGTATCGGGAAGCGTAATCGACTCGGCTTATCAAGACTAATATTTGCTTTATACGAATCTTCAACTTATATTGAACTTTTGCGAAAATCCTCAACAAGCCAGAACAAACGGCTTTCCGTTTTCGAATCTCATTTCTGAGAAGTAAGTTGACCCTAAAACTAAAAATACTTCTTCAGCTGGGGAGCGGGAATTTCGGCGACGTTTTTCTGGGCGAGATCATGTCAATCGGGATTCTTGAGAAATATGCCGCTGTCAAAACTGTGAGTTCAGCGAAAGTTGCCGAGAAAACTCGTGATTACAGGTGAAGAAGGACTGCCCCGGGATGCGGAAACTCAGCGAAAAGCTGATCGCAGAAGCACATGTGATGATGAATCTCTGCCACGAGAACGTGGTTGAGATGTACGGCTGGATGATCGATCGGAAACCCTTCAAGTTGATTCTGGAATACATGCCTGGTGGGTGACTATTGAACAGTAGCTCGAAATAGGTAAAATCAGATATTTTACTGTCATTTTTGTGCTGCCTTCTAATGGAGAAATTCTTCTTATCTGTTCTAGTTTCACACACATCCGCAAATAAAGAACTCAATAAGTCCGGGAGTAGTGGTTGACTCACGAAAATTCCGAAAAGTTTCAAAATTGAACTTCTAACCTCAAGGAGGTGGTTTTGAAAGTATGCATGCGTCCACGTTCAAATCAAGAAAAGTTAGGGAGCTCTCAAAAAGGAGAGAGTCTTTTTTCCCACTCAAAGCCTCATTACTTACCTTTTAAATATTTGAAAACAGAAAAAAACAAAAAAACAAAAAAATTGCCTTTTTTTCCTTATTTTTTTAAAGACAGATATAGGCGCGTTCTGAGTGAAATAAACCCCAAACTCATACAAACTAACTAGGGAACGTTTTTTACCCCCCGGTTGAACTTTTGACGAAACTTTGCAGAGATGTACTTTGAGGTCTCCTGAATCCAGAACAAGAAAAAAATTTCTCGCAATAGACCTTGTTTTCGAGATATGCAGCCTCGAAGTTTGCACGTGAGATCTGCGGAAGCATGGAAGAGGGAATATGTTGCGCGCAGTGTCGGCTGAATGCCAGGTGATTCGTGGCAGAGTGGTATGAGGGCGCGTACTATGTGCGAGCTGTGGTGGGTTCGAAACCCCTTTGCTGACGAGTTTTGCAAAAAATCTTTTGCCAAAACTCCAATCATTCAAAGCCATTCACCTGGATGGAACGAATTGAAATAAACTAATTTTGTGGAATAAAAAAAATTTCCATTCTCAAAAATTTTGAAATGATGATTGAATATCAACCCGTCTGAAGTATAACAATATGCAAAAACACAACCAATACATTCAAACCAAACAAAAATTTCAGCGCTTTTGACAAAAACAAAAAAATCTTTCTAAAAAAATTCAAATGAATAAAGGAAGACTGTTGCGAAGAGTTTGAAAAGTTGCATCATCCTTCTTTAAACATTCGGCAAAAGATTTTTTGCAAAATTTGGCAGAGAAATGGGGCCGAACCCACTACAGTTCGCACATAGTGCGCGCCCTCATACCACTCTGCCACGAATCACCTGGCATTCAACCGACACTGCGCGCAACATATTCCCTCTTCCATGCTTCCGCAGATCTCACGTGCAAACTTCGAGGCTGCATATCTCGAAAACAAGGTCTATTGCGAGAAATTTTTCTTGTTCTGGATTCAGGAGACCTCAAAGTACATCTCTGCAAAGTTTCGTCAAAAAGTTCAACCGGGGGTAAAAAAACGTTCCCTAGTAAGCCTTTGTGATTTAAAAAAAGACTAAAAAAATATTAAGGTTCAATCTGACCAGGTAACCCCCCCCGCCCAAAGGCGTGAAAAAAATACGCGCACACGCAGCCCTCGGTAAGTATAGTCGATCCTTTCCGACTTGAAAGGAGAAGCAGGTTATGAAAGGGGCGGGACGCGTAACCTGCGCTACGCGGTTCATGGCACAAGTTCAATTCAAGCCACCGACTGTTAGGAAAGCTCGTTCTCCCCTTTTTCTCTCTCTTTTACTATTTTTTCAATATAAAAAGGAGAAAATTATTGAAGAATCAAAAATGGAATGAAAAGAGCGTCTCAGGCGAATCTTGGGAAGGTGAAAGGTGTATGGAAGCTAGAAGGTCTTGAGAAAGCCTTTGGAAGGTGTTCGGAAGGCAGATGGAAGGTATTTTGACGGTGAAATTGGAAAATGCCTGCCAGAAGCCATCCAGAAGCCGGGAAAGTTTCTGGTAGGCTTCTGGCAGGCTTTTTTTATAGTAGAAGGTGTTAGAAAGCTATGTGGAAGGCGTTCGATCACTTGCTAAAAAGCTTCGAAACGCCTTACGAGGAGCCGAAAGCAGATCTTCCCCATTTTTACCCGAGGGTGGACTTGCACTCCAAACAGTCGGTGGCGCTTGAGTCGAACTCGAGCCAATAACCGCGTACGCGCACGCTACGTCACGTAGCCTACGTGTCTTACCCCCTTCTCCGCCTCCCTCGCCTTTAAAGGGGGAATGGACTATAGAGAAATCCGAAACTTTCGAATATACTTTCTTTTATTGTAATCGCAACCGAGAGACTTTAGAGAGATTTTATTATAAGGCATTATTCTTTAATCCTCATGTTAATCTTGAGCACTCTTCAGGAGGCTCTTTGGAAAACTACCTCCTGAAACATTTTGATGAGGCCAGCGACTCGTGTCTTTTGAAATTCGCCCTGGATGCCGCCAAAGGGGTCCAGTATTTGCATGAAAACGAGCTGATCCATCGTGATGTGGCCGCGCGGAACTGCCTGCTGAGTGCCGACCAAACGGTTCGAGCCTAAATATATGAGAAGAAAGAAAGTTTCCTATTTTATCCAGGCAAAGATTGCTGATCTGGGTCTCACCGTACGCGGCAGCATTTTTTGGATGAAGCAGGCAGAGACGCTGCCGACGCGGTTCCTGGCGCCGGAAACCCTGGCGATCTTCGTCTTCACCTACGCATCCGACAACTACTCCTTCGGCGTGAGTTGCCGTGTATCACACTAGACGGAGAAAAGAACACTTTCAGAACCTCTTGTTTGAAATCTTCTCAGGTGGTCTGATGCCCCATGAGGAACTCAGTTGTGCAGATGCTCGGAAAAAGGTTGGTTTCAATCTCCCTCTGGAGCACCAAGGGCTCAGAATCAGAAAATAACCTGTTTTAAGGGGTTTGTTCTCCCGAGAAAGAGGTTGATTCGTGGTTTGGAACGTTTAGTCGGTTAAAAATGATCGAAAAAGCTGTACCCTGTAGGGGCCACTTTTGCAAGCTGTATTGGCAACAATAGGGGAAGGTTGAGAGCTCCTTAGGGGAGACCTGCAAGAGGTCACTATAGTGGCCACTCGGGAGTTCCCAAGCCAGAAATCCTCTTCTATCTAATTTGATCTCAAATTCCACGTTTTACCTCTCAAGAGGACCAGTTGTTTTGACTGATTTAAATGAAGGTTTTCTAAAGTTCATCAAAGCCTTTGCGCTCCTCTTATCAGACCATTTTTCGCATTCAGATTTTGGATGGCAAAACCAGCGACCTAGAACAAACTCGAGCTCCTCCAGCTCTTCGGCCCTTTATCAAGGAAAAACTTTGGGCCTACGCTATGCGTGAAAGGGCCGGTATGGACGAAGTTTGCCTCATTTAGTCCCTTCAGTTTATTTTTTGCGAATTTTCCAGATTGTCAAAGTCTTGAAAGACACTTACCGCAGCTGCAAGAAGGTCAGTTTACATGGAGAGATATTTTTCTAATTGAAAAACATTTCTTCAGCAAGAAGGACTGCCGAGGACGATCACAAATGAGGAGACCGTGAGTTTGAAACTTCTGAAGTTTTTTTTTGATAAATTTGATGGTTCACTTTCTAGAAAATTGTGAATTTCAGTCGAATGAATATAATATCATCATATGAGGACCAGCGATAAAATTGAGAAATTGTCGACGAAATCGACGCTCTTATTTTTGTTTCGCAGAACTTTTGAGTACTTTTTCTTATTTTTGTGAACATTGGTCAAAAGGTTACCTCAAAAATCGTCCTAAAAGTCTCAAGCTGAAGAACTTACGGATTTACAAGAAACGAAGGCTTTAATCATGAAAACTTCCAGTTTTGATGATTTTTTTTTTGATTCTGAAGGATCCTTTGTTTGTGCAAGTTGAACTTGTCAAGGTTATCGTCGGGTACATCAAAGAGTATTCTCGTCATCTTTCTGAGAATTTATAACCGAAACCTTCAACGATAGCCCAACTTCTGAAAGTCTAAATTTCCTCCTAAATTTACTTCAGGGAGACAAAGAAGACGGGATTTTGAAAGGAGTTCCTAAAAAACGCCGGCGCGAACCCGTGAACCGGAAGGTCAGTTGCAATTTTTGCCTGACCTAATATCAAGACGTTTTCTAGGAGATTATGGAAGAAGTTGTCCCAACACAAGAAGATTGACGGCATGAATCCTTCTTCGTCGTATTTCTTCTTTTTTTCTAGTTCAATAAAAAGTCAAAGTTAAAACTTGTGGTAAAAGTCTATTGGCATCGGTTTTGTTCTTGGAAATCCACGACGATCGCTTTCAAAGGAAGAAAATACACCTAAAACTTCTCTTCTAACCATATTTCAGAGAAAATAAATTGAGTTTCTCGAGTTCTACTCTCTAGAAAAAATTACTGATACCCATAGCCTAGAGGAGTGTTCTATTACAATTTTCCCCATCCGCTGGCGGTTTTGAAGGCGCGCAGCGACCCAGCGGAGTGTCGATCCGTGAAATTTCAAGTCGTGGCACACAGACTATACTTATGGTTAAAGTGACCTAGATCTCGAGACACTTGCAGGTGGCTCCCTTGAAACTTTCATCATTGAAAATTTCAAAGATACAAGCAACTCCCGTCTTCTGAAGTTTTCTCTTGAGGCCGCAAAAGGTATAGAATACCCTCACGAAATGAGATTCATACATCGAGATGTAAGGTCGAGGAATTGCCTTCTCACGGCCGATCTAACGGTTTGAGCTTGAACATCAACAGGAACGAAATTGCTTTCCAGCTCAAAATCTTGGATTTGGGTCTCACGGTTCCCGGCGACATTTACTGGATGAAAAACCGGAAAAACTTCCGACGCGGTACCTGGCTCCAGAATGTCAATTCGTCTTTGTGTACGCATCCGAAGTTTATTCCTTTGGGGTGAGTTGACTTGCATCAAAATTGAAAAATATTCGACAAACTCAGAACATGCTCTTCGAGATTTTCACAGGAGGCATAGATGCCCTACGAAGAGATTTCTTCGGGCGATGCTGGACAAAAGGTTGGTTTTTTTTCCCCACGAAAAAATCCGAGCTGTAGAATCAAATCCCCGGAATCCAAGTAAATTCGGGTCTGATGTCATTTGAAGGTTGTAGGCGTGGCTTTCGTGACCTACAGATGTCGGGCGGGAAGATCAAACTCGGGTGGCAATTTGCTGGCGTTTGATTAAAAAAGGCACCTCGAAGGCGAACTTTTTCCAATTTGCCCCGGCTCGTCATTTGTATACTTGGTTTGTGATGCTCGGCTTCGGCTCGAAATGTTTCTGTCAACCTTTTTTTCTTTATTTTCACAGTTTTTTGCGATCAAACTCCTTTTTTGTCTCTCACAAAATGTCGGATTTCACAAAGATCGAATCTGTTTATGAACTAACTTTTTTTCCTGAACCTTTGTTTCTTCTCAACCGATGAAGGCTTTCTAATTGTTAAAGATAATCAATTTTTGGTTTTAACTTTGAAAATTCGCTTTTTTGGTATCCCTTTTGAATCGATCACGTGTGAATAAATGATATATTCAATTATTAAAACTCAAAATTCAAAAAAATTTTTTCTCTCCCCTCAATTTTTTTCGTAGATATCATCACGATTCGAATACAAATTTCAAAAAAAAAAAAATTTTTTCTTAACCGGATCATGGTTTGAATTGTTGCCACAAATCACAACATTTTGTACTTCACTCAGAAAAAAAACCAGTTTTTTAAAGTTCATAAACTGAAAGTTTCAGATCATTTCTTAGTATCTCACTTTTTCAAAATTCGTTCATTTTTGCTTTTAATCGAAATTTTTGATTTGAGCCCAATTTTTTCAGGGATATCATTGCATTGCGAAAGCTTCATCTGCTCATAGGAAAGTATCAAAAATAAAAAAAATTTTCTGTTGCTTTCAATATTTTACTTCAAGTAAAATAGTCACGATTGAATATGGAACGGTTGAATAGAAAAAAAGTATTTGTTTCGCGCCCGACTAAAAGCAACTTGCGCTGAGAAGCATAGTGAAAGAGTGAGTCAAGATCTTGAGCCGGAGGATTGAAAATAAAGCCTTTTAGACTCAAAGTTTGACACAAATTATTCATTCTTCACAAATTTATATGTTTCAAGACAACGAAATACAAGTTCTTGTGGTTTTTAGATCAAGCAGTGGTTATTGTAAAATTCTTTCTCTGCGCCTTATTTTGGCTGTTTTTCAAAAATTAGTGGTCCTCCTACAAGTCAGACTGACTGAAGAAAAACTGAAAAAATCTGCAAAATGCGGACGGCAGATGACCCAGACGATCGTCGGAATCCATGACGTTCGCCGAATCCATCAATGACGTCATTCCGATGACACGTCATCGAGAATATTCGCCGTTCGAACGAGTTTTTTGACTTCTTCTCACTTCCGCTCTTCAATTTGAACTCAAGTTTTTTCTTCCGTTTTTTTTCCTTCCTGTTTTTTTCGCTGACATTTGTGAACATTTTTATTTTCCCAAACCTGGCTTTTTTTAAAAATCTTTTGCAGTTGCTGTGATTTCCATTTTCATTTTGATCTCGAGGTACTTCAAAAAAAAAAAAATCAAGACGTCCACTGGAATATGTGCAAACAAGTTTTACTTAAAAAAGTCGAAATTCATCAAAAAGTTGAAAGAAACTGATTCTGTCCGCTACTGTCAAAACGTTCATTGAAAAAATCAAAATTTTCTTATATATTTATTTTTAAATCCTTAAGTTCTGTCTTTTTCGGGTTCAAATTTCAACGAAGAACTCTTAAAATTAGATTTGCGTCGATTGAAGTGCGCCCGACTTGAAACGACTTGAAGCATTGATATAGTCTGTGTGCCACGATTTGAAATTTCACGAAACGACATTCCGCTGCGTGCGTTCGCGAAGCGTCTTTTGAATCTAGGTCACGATTTCAATTGATTGTTATTGCTGTGGGAGCACATGAAAGTAGAGTACCTCAATAAAAGAAAAAAAAAAAATTAAAACCAAGGTTCGCGAACGCACGCAGCGGCACAGCGGAATGTCGTTTGGTGAAATTCCAAGTCGTGGCACACATACTACAGCACAAGAGTGATTGCCGAGATTTTGAGCCTTCTTTATTAAGATTCCAAAAAGCAATGCGACCGCTCCGAACCATTCCACCTGTGACCACCATAGCCTTTCGAGTCATATCACCGTAACCTTCTTGTTTTTTTTTTGTTGTTAACAAAATTTCAGAAACGAACTCACTTTTATTTTCCCCACACCCGCACAAAATGATGGCATGTCCCAACGAAATGTCACCACTAAATTATAGTTTTGGAAGGTGTTTTTAATTGTAGGGTTCGTTCTGGAAATGATGGCATGTGCAGAGTACAATCATTAGAGGCTGGACTTTGGAATTTCGGAATTCAGAGTCTTTCAAAGATCTGCACCACTTCTCGAAGGTTCCTTTAGGCTGACAAAGGCTCCCTTTTTGCTGCCTTTTGGCTGCCTTTCTGCGGCTATTTTTGAGCCTCTCCCCTTTAGCGGCCATTAACCACCACTTCACCTTGCCCGAGTCAAAATAGGGTCGAATTTCGAGAAAAAAAAAATGCTAATTTTCACTCAAGCCCCTGCAAGTCCTTGTACCACCCATGAACTGAATTTTTCAATTTTTCAAAATCTAAAGGTGAATACCGACATTCAACCCGACTATCCAGAACGATTAAAAGTGACTCATGTGTGTAAAAAAGTTTATTCCCTCCCATCATTTCAAAATAGTTCCGAACTATCATTTTACTTTATATCGCTTTGAAAATATATTCTTTGACTTTAAAATCCCTAGTCGCACGTGGAATGGCTTAAAGTGTTTCGGTTGGGTCAGCAAGTTAGCCTTCAGTGTTTTTGGATGGTTCCAGGCGCGAGTCGTTTTGAGTCGGATGCGCTTTGAACTTTTGCCTTTTTGAGCCATTCTACGTGCGAGCAAAGGCTACAGATTGAGAGTGTGGCTCTTGAAAATACAGTCTGAATTTTGAAAATCTTCAAATTTTCGATTAAATAACCTTTTTTTGAGTCCAATTCATCCTTGTATAATTTTCTAATAAGCTTATTTTTTGAATACAACTCTTTCGTATGAAGTTTTCAAAAGTAGAAAAAAAAAACCAGAAAATATTTCCTCCACCTACGTGACACTTTTGAAAAGGCGGTTTTGAAAAACGAATCTCGGTCTTATCAAAAGTGATGGACCACGTGGAGGGGCAAAAAAAAGCGTGTAGGAATGTCACAACGTTGTGACGTAGTTCACACATTCACGACAACGACCAGCCGCTCGGTATCCCCCACTCAAAAATCTTCCTGCAAAAGTTCGTCCCAGCTCCAATTTCCACGTCCTTTTATTCATATTTCATTGATTTCGGCTTTTTTTAAAATTTTATCGAAAGATCAAAAGAGCATAAAGTCAAGCTTTTTTGGAGAAAAAACTTCAAAAGATCGCCCCAACTTTTTTTTTTTGAACTAAAGCTTTTTTGGAATCCTGGAAGGATCATAGAGGAACTTTTCATGAAGCTCTTGCAACGAAGAGCCGTTTCCAGCGTTATTTAAAATCATGCAAGACTTTTCCTCCTATAGATGTTATTTTTTTGAAAAATTTTTAGTAGCTCCAATTCTTGATGTAGTTTTTTTCTTTTACTCAAATATTTCCTGCAAAATTTCGTTCCAGCTCTTTTATTAATCATTGATCTTTTTTTGAAAAATCCTGCCTGGAACGTGCAAAAGAGCAAAGGGCCATTTTTAAAAGGCCTCGCCAGGAAAAAGCCGTTTCCAGAGTTATTTTTTTAAAAAAATCGCTTGATATTTGATATGGACTTCTCGAATTTTTATTTCTAGAAAGTTCAAAGAATCATTTTATAAAGAACTCGAAGCGTAAAGCTGTTTTCCATGTTTTTTTGAGTTCGTGTAAGAATTTTTGCTTTTTTTCGAAGTTTCCTGACAAAAAAACTATGAAAAAGAAATTTATTTCTTTCTTTATTTATAAGTCAAAATTCACCTGCAATTATTGCTTCAGTTGACCTCTGAAAATTTATTTTATTTTTTTAATAATTCTCTTACACAAAACTTGAAAAAAATTACCCGTATATCCAGCTCTTTTACCAACTGGGAAGTCTTTAACCTTCTCCTGCCAGGGAGAAGAAATGAACTTTTATACTTATAGTCCGAAAAAAGCTAAAATTTTGTAGGAAGCATACAAAAATGTTCCTCTAATCATAGCATGTATGTAGCATCAATTTCTCTCTGGTATAATTTATCCTGCCACAAAATAAGTACAATTCCTTGACGCGTAATTCGTAGAACACTCCTCAAAGTTTATTTTTAGAAAACTGAAGCCAAATAATTGGACTATTTCTTGAAACGGACGCCTTGAAATTTCCAAATTTAGTAAATCTCAATGCGAGGCTTCTTTACCTCTACCTCTTATAAAAGGGTCATGAATCGGTTGCTTTCGTATCTGGTGGCTTTTTCGAAAAATACGTTCAATTTTTTTCCATTTATTTCGACTTTCTTCGCTAGTTTCTCGTTTCCGGGGTTTTCTTGATTGTTACCAGATTTTAACATAATCCTAGTGTCAATAAAGCATTAAAATGTGATAACGAGAAAAGAGCAAGTTTTTAACACATAAGACGAACAAAGTAGACAAGAAATAATAGATAACTCAAACTGAAACAGAAAAGAAAAAAATAATAATGTCAGAGTTTCAAAAATTGAATCATGCCAAACATTCGCGCTCCATGGGCCAAGCCCGTCAGAATTTTTTTTTTTTTTGCTTCACTGCCAAAGTCGAAAGTGCGGAAAACGGGTGCGAAAAGGGAGTGACTGCAAAATGGCCGCTAAAAGGGCTCCTTTTTACGGCCTTTATTGAGCCTTTCATTTTTGGTGGGTTAAAAAGGGTCATAAAAGGGCGAAAAAAGGGAAAGGCCGCAAAAAGGGTGAAGAAAGAGTGAGGGTGCAAACGGGCCCTGAAATTCTCTTCTATTGATAATTTCCGATTTCATTACTGTTGCATATTATGGTTCATACACAGTCCCTTGTAAAAAAATTATTCCTAATTTAAAAATTGAATTTCTCAAAAGGGTCCAAAAAAGGGTGGATGAAGGCCGATGAAAGGACGCAAAAAGGCAGTAAAAAGGAAACCTTTGCCACCCGTTTAGGAACAATTAATGGAAACAGACGGATCTGTAACGGAAGCTCAAAGGGCCCGTGAAGGGTTCTTCCGACTTTGCCTATGTTTATATTTTTTTTTTTTTTCTTTCTTTCATGGTTTTTTTACGATTCTTGTTGAATGGAGAATTTTGAAAATTCGAGTTTCTGTGAAGGTTCCACCTGGAACGCTTCAAAAATAGGCTCTCTATTCGATATTTTTCTTCGTTTTTTTCTTGGTGGGCTTTTTGATTTTTTCAGTTTTCAACTTTGTTCTTCTGAAAGTGAATATCTTTTTAGAATTGTTTTATGATATTTATTTACTTCCCTGCCGTCCTTTGGGGACTTTGAGTATCTTTCCTTTCGGCATTTATTTTTTCCTTCAGCCTTTTAATTTTTTTTTGAAAAACATTATCTTCAGATAATGAAGCAAATGAAGAATTTTTTTTCAACTTTTCGAAAGTTTCCAACTTAGCCGATGATTTTTGGAAGATTGGCCTAGCTCCTGGTTGGATATGAAATGGAAACAATAAGGAAGAAGGGAAAAGATTGAAAGTTCCCCTGCGGCCATCGCCGTACTTCTCGCGCATCGTTGACCACTCTTTACTCGTTTCTTCTTCAATCTTTCGCCTCTTATCTTGGCTCGTTTCAAATCTCTGTCTTTTTGGGCAGCTTCCAGAAGAAAAAAAAAACACTTTTCTAGTTTATTTGTTGGTATTTTCTGTAAAACTTGCATCCTGGTAAAAATTTTAGGTTCATAGTTTTTTATAATCGATTCAGAAGAGTTTATAGGTTTTTTAAAGGAGCACGAGTAAGATTTTTGAAGGTCTCCAGACGAAAAGCCATTTTCCTGGTTATTTCGGTTATGAGGGACTTTTTTTCTTTAGATATCCCAGAAAGTTATTGGACCTTGGTTGTTTTTTTTTGCATCTTAATTCTTTTTTTGATCATTCTGAAAGTTCTTTGGAGAATTTTGTGCTCTTTTATATCTAAAAAATCAGAAAATTCAATTTTTTCATAAGTCTCCATACATTTTTTCGCTTTTTGGTTTTTTTTTATTAAACTTGGAAATTTCCAAGCCTTTTTTTCCGCGTAGCTGAAGATGATTTTTTTTCCCTTTACGGTTATAATTTCTCAACTTCTTTTATGCTTTGAATATTTGTATTATTTTTCGATTTATGTGGTATACTTTGCATTGCTGAGTGAACTTGGAAAAAAAAAGTTCCAGAAAATCTCATATTTCCTGCAGAAAACCCCACTACAAACAATGTTCAGAAGATCCCAACACACTCTTGGCCACGCCCCCCAACTCTTTTACCAGCAATATTAATCCAGCTCAGCTTTCCCCGTACTAATTTCGTCGCTCTTCGAATAAATCCATGATTTTCGACGATTTTCAGCCGGAGATCGCGGAAGCAAGAGTGGCCACAAATGCCCTCGCCACGGCGGTCGGCCTCGTTTCGGGAGCAGCTAGGTCCCAGGGTCAGCCCGACGATATTATGGTAGGTCCATATATGGTCCATGAGTTGAATTGTACTTGATATCCTTGAAAAATGACATTTTTCTGTTTAAAAAGGGTTCAAAATTCGATTATTTCAAGTACCGAAGCTTAAAAATCAAAGGGTTTTTCACATCTTGTTCGTTTAAAACATTTTTTTGCCCTTTGGAGACTAGAAAGTGTTTTTAGGCTTCGAGCACGGTAAAAAAAATTATTCGAAGTCCATTTTTCTATGCTCTTCCTGTTAAAATGTGTTGGTTTTGATGAATTTTTTGCCACGAATTCGAGAATTTCTCGCACTTCCTGTTACCAATTAACGTCAAATACTTCCTTAAGAAAGCGCTTTGGCGTTTTTTTAAAGAAAAAGGGTCTCCCCTTAAGTGACATCTTCTGAGGTGGCGCCAAAACCGCATCGCGACCGCTTTTGCGTTCTATTAGAGCTATTTCAAGACATTTTTAAGGGACTAACCAGGAAATAACATCAAATTCCTGTTCTTTTGTTCTCCAATATTAAATTAACCTGGTAAATTCGAAGTTTTTTTCCCCAAAAAAAAGGCTAAAGTTTCTAAAAAGTCGCTCTCTGTTATCGCCCAATAGGAAACTGATCTTCCGTGATTTATTTGCCCTCAAATGCCGCGACATCAGGTTTTTGGAAGATATCAGCTTGATCTTTTGGATCCATTGACAATTCTTCCAAAAAAAAATATTTCCCACTTCATTTTTTCTGTGTTCCTCCTTTACTGCCATACTCTCCTGCGGACTATTTTTACATTTTTCCCATTTTTTGATCAATCAAAAATCTTCCTCGTGTCGAAGATAAAAATAACAGTAATCAGTCTTTCTAGGAAACTACATAACTTTCCTGGAAAATAAGAAAATATTGATCTTTTTACCTAACGAGGAACTGATTTTTCATCTTCTCATTGCTATTTTCGGACTTGAAAGTCTTATTTCATTTTTTTGATTTTTAAAGCAGCAATTTTTGTACTTTTCTTGGTAGAAAAAGGATAGAAAGTTTATCGATCTCCTAATTTTTTTATATATCTAAGATTTGAAAAATCATCATTTTTTTGAGGATTTTTTTCAAAGTTTTCACACTTTTTCATACTTTTCTACATTTTGTATAGCTAATTTTTTTATTAATTCATCAAATTTTGTAAATTCCTTGTCATATTACTGTACTCTCGGAGTGTTTTGAGATTTTTGAAAAGTTGGTTTTTTTGTTTTTTCGTTATTTATTTTGATTGAAATCGATTTTCCAGAATAGAAACAGAAAAAATACCGTTTTTTCAGCTGTTTTCTCATTGAACTTTTCAGAATCACACGCAAAATAGTTCATTTTTGGTTTTTCGTCCCCCAAAAGATACAAAATGACTCACGTCACACTTCTGACCGTTCTTTGACAAACAAGAAAACTTTTCCGACGTCTCCCAGACATTCCAAATGACGTCACATCGACCTGACCCAACTTATAAATATTTTGGAAGCGCTTCTTTCAAAAAATAAAAAAGAAAGAATATAAATAGGCGAAAATTGAGCCTGGAAATTGCCAAAAACAGCCGACGAAGCGGCCCCCAATAACCGCAAGTGTTTTGCGAAATCCCAATGAGAGTGTGCCTTTGAAAAATAGGAATAGTTGGCCCCCGGGCCTACCCCATTAGGCCCGAGCCTTTTTAGATGCAAATTATCCCCTTTTTTTATGGAATGGAACGATTCGGAAGACGTCACACGTCGTGATATCCGCCTAGACAGAAGCTTTTACTCGTCTCCTTTTTCTCGCCCCTTTTTGCGGTTTTCCAGGAGATCTTTGCGGGGGTTCAGGAACTCATTTTTCGTTTAGTTCTTCAAAAATCCTTCTTAAAACGCGCTAAAGCCTTGTATGACTTAAAGAAACCTTGAAATCGGCTTTTCGCTTCGAGACCCTCGTGAAATTCAATGCATGCTCCTTTAAGAACTTCTTAGAAGTTTTTTGATAAAAATATATATTCCGCATGGTTTTGTATCAAGAAGTTTCGAGAAAGTTTAAAAAAAGGTTTTTTCGGATGTCCATAAACTCAACCTTTGTATAATTTGTCGAAAATCTTGGTCAGTTTATTTTGAAGCGCAGGAATCTCGCGTGAATCTGAATAAAATCGGTTCGCTGCGAGACCTTAATCAATGCTCCTTTAAGAGCTCCATAGAGGGTTTTTTTAATCAAAATTTCAAAAAGAAGTAAAAAAATTTCAGAAAAAAATGAGCTAGAGAATCTTGAGAGCCCCCTTTCTCGAAATTAATCGCAGAAAAAAAAAGTTCAAGATTTTTGAAATGTGCTCTTTTTTTTTAAACAATGAAGCTTTGAACTGAAGATCTCTTCCAAATTTTTTTTTCATTTTTTTCCAGAAAGTTTGCAAGAATTTCATTTTGGAGTTAATCCTTGCTCTGAAATTGAGTAGACTAAAAAAAGTTAACAAGTCAATTTTTTTCATTGAGCAATTATTTCTGAACTGTTTCAATCCCCAAAAAAATCACTATAGAAAGTTAGAAGATTGAAAAAAACGTGATTCTTCCGGAAATTTATCTTGAAAAATCATAAAAGATCAAAGTTTACGTTTTTTATCCTGAGCATCGAAAAAAAAATATTGAGGAAGTTCATTTAGTTTTATAATTTATAAGCAGCTGCTCCACGTTCATTCAGGGGGGTTTTTTTTTTCGTATTACGTCTGAAAAAATTGAAAAAATTCAAATCCAGGTGATCAACAAAAAAATATGAGTAGGAAATTTTTTCAACGTAGGAAGTTGTAGAGAAACCACCTGTTCCTTTATAAAACGTCATTTTAAGTTTGAATTTTCGATTTCTAAACTGTTTTCAAGGGGAAGAAGGGGCACTTCAAAAAAAGCAAAAAAGTAATTCTATCACGAAAAAGAAAGAAAGTTTTATCAGTTGGAAGTGTTAAGCTGGGAGATTTTCAAATGATTATGAAATGATAAGAAATTTCCATTCTCCGAATTTTAAGCTAGCAAAATTTATATTTTCTTGATTTTTCGGACTTGATTTTGAATAATTGACTAGAAATTAAAGACCAAAATTCTCACTTCGATTTTTTCTGTATCAGTGAAACTCAAAGAGAGCTAGTCAATAGGCTCGAATTTTAAAAAGTTGAAATTTTCAAAAAATCCGGCCTCCTGAAATACTTTCCATAACTGGGAAATTTTTTTGTGGCCACTATAGAGGCTTGCCAAGGACTACTTGGAGAGGACACTAAACCCAGCTCTATAGTGGCCACTTCAGTAGTTTTTCATCCATTATTCCTTCCAGTAACTCTGATAATTTTAAAACAAACAGATTGGACCAGTTATTTTAATCCATTGACCCCTAAAGTGGCCACTTGAATTTTTAGTGGTCTAGTAGTAGCACTTAGACCTCTACAGTGGCCACTAATTTTTAACCCCTTAAGTGGCAATCAATTTGACTACTATAGAGGCCACAAAAAATTTTCCAGAGTGTGGGCATATGGATCTATTGTTGCTTTTTCAATAATTTCCATGATTTTTTTTTCAAACCTCAAAAAATTTTTGCATTTCTACAGCCAATGTTTACCTTTATTCTTTTTCCCTATCACACCAACCAATTATTTACTGTCTGGGTTCAAAATATTGCAACTGATGACGTTTAAAAAAATAAAAAGGGACAAGAAACCCGCCTCATTCAATGTTTACCGTTTTTTCTGCTTTTTTTCGGGTTCACTTGATGATTTTCCTGCAGAATCAGTCTGAGTCACGTTCAGTTCACGCGCTTGACTTTTTCTATTTCAGTTTTTCTTTTGTCACAAGATTATCCAATCAGTTACATTAGCCAGCTTTTTTGGGATCGCAGGGTTAATCCGGGTACCAAATTAGGAAATCCTATCGTCCGATTTTTATTAATAGATAAGCTTAATCCGACGGTTTGTAGCTTGCAACATGTGATTTTTGGCAGAGTTTAAGGGGTCATGGTTAAAAAAAATTTTCAAAAATTCTCGGGGTTTTCGAGGGTACCTGAAGTGTTTTCGGAGTTCCAGAACCTAAATTCTGGTTCGAAAGTTCCTATTTTGAGATTTTTTTTTGACAGAGTTCAAGCGATTTTCGTGTTCCAATAGTTTTTTCGAAGATTCAAAACGCGAATTCCCGTTCAAAATTCCCATTATGAGGCATTTAAGCAAGAAAAAAGATTGAATTTTGAACTCAAATTTTATCAATATATTACCTTTTTTTGAAAAATTTCTGTATCAAGATCTATAGGTCTAAAGGTTCAATTTTTCGAAAAACTCCAGTTTTCCCAATGAATTTTTAATATTCAAGTTGATTTTCGCCTTTTCGATAACCTTTTTCCAAAAAAAATTTTTTCCAACATTTTTTCGTCTCGTTCTATTTTAGTTTTTTTGGAGATTATGCAATAAGTTGTATTATCTTACTTCTTATCAGAAGGTTAATCCGGATCCCAAATTAGGCTTTATAATAGTCCGTTTTTATTAATAGCTGAAATTAATCCAAAGAGTTGTAGCTTTCAACATGTGATTTTTGTCACAAAATCATGAAGTGCTCGAAAATTGAAGTGAAAGTCCGCTCCAAAGCGAAAATGACTGCGCATCGTCTTTTAACTGTTGAAGATACGGGGTTGATTCCTTTTTTGTCATATATCAGATCCCCTGGTAAAAGCATTTTCCGTTGGTCGTGACCGAATAAATAAAAAAAAAATTCAATGAACTATCTTTCCGTTTCAGATTCCGTATAAAGTATTGGTTCCTATCAAATTTATAATACGGTTCAAGTTCATTTTTTTCCAATTTCGATGGCCTTTTTTTCGATATTCTTGAACTCTTCTATTAGTTTTTTTCTCTCAATCTCACTTTATTCAGTTCAGAAGGTTAATCTTGATCCCAAATGAGAGCTTAAAATATTCTTTTTTATTAATAACTGAGCCTAATCCGAGGTGTTGTAGCTTTCAAGAGTTTTTTTTAGTATTTGGGGAGGGGGGGTGTCGATTGGGAAACGGGGGTTTTGAAGAAA